GTTTAAGTGTAGTTTTCTTCGTATCTAGACATTAAAATATTAAGGTATTTTTAGTTGACTTTTGACAATGGAAGTCCCCTATATACCCAACCGAGATCGTAGGATGTTTAAATGAATCAATTGACTATAAATAGAGTTATTATCACATGTAGGTATACAGTAAATATTTAATATATGTTTACCAGTAGAGAAAAATACAACTTCAAGTTCTCGTATTGAAGAGTTAGAATTATTCTTAAAATGCCAGTCGAAAGACTTGACTGTGTTACTATTGTACCCTGCAATATTAAAAGTATTTTTAGAATTTAACACACCCCTTCCATCTAGTGCTCCTGTTGAGCGACTGTTTTCGACAGGTTTCAATGTGATGACACAAAAACGCCATAAATTGAGTGATTCACTTTTTGAAAAATTAGTTCTATTAAAATAAAACAAATTTGGTATATAAAATGAAAATTTTGTTTTGTTTTAATAGGACTAATAATTCTCAAATTTGTAATTAATGTGTGTGTTAAATACTAAAAATACTTTTAATATAATACTATTAAATAGTAAAACTGTAAATAAGTAGTTGTAAATAGTGTAAATAGTTGTTAACTGTACAAATTTTTTACAGTTGACAGCTATAAGTCTAATAATAAGAAATATGCATTATTACAATGTTATAATATTTAAAACTACATCTGTAATGTGTAGCATTTTAATTATTATAGTAGTTATTTATATTCTGATTTAAAAGATCAGTAGTACAGTTATACATTTTTATTACAGAATGATGTAATTGTTTTTGTGTAGTTACTAGTTATAAAACATTATTAAACATATTTATTTATGCCTTTTGATTTAAATATGCCATATAATCTAAAAATTCATAATAAAAATAAAAACAATTTTTTAAATAACTTGGTTACATAAAAGGAACGAAGAGTGGAACGAGTTCTTATTTTGGAGGAACTGGATCTGGAACAAGTTCCTTCTTAATATAAAGAACTAGGATCTGGAACGAGTTCATATTTTAGAAAATGAACGGGGAACGGAACGAGTTCCATTTAAAAAGGAACTTTCCTAACACTGATAAATACTGAAGACAATTGAGGCAAGTAGTAAGAGCGAAAATTCAAATAATCTGATGAATAAAATTAAAGTGTCATAAATGTATAGTAAAATAACATATTGCATGTAAGTACGTGACTTAGCGGCCAAATGTTAAGATAGAAGGAAATCTATCTTTTACTCAGTTGTGTTCTTTCGTGTCCCGTGGGTTTGAAATAAGTTCATAAGCTAACTGGCAACGTTGCTTTCATAAGTCTGTTTAATTAAAAGGGACAGAACATTGTATGATATTCATAAATGTTAGGAATGATTTCAAAAATCTGTCCCTTTTAATTATACAAACCTATGAAAGCAACGTTGCCAGTTTGTCTATAAACTTTATATATATTTTAATATATATATTTTTGGATTTTATCGCCGCTTTGAAAATATTTGTTCCGTCTGATGAAAACGGTTGTTTGAATTTGTCACTCAAATATATTATAATTATTGATATTAATAGACCGCCTGGTTGAGTTGTTATTTATCGCTCATTAGTGAATAAAATAATAGCATTTATAAAATGTACATATTATGATAAAATGTTCATTATATTTAATAGAAGTTTTAAATTTTTTGTTTATATTTATTTAATATTATATATAAAGTAATTAATAATAATTTNTGTTTATATTTATTTAATATTATATATAAAGTAATTAATAATAATTTCATCGGTTATGCACTGTAATAACTATTAATTTAAAATTTAAAAATATAAATAATTGTTTACAAAATTGTGAATTTAATAAATACATAAAACTGTTAAATTGAATGATATATTAAAAATTACTTTTAAAAAGTTGTTTAATTAGTTTTAAAGAGTGATTGGTTGGGTTTAAATCTACTTTGGCCAACTAACATATATCTTATCATTTTTAGCTTTATCGTTCTGATTTATTTTACATTCTCTACACTCTTTACTAAAACGTTCTATATCATTACATAATGTATTCCACCACACATGTGATCTAGCCAACATTTTCGTGCGTACTATACCAGGATGACCCTCGACCGATAACTCATTCCGTCGACGAAAATACGGTAGAAGAACTTGATCTTTTATTTTTGCTGGCTAACCTGAAACAATATAATTACATACTTTTTTTAATACCTCATCATTTTTTGTTTCCTTGCCAACTTTTTTATATGATAGTAACAATTCTTCCAAAAAGATAAATTTTCGGATTCCACTTCAATTTCATCTGATACTGGTAACCTGGATAACGCATCTGCATGACTGATCTGTGCACTTCTTTTATATTGTATTATATATCGATAACTAAATAAAAATATTGCCCATCGTTGTAACCTTGATGTTGATACTACCTGGATATTTTTTGATGGTTTAAAAATTGTTTTTAATGGTTGATGATCAGTTACCAAAATAAAATCTAAACCAAACAAATATTTATAAAACTTTTTTACGCCAAAAATTATTACTAGCGTTTCACGTTCAATTTGTGAAAAAATTTTTTGACTTTTGGATAGCGTGCTCGACGCAAACGCTATCGGTTTCTTCTCATTATAGATTATGTGACTAATTACTGCACCAACTCCATAACTACTACTATCGGTGGTTAAAACTAAGGGAAACTTTGGGTTAAATGGAACTAACAACTAACTATTACAAAAAACTTCTTTAGCCTGGTGAAATGCTTCTTCGCATTCTGTTGACCATTCTCAACTAGTATTAATTTTTGTCAATTCATATAACGGAGCTAACAAAGTTGAGGACATTGGAATAAACTTATTATAATAATTTATTAACCCTAAAAAAGATTTTAATTGCGTTAGATCACTAGGTTTAGGTGCGTTCATTATTGTATCTAATTAATTTTTATCTGGGTGAATACCATCTACGTCAATAATATGACCTAAAAATTCCACACTAGTACAATACCATTGACATTTACTATAATTAACTATTACTCTATGTGCATTTAACCGCTGAAATACTTTATTTACCGTTTCACGACAATTTTGTTCATTATTACCACCAATAATGATATCGTCCAAATATACTTGTACATTAGGAATATCTAACAAAAAATGTTCCATTGTTGCTTGAAATTTAGCCGGTGTTGACGCAATACCATAGCATAACCTATTATATTGATACAGGCCTTTATGCGTGTTAATCGTTAGCATCGCGCGAGTACTAGGTGCAACTTTTAGCTGCAAATAAGCATCAGATGGATCCATCACAGTAAATACTTTACAATTACATAGCTCATTGAATACCTTATCAACTCTAGGAAGTGGGTGTTGGTCCACTCTTAAAGCTGGATTTACAGTAATCTTAAAATTAACACAAATACGAATCTTACCATTATTTTTTGGTACTACTACTATAGGTGATGCCTACTCACTACTTACTACTTTAGAAATGATATTTTTGCGTTCTAAGCGGCTTAATTCATCTTCTACTTTTGATCTAAGTGCATATGGTAATTGATATGCTCTATGAAATCTTGGAATACAGTTATCTTTTAAAGTTAAATTTACTTCATACCCAATAATACTATCATCCAAATTATTATTATTAGAAATGACATACGGAAAATTCATTTTAATTTCATCAACAATTTTATTTTTATCCTCTATTTTGCTTATAAGTAACTGATTTTCTCCTTGATTCACCTCTCTCGTTACACTAATGAACATTTTCCTCCAATCAGGATAATGTATATGTATCGGTTTCTACTCCAGACATATTTTATTTTTTAACTTTTGCATAAACACTTTTTTTGGAATAATAGTAACAGACGCCCTACTATCTATTTCAAAATTTAATAAAACCCCATTAATTTTAATATTTATCATTAAAGACTCACAGCTCAGAGAATTTACATTTACATTATTAATATCGGCCACCGGATTCAATAAAATTAATACATTTACCCTTTGTTTTGACTTTAAAAATTTTTGAATTTGAGGTATGACCCAAGGCCCCACATGCAAAACATTTCCACTCTTTTGCTGGACGACACGTACAATGATCATGATTCTCCCATACAGAAAACACTGCCTGACTGACTGACCGTCACTTTGATATGATTGATTCTGCGACTGATCCCTGGCGTAATTTTGATTTGATGGACCACTTCGACTACTATATTTACTATTTTTCCCTTGGAACTTGTTTATATTTTTATTAAACACCGCCGTAGGATTATTTATGTTTTTCTTGAATTCCACGTACGATTTAGTAACCACATTAATTTGCGAATAACACTGGTTTATTTGGCTAATTATATTACCGACTAATTCGGAATTTAAGGCTATTTCACATGCTTTTTCAAACTTTAAAGTCTTCTCACCAAGCAATTTGCGTTGTATTGATTCATCCTTCAGATCAACAATAAGACGATCCCGCAACGCGTCGTCTAAAAAGGTGTCGAATTCGCAAAAGTTTGCTAAATTTTTTAAACTATCGATGAATTCTTGGATAGATTCATCTGCCCGTTGAACACGTTGATTAAATTTAAATCGTTCACTCACTACTAATCGACGCGGAGAGAAAATTCCTTCAAGGATAGTGATTAATTCATCATAGACTTTATCATCCGGTTCGTCCGGCAAACAAGTTACTTTCAAATGATTATACGTTTCAGGACCAATATATGCAATTAAATAAATTGCCTTATTTGCCTCTTTGACTTTTAACACGGTCTACTGTACTTCTAATCGGTCTAAATAATTTTTAAACGGCTCCAGCTCTGGCTCGAATGCCGAAATAAAATTTACTATACCAGACATTGGTATCTGTTTTAATTTGACATTTTAAAACACAGCACACAAAAAAAAAATCCACTCGTCAAAGTCGTTAGATATAGAATGAAAAGTTTAGTTTGTATGAGCCAATATTTTTAAAAATACTGATATAATTAAAATACAAATATAAATATGTTCAACTAAAATTTAATAAATAAAATATATAAATTAACAAAAAGCAAAATATAAAATACTAATAAAGATCAAAATTAATAAATTTAAATATAAATTATCAAACAACAATAATAATATAATGACAATAACAAATTTTAAATATATATTTGAACTTAAGATACATCCCTAAGAAATTGTTCCAAATTATCACTGTCTGATTTTAAACTTTCCCTTTTTTTTTTGCGTTTCTCTCCCTTTAGTTTGATTTTTTTTTCTTTGCTCTATAAATAAAATAGTAATTAAAATAAGTAATTTTTTCTTAACTAAACTCCGATATAATGCAAAATTTTGTGTTTGAAATTAAATTAAATAAATAATTGTCCTGCAATCTTGTCAAATTTAATTAAAGCGAAAATATTAGGCCCTAAAAGGATATTGATTTTAATACATAAAAAACATTTTAATTGATGATTTCAAAAACGTCACAACTCAATTTTTAAAAGTTTTAGATAAACAATTAAATTAGTATAGTATTGAAATTTAGTGTATATCAAGAGTGGTTTATTACTAAATCATATAATTTACTAATTCACATAATAACTTTCTATTTTGTAATACTGCATCAGCATAAATTATAAATGTTTTACTTAACAGTAAAATATATATGGTATAAGATGGGCATTAAATACTTTAAGCAGTTTTAAGGCTGTAAGCTATAATAAAATATTTCCTGTGCTTCTACAAGAGAGGCTAGATCTAATCATCCCCATCTCTACAACATATTTAGAGCATTCCTAGCCTACGGTTATCAACCCGAAAGGTCAGGGTGGTGTTTATATCTAAACCTAACCGTGCTAACTACTATGAATCAAAATCCTACAAACCAATAAGTCTCACTTCATTTCTTTTTAAGACTATGGAGAAACTTATTAATAAGTATATAAAAAAGGGGCTTCTAAAAGAGAACCCTCTACATAAGAACCAACATGCAGACTATACAGAAAAACCTACTGATACAGCTTTATATAATTTAAACACTAAAGCGGGGAAAGCTATACAGAATAAAATCTATGCAGTAGGCATATTAAAGAGGCTTTTGATAATACATCTTATGATGCTATATGTGAATCTACCCAACAGCATCGAATAGAACCCCTTATTATTTAAAGAGTAGAAACTATGCTTAAGGAACACTCCATTTTGGGATAGCTCAATGAAACTTAAGTAATCTAGAGTATTAAACAGGTATGTCCACAAGGAGAGGTTTTATCTCCCTTGCTATGGTGTCTAGTTTTAGATTCACTTATTAAAGAGTTAAACAAATATTGTTTTACACAAATCTAAGTAGATAACATTTATTTCAATTCTTTATTAAACACCTCTTATAATTTAATATTTATAGTTTAATTTTGAAATAATTAAAAAAGTATAATTTAAGTGATAATATATCAAAATAAAATTCCAGTGGATTAAAAATTGTTTTCCACTATAAACATAAAATTAGTCAATATCATTTTTAAAAAATTTAGTTATGAAATATTTTATTTTATTTTATAGTAAGTATTTTACTTGGTTTTCTGTATTCAATGAGTTATAACAGTCATTTGATGATGTTAATTTATCTTCCCCTCCTTCTGGTCTTGGTCTCATAGTATTTTGGATAGAAGACCATTTTTCAGAATCCTTCAAAGTATCATATTTACTTATATTTTTATCAATCTACAAGTTAAAAAAAATAATTAAAACCAACTTTTTTTTTAAAAAGAACATATAAAAGATTTTTATTGCTACTTTAGACAACCTTTACCAAGGTAATATTAGCATTAGAGAGAAATTTTCAGTTTACTTTTATTTTCTTGTCCAAGGTGATGATCCTAAAATTTTTTTTTTTGAAAATACGTAGAATAAATATTGCTAAAATTTGTCATAAAAATAATTTTTTTTTCGTGAGACTTAAATTTTTTTTAATATTTCTAAAGTTTTTGAAATTTAGATCATTTGCTTATACTTTTAACAAGATAAAGAAGGATGAATTTAGAAATTAAGTAACATAATTTTAACACTTTTAAGAAATGTATTATTTTCTCTTATATTTGATTAGAAGGCTTTAATTGAAGTTATGTAGAGTATGGAGTTTTTCTTTAAATTCTACACGCATAGTTTGAATCCGGTTAGGATATATTTTACTGTTTTTAAAAATATAAACTCATTAAAAAAAAATAATGCTGTAAACTCAATTGGCAAATTATTAAAATCGAAAAACTAAGTTTTTTTTTATTTTAAAATAATATTCTAAAGGTGAAAGCATAACAAAATGTATAATAGTAAAAATTAACCTTAATGTCTGATATGCCGGGCAAAATATCATCTGGATCAATATCAGCTTGATAACATGTTACCATGGGATTTCCAGAATTATCATCACTGAAAATTTAAATAACTTAATAATGTGTTTGCAAGATTGAAAATTAAATTAGTAATGTGAATTAAATCAAATTTTTTAAACTCAATCCTCAATTAAATTAGCTTGATTTTCTTTAAGTTCTTATTTTAACTGAATAAAACATGTATGTTTTTTTTTTAACATGTTCATAGTTTTAATTTATATCTAGTTACATTACTAATTAAATAATAATTTATTTATTTTTTACATGTCCTGTCATGGGTCATATTAGCCTCCCAAAGAGGTTTCTTAAAATATGAATATTCTGAGGAAAGTGCTAGAGAGAGAGAGATGACGACTAAAATTATTAAACTAATCTCTCGCTCATCATATGGAACTGTCTATAACCAAAGTGATAAGTTCTAAGTCATGAGCCTGAGACAGTGTGAATCAAGAACTGCAGTGTTATTGACTTAGCCACACCATTCCCACCATTTATAAATATAAAAAAAGTAAAGTACAGTAAATTACTATAGCAAAAACACTTAAAAATTTCTTATTTTACCAAAAGTTGTATGATTTTTGGCTTTAATACCTAATAAATCACAGAAATTGAGCTTTCGGATAATTTAAATTTTTTTATTTTAAAATACATTGAACTAGCTTAAGTTTAATTTAGGTTTTAGTAAGGTAGGTTTTTGGAACATTATCAAAAATTGAAAGGAAAAAATATATAAAATAAGTATAATTGTTACTTTGGTTAATGTTCCTATTTTCAAAAAAAAAGCATGTTGTCAGCAAGGCAAATGTTTGAAGTTTATCAATGATAAATTTACAATAATTCATCCAGTTTTCCAAAAGTTATTTAAATACAAAGTGTAAACTAAAAATATCTACATTTAATATTTTTTTGATCTAGTAGGAGCAAGAGTAATTTCATATAGGAATATTAAAAAACCAATAACTTTTCAGCTAGCTATACATTGAAGCTAATGTATCAATTTAAACAAATTTGTTTTACTCTATTATATTATAATAGTAAATTTAAACAAATATAATTTGATAATAGTAATCTCATTAAATAATGAACAGTCTCTCATAAAGGGGCTTCAGTGGAAATTTTAATTCTCAATTTTAACTTGTTAAATACTATCACTGGACTATAAAAAAAATGTGTAAACTAGGTGACAAACTTTAATATCATAATAGTAATATAGTTATATAGTAACATAATCATACTAGTGCTTAGTACTGGAGTATTTATGATTATAATATTGTTCAAAAATTAAAAATATAATCAATAGAAAATACTGTAATAAGGTTCAAAACCTACTTAATCAACAAATATTTTTCCTAATCTAAAATTTATCAAAAATACCTATCAGAATCTAAATCAATCTCTTTATTTCCTTTAATAACAATATCACCATGGCTTGTATCATCTAAAAATGATTTATCCAACACATCATCTGGTACAAAATCATCTAAATTGTTGCTATCATTATGTTGTTTTCGATTGTTTATCACCGAATCTTCCTTTGTATCTTCTATATTTACTTCTAAAAATGATAATATACTACAAAATTCTCTTTAAATCTTAATCAGCATAAAATCAAAGTATTAATTTTACTTATAACACTTTGGAGATCATCTAATTTATTTAAGGGAAATATTTTTTTACAAATATTTTGAGTCTTAAAATCATCAAGAAATTGCTTTTGATTAACTTTTGAAGATTTTTTATTATTTGTATTAGGTGATGGTGCATTTAACAACGGTAATGGTAATGTTGGAGTTACAGATTTATTTTCTGCATCAGTTCTTCTTTGATTTGAAAGCCTTGAAATAAACCTAAAAATTATTTAAGACAAATTACAAATTTGATTTTTCATTCTTTAGAATTTTGTTTGAAATAAAAACTTTTGAAAAATAAAAAAAATAATTGAAGACATTTTGTATTAAATATATAAATGCCTGAAATTTTTCAAATATAATGAAACAACAAAACATTTCTATAAAAAAAATTATATCAGCTTACATATCATAATTAGCTTCATTACTCTGTTGATAAACATCCAATTCCATAGTCATTATTTTCGTTTCTCGTTCATTGGTTTCTAAATGATTTATAATATTCTCACGCTGCAGTTGCAAGAATGATATACCAATCCATTTATATATTAGTTTAAGGCCAAATCCATTTGACATGGAGGCCTCAGCATAGCGAACAAAACTACCCCTATTAAAATATTACTAAACTGAATTTAAAAACCTAAAATACTATTTTAAATTTAAATACCTTTGTAACGAATTAAGGTAGTAAACAATTTCATCAGAATTAATACTTCGATGATGATTCATATCACAGTGATTTCCTAATACTAATATAGGAATATTATCTGGAATTTTAGGTAGTTCATTGTAAACATAATCTAGTGTCCTAAAAAAATAAATAAAAATATTAAATTTACTTCTAACATAAAAACCAATATTTAAAATAAACAAACAAAATTTTTAGTTTTTAAAATCGTCTCTAATGAAATAGCTCAATTTTTTTTTATCCACATTCCATAATTAACATTCTTTTTTTTTATATTTGATAAAAAAAAAATTAAAATTAGTATAGTAAATAGATGTATATAGCTAAATTCTTCGATTGTCAATAAAAAGATTACGATGAATATTTTATTTAATTATTTTACCATCTTTTGGTGATATCCAGTACTAATAGAACTCCATTTGTGTATCTGTAAACATCAACAAGTTCAGCATCTAATGCTGGAGTGTTTTCAACTTGAATTGGCGATACCATGGTTTTAGTATGTTCAGTTTTCAGAATATCACTTGGCTTTGATGACATTGAACGTTTCTTTCCTTTATCAACAACATCCCACACTTCTACTTTAACAACATCTTCAGTATTCTTATAGTTCCATTTAATATGGGCAACCTAGACAAATTCAACCTAATTTTTTTTCAAAATAAACCAATATATATTACTAGTTTACTTGAATTTCATCAGTTTCTTCATAGTTGGCAATAAAAGGTTTGCCTTGCAATCGATTCCATAGACAGGTTTTTCCTACGTTTCTATCACCTTTAATTACTATTTTTACTGCATAATAAAAACAAAAATTTAGGATACATAAAAAAAAAATAGTTTACATTTTTACCAACAGTTGTATTGAATGCCTTTTGAAAAATTTCGTTGTAAATCTTGAGATAAAACTTTGGGGTGGCCTGTAGATTGAATAGTAGCATCTTTATTTTCTGTTTTACTAGTAAAACGTTTTAATGTTGATAACATTTTTTAGTAGACGTAATATCCGTCAAAAATCTCAAATTTTGACCAACAAAATAAGATATAGTTTTATTAAATTATTGAAAAAAAGGTGCTTAAGTTTCTAGTGATTCATAAAATTTTTAATTTACAATTAAAAACCAATACAAAGTAAACACTTCTAATTATTTAAAAAAAGTGAGAACTTGTTTTAATTTAAGTTATTGTATAAGGACTACCTATTAAGCTTACATCAAATCATGTTTTATTTGTTTATGCTCTGGTGGCAATTTAAATTTTGATAATGCAACTCGTTATTATATGATAACGTAATATAATCAAAGAAGAACAACTGATAGGGATGTTATGTCCTTAGAATTGTCAATACTTGTACTCGGTATTGAATCAAATTTATAAATCGATTTATAAAAATATCAAAAGAAGTAACGATGTTAACTAGTATTAATACCTATTAAAAAGATTTCATTAATTTGACATTATCGAATTTAATGATGCTTGCCTCTTATTTAACATATACTGAGAAATAAAACATAAACCTAACTTAGCTATTTGTCATAAATTCGTGTAAATTATAAAAATATTTATTTTACGATAAAAAAAAAAAAAGTAAATTATTTATTAAAAAAAAGTTCTTTAAAACAATTATTTTAATAAATTATTTGTGATATGCGATTTTTCAAAATTATATCACATTAGTAAAAAAGACTTTAAAATGCATTCATTTTTGTCACTATGATTAATTAAAACATAATTATCATTAATAAGAAATGTCCACAAATCTTTTGTAAATGCTTAACTTTTACATTACATACGACCGAAAAATGATACATACTACATTGGTCTTCTTATCTATTGTACGTATAAAATATAAATTAACAACATATTCGTATACTACTTTAATCGAAAACTGGAAATAAACATACTTGAATACCTAAACGTCAACTACATAGTTAGGACTAAAATAATAAAATGTAGGTCAGAATTAAAAACAATAAAAGCGATAAGAGCTCTAAAAAATATTTCTAATATATTTGACACTAGGGTGTAGCTCAAAAAAAAAAATAATAATAACAATAAAAACAACAAAATTTTATTGAAACGAAATTAATACCAATTAATTTTTTTTTTAAATATTTCATAATGCTCAAAAAACCTGACCTCATAAAACCTACATCAAATCAATCAAATTTAATGTACTTTAAGATGATAAATATCCATTAAAGTCAAAAGTCATACAATTTTCGGTAAAAATGGCCGATTTTGGAGTTTTGTTCATTTGCTGTGCAAATGAACATCTACATCGTTCAACAAGAAATTAAACTATAGATTATTTAATGTATTATACAGAATGTAATTTTTTGTGGATATGATATATAGGTCTATCAATTATTTGAATAATGCTTGGATCAAAAAAAAATTTTTAGTGTTAATAAATAAAATAATTTTTTAACGTTTAACCACCTTTTTTGAAAATCCTATCATAAATCAAAGTACTAGCAGAGCGCAGAATCATTATACCATTTTTTTTGTAAAATACGCATCGAAGCGTTTTACTTATGGCAGAGAGTTCAATAAGTAAAATATCAATTAATACTAATTTAAAAATATGTTTAATATAAATTAAAAAATTCAACAAAAATACTGTACTTTAATTTTTTTTTGTATATTTATTTTTATTTAAATAGTTAACTATTAGCAAACCAACTATTAATAAAAACATGAGACAGCATTAATTTTCCAACGATATAAGAAGAGGACGGCTTTGTCAACAGTTTACAAAATAGAGTTACTGTAGGTCGTAGATACACAATCCCCCGAACAAAAACTATTCAAGTACTCTTTGGCAACTACTGTAATCATTTGATGATCAATTGTTTTTTGTACCAATCAAACGATAGTATAACGACCAAGTGTAATCGGTCCTTGTCATTCCTCCAATGTACTTGTTACTTTGGACCGATTACACGAGTACCGATCCATAACTAATATTGAATAACAATATTGATACCAAAAAGTACTCGTATCGAAAAAAAGATAAAAAAAAATCTTTACTTATATCGTTAGTATTGCAAAGTCACTAATAACAGGAGGAAATTTTCTTTAAACGAATTCTCTATTTCAAAAACGCTCAAACAAAAGTCATAAATATAATCATTAAATCTCGCCTAGAAACTAATAGTAACTAGTAAATGCTTTTTAGAGAAGATACAGAGGCATAGGTAGTGGAAGAAGAGTTGAAACTTCCTCATTATGAATTTTTTAAGTGCAACCAAAATAAATGAAAAAATTAATGAAATGTGGAATTAGGCATTCAACCTTGAAAAAATGTCCATAAATATTCCATAACAAAAAATTGTTTATAAATAAGGGATTACATACAAGATAGAAAGAATACCTGGAGTACTTATACGGAGAGGAAGAAGATTCAGACACACAAGAAAAGGGGGGAAAAGATCGATTAAACGAAGTTTTTTGAAGAGCAGAAGAAGAAAGAAGTGTCCTAAAAGCTTTGTAGATTAGAAGAGCTAAACTAATCGGAAATACACTACGACATAACAATCTACTAGGTAGAATAATAGAGGGATCCATAAAAGGGAAGAAGAACCGATAGCTAATATATAAGTCAAATAGTTAAGGATATGGGATGTGAAATATACTACGAATTAAAGCGTAAAGCAAAGAAGCGGAAAGAATAGAGGAATACTACCAACCAGCCCATGGGCCGTAAACAAAAAAAAACATACAAAATGATTTATTTAACTTAGCCACTTGATTTCTCTTAAAATAATAATTAAGTTAAAAACATTTTTTTTGATATTTATTATTCACATATATTTCTTGATTTATCAATTATGAGTGAACATTTTGTTTAAATGCACACAGATCTAAACCTTAATATACCAATAAATAATACACGATTACAACAGGTCCGTTATTAAAGTATCATAGCTTCCAATAACAAATAAACTACAGACATCAAAAAAAGAATAGAATTGGCAAAGCAAGCATTCCAAAACAAGAATTAGCTACTCACCAATAAACATATGTGCATTGGCATACATAAAGATTAGTTAAAACTTAATTCGTTAAAATTTGTCTAGAGTGTATTTTCATATGGCAGTGAAACATGGACAATTGACAAGAAATACAGAAGCATTAGAGTTATGGATATGGAGAAAAATGACAAAGCCAATATGGATAGACAAAAAAAGAAATGAGCAATTGCTAGAAGAACTACGAGAGACAGTTGATGAGCGTGATTGAATCAAGAAAAATAAATTTAATTGGACACATCAAGGACATAGTGACTTTAAAATCAACATCTTCGAAGAAAAAATAAATGGGAAGAAATCAAAAGGACGCCAAGGAAACAATATTTTGAAAATATCCTGGAACTCATGAACTGTGCGTCTTTTGTTTCACTGAAGAATTTGGCGTCAAACAGAGAAGAGTGGCTTCAACAACAAAGTGATGATAATAGATGATGATGAAATAACAAAAAAACAAAAATGTTAGTCATATATAGAATTTTTTTTATTATATAAATCTTTATTGCCATAGTTATTTAAAATTTTTACACCAATGTCTATAAGCTAATAAAATAAATTAAGTGCCAATAAAAATCAAGACAATACATTATAAAATAGAAATAAAATGTTATTTCCAAAAATCATTGTCATAATTGTCTTAAGGTAATACATTCTTTTCATTAATTTCTAATGATAGCATTTTATTTGTCATTCATTAGCCTGTAATATAAAATAATAAGTTTTTCTTTCAGAAATTAGTACTTTTATCATTAAGGTCAATTATTAAAAAATAAATAATTTTTAGTTGAATATCAGATATTACGGGTAGGTTGGGTTACAATATCTGCATTACATATCCCTTTTTATTTTATTTTTAATATAAATAATATAAGAAATTACGAAAAAAAATTATAAAATATATTTTTTATAAATTTATTATTTTCAAATTTTTTTTATTCATAATATTTAATATTTTCTTTTATACTTAATGTAAATTATAATAGTACACAACTTTTTTTGTTCAAAAAAACGAGTTTATTATTAAAATAAAACGTCTAAACTAACTTAATTAAAATTTAACACATTTATTAATAAAGAAATTAGGGTATCAACTTATGAGTTATGATTGCTTGAAAAATGTTGCTTGAATGAATCGCCTAGGGACATCAATTTCTTCTTTTATGTTTATGGTTCTTTTACACACATATTTATTTGACAATTCTTTAAATCCATTTTCCGTAAAGAGTTTATGAAGATAATCAATAGAAAAAAAATATGATCTGAAATTAATAAAAAAAAATTATAATCTTTAACATTACTGAATGTATTGAACATTTTTACACTAACCTAGTACCATCTTGGCGCATATAAAAGTTCTCGGAAATTTTGTGACCAGGTTTAAATCTTAGTTGGGTCATGTCATGAAGTCCATAATCCCTGAACAATACACGTCCACCGTTTTTCAAAACTTCATGAATATTCTGAACAACTTTTTGATGATTGTCAGGGTTTATAGCGGATAAAACAAAAATTGAAGTGACTATGTCCAAACTATTTTTAGGTATCACTGATTGCAATTTATCATTAACAATATCACAAGTGAATGCTTTGATGATAGATGGATTGTAAAATGGATTTGATTTAAGACATTCAATTGCCCTAGGTGAGAAATCACAAGCATAAAAATCTGCATTTAGACCATCAGTAAGTAATGGGTATATAAAGTTTCCTACACCGCATCCAATTTCTAGTATTTGTTTTTTATCATTATTTAATCTAGCTATATCTGTAAATTCACGAGTTGTCCAATGACGATCTTTAAAAAATCTGTCACCATTACGTTTATAAAAAATATCCCAGTATTTTTTGGCATGCCTATCTAACTCTTGAGCTTTAAATTCTGAAACTATTCGTAAATTTTGTTTAATTAGTGTGGTTTGGTCTTCTTCATTTAATTTCACTGGTTCAACAGTTTCCTCCTGGTATCTAATATTTATTTTGCTACTATCATCCATCTAAAAATTCCATGCACATCAAGTCACTTATAATATATATATATATTTATATACATCTAAATATAAATGAATTTCTACAATTATTATGATAAATTATAGTATAAAGTTATATATTTGTATTAGTTTAACAACAAAACTTAACTTAACTTAATTCTACTACTTAGGAAAACTAATACTAAATATTGAATCAAGTGATTCTTAAAACATAATTAGTGCATAAAATGGCTTCATAAATATAATAAGGTTAACTTAAAAATTCAATTGAATACCTTTCTATTGTTTTGGTTAAGGTACTTTATATTATAGTTTAAAAGATATTTAAAAATAATTGTTTTGACATTTAGGACTTGAAAGAACACATTTTCAAAATAAACCTACAAAGTATTGAGATCAGGTATTTTAAAAGTTTTAAAAAGTGAAAAATAAAAAAATTCTTGGTTGCCAATGATAAAAAATAACACAATACAATAATATCCTAATTTTTATTTAATTAGCTACTTTAAGAAACTTTTTATAAAAAAAAAAGGTGAAAAATGTTGAAACACAATAACACAAAAAATATAAGTTCTGACTTAAGATTAATCAATACAACCAACAATTATTCAACTATTCTCCATAACAGAAAAATATATTAATTTATTGGTCGAAAAAAGTTAAAAATACATATATTAAATTTCATTAACTACAAGTTAATGTAATTTTTAATTAAAATTTAATTTTAATTCCAGAATCTTAGAACTAAATGGTATACTATCACCATTCTGGCACAAATTTTTTTTTAATTAAAAATTTAATATATTGTATTAACATGCACTTTTGACCCATATATTTTTATAATATTGACAATTATACATTTTTACACTAGACTTCTTAAGACAGGTATATATTTTGTTTGATTTTTTTCTACAACTGACTGAATTGGTAATATAGACAAATTATTTTTATGATTAATAATCAATAATAAAATTAAAATATTAAGTATTAGTTCTATTACAATATTTTTAATGTAAATATTTAGAAATTTAATCATTTTTAGAAATATTTTGTAACTTAAAGAATATTTATAATTATCAACTTCTAAAAATAGTACTGATAGTTATAAATTATATAATTGAATTTTATGAAAAATTAATCTATTTAGCAATAATAGGTAAGAGTTTAATGTATTATAATTATTTTTTTTTTTTTACAATATCACAAATTAATTTGCTTGTCCTTAAAAATAAAGTATCTACAAAATTAACTCTCCAAATATTGTGAATATGTGGTCAACATAAAAAGAAATCTATTAATAACCAACTAATATTAACTAAAATTTAAGTAATTTAAAGAAAACAAATGAAAAAACTGGATACATAATAATTAATATAAAGATATATATATATATATATATATAAATATATATACATTTTTTTTTTTTATAGAAATGATGGCTATAGTTCCATATCTTGGGCTTCACTTTCACTGAACTCTGACATTGAAGATTCATCACTATCTGAACCAGCATTTCCATCATCTTTGAGTGCATCTTCAGTTGCATATTTCTTTACATATTCTTCTACTCGTTTTTTATACTGTTCTGGTTTGTGCAAATATAAAGCTGCAGCATCACCATTGAGAGGATCAATTGGATTTGGATATGCAAGCAACTGAGGTAAAAATGATTCAAAAATATTCAGTAAATCGTATAAAGCAGTCCAAGCTTGGTTAATGACATCTAGACAAACAGTTCCAGATACTTCATCAATATTTGGATGATAGATCTTATTAATGAATCCAATAGAAGGAGATTTGAATGGATAATGTTCAGGTAAATGAACTCGGACTTTCCATAAACCTCCTTCATATGGGGTACCACGTGGACCATACAATTTTACACAAAACTCATTAAGACCATTTAAAAGAGTCACTTCATGTTTACTTTCAATGAGCTTTATAACATCTGTGTCCATACGACGTTTACCAGCACTAGGTGAAGACATTGCAAATGTGATAACCAAATATACTGAAAAATAGTATAATCGTCGACTAAATTGCCCATGTAATAAAATTGTTTTACATATTAGGTTGCCTTGTGTTTTATTATGTTATTAATAACAAAATTATTAAATTTAAATTTAAATTATGATAGTATTAAATAATATGAATATATTTTTTAAATAATGTTAACTACCAGAACTAAAACATTTTTTTAGAAACTTGAAGTTTATTTATTTATTTCATAAAGTAAAAATTTTGATCTTAGGGAAAATTAATACTAATTTTTTTTTTTTGGTTACAATATTTAATATTTAATAATATGATTTTTACATGCTTTTTTTTTTTTTTTATTGAGCTTCACCAAGAGATATTTCATAAAATATTATAAAATAAGTTACTTTAACTAAATTATATTTAAAAAAAAAGTAATTATTAAATTAAGTTCATTTTTATAATAACCAATTACTATTTGATAAAAAAGAGGGTATTTTATGAACCAATCAATTAATCAAAAAATAAAAATAATTTTGATATATTTTTTATTGGATTCTTCTATATACATGTTTTTCTCAATTTTTCAGTCATAAATACAAAATTAACTACTAGATAAAATAAAAAATTGTTTATAAAAAATAAAGAAAATTACTGTTTGATAATAACTTTTGGAAGTTTTTAACAATTTCAAATAAGACTAGAGGTGAGGTGGGAATGTTATTTTATAACTAAATATTTCTCGGCTTCACTTCTACTCCTCCTTGGTTAAAATATTATTGACTAGTATTAGCCTAAAAGTTATCGGCTAGTTATTTTCTTAATTAGATCATTATTTATAAACTAGTTAATTATGTATGTCATCATTTGGAAAAATAATTTTGACATCTTTATAAAGTGGTTTATGACAAATGAATCACCTATAAAGGATGTGTTGTGTGGAACACAACAAAGAAAATTAGGCAAAATTATATTTTGGGATATCCTAAAACTTTTTATTTATTATATCTTAATTGGAAATGAATAACTAATAGAGTTATACAAAATTATAAAAAGTTATTTTTTAAGTTGAAGATTTCCTTATTACTTTAAGGCTCTTGAACATTATGTTGTGCAACTGAGGATCTTTAATTACACTTAACACAATATCTTCTATAGTATATAGTAAAATAAATTATAACTTATGACTTAATAGCTTATGAATTAAAATCTTTTAACTAACACTTTTTTAAATGAATACTGGAGAATTATTGTTATTATCACACGGCATTTATCAACTACATTCTCCTTCCCACTTAAATCTAAAAATATTAAGGTTTTATAAAATAATAGTTTAATTATTTATTATAAATGGTATTTATCTATTTTTTATTCCAATTAAATATGTATTACTCATAAAAAACCTTAAATTGATGCAATTATTAAGAGTAATAATCAAAATAAATAAAGCAATCACTAAAATTAGAAATATTAAAACAAATAACACAACCCATTTATCATTAATAAAATTAGTTTATAATTAAACATGTTCAACCAAATCTCACTATAGTATTACATCAAAATCAATAAGAGCAAAAATAATGAGTTTAACACAATTCACTCTATAACACTAGGCAACCAATAATTTTTATAACCAACCAGCATTTAATCATTTATAAATAATATCCAAATTTAAACAAAGGACAAAAAAATACATGTTAATTTCATTATATGCCTCTAATAATTAATATTATAGTTTATTCTTATATACCTACTCATAGAAAACATTGAACATTTTCCACTAAATTTCCTTATCTCAAACATATTGAAAAAATAAGATTAATTAAATTTGATCATAACACTGTAGAAAAGTTAATTTTTTAAAAGTGCATAACATGTAAAAAACTTTATAAAACATTTCAAAAAAGGTTTAAAAATTATATATAATTTTTTAAAATAATTTTTAAAAATTAACAATAATAATGCTTTTATTATTTTATTACCTCTTAAGATTTTAATAGTACCAAAAAATGTTTAAAATTTCTATAANTTTATTATTTTATTACCTCTTAAGATTTTAATAGTACCAAAAAATGTTTAAAATTTCTATAAAGTGGGTAAAAATTAAAAATGTATTATAGATGAGCTAATACTAGTTTAGAATATATCTTTTGTCAAATAACGTGTATTACGAGTTTGTAACGATATTGCGTCTTACTTACTGAAGCGTAACTAGATAGTTGAGTTCCCAAAAAAATAGTTGATCTAACTTTAAAGTTTTAAAATTCCAAATTGTGGAATGCAATTTAACGATAAATAAAATATAAAAACGCCAACGCTGAGAGTCACAGGGCACGACACATAATTGTTTTAACTTTTGATTATTAGGTAAGAATAGTTACTTTTGACAAGGTAATGGGCCAATAATATTGAATGTAAAACATCCATTAGAACATCTGTGCGAGCACAATAAAAAGGAAAAGGTAAACGAGTCATGCGCATAAACCTTATCTGATAGTGATCAGCTGATCACTTGGAGCAAAACATATGAGCGCGGTAATTTAAACAATAAACGATTTGAATGGCAATCATAACTGTAATATATTTTTATTAAAATGTTTTTCAAAATAATGGTCTAAATAGTAAGGCAAAGGTGTTCAGAGGAGCCGAATCCATTAAAAATATATTTTAAACCGAGCCCGAATCTCCCAAAATTTAAAACACCACTGTCTAAAAAACATTTAAAAATAGTTTAAAAATTACTAAGCTCGAAATAACTAAAAAATAATTGATATCAAATTACTCAAGCATTTATGAATATAGTTATTATAATTCCTTAATTTCATCATTTTAATTTTGTACCTATTTAATCACAATATCACTACTCAATATGCTAGATATTTAAAATAAGAATTTTACAAAAATATCATTATGTAAATGAGCACAATACCCGATGTTCCCTCTTTCTAAAATAAGTATTAACCACAGCAAGATCATACGATACTGCGAAATCCAGTATTCTTTCTCCAGCCTCATTCTTCCCACTAAAACCATATCCTCCATGTACTCTTTCATATCCTCTCCTCTCATTACCTACATGTCCATTCATATCTTCACCTATAACCGCCTTTTCATTGCCAGGTACCCCTTGCATCACCTCATCCATCTCTCTCCAAAATTCTTCCTTGTCTATTTCATCACATCCCACTTGTGGTGCATAAGTACTTATTACATTCAGCACTTTTTCTTCGAATATCAATTTTACGACCATAATTCTGTCACTTTTCCTAGCTACTTCTGTTGCGGCGTGCTTTATTGTATGAGTATTATTATGATTTTTTTTATTATTATTATTATTGTGATAAGCGGACGTCCGGTTTTACTCAGCGGAGAAAAACCAGTCTCCTAATAAATGCCTCACTATTCACATATAGAAAACAGGGCCGCCTTTAAGGCAGGGCACATCGGGCCCGGGCCCAGGGCCTCCTGCAAAAGGGGGGCCTCTTTGTAGACAATCGTTAAGTTTTTTTAATATATTTTTTTTAAAAAGAATACTTGAACAAAATGAAATCAATTTATTTTAAACATAAAACTTTATATTAAACATAATACACACATATATATAGATATTCCTTCTAAAATTGATTATATACTCCAATTAAACAGTTTTTTACGACATTTTTTAGTCGAAAAGTCGTTAATCAAATCATTAAAATCTATTTCATTTAATAAATTAGATTCCATGCACATGATAGATAAATAGTTTAGCCTGGACTGGGTCATCGAATTTCTTACATCGCTTTTTAAAAATTTCAAATAAGAGAATAAACGCTCGTCAGTACAATTACTTATCATCAAACTTAAATATATGCGTAAACAAATTTCAATATTAGGAAAAGTAGAACTAATACAATCTTTTTTAATTTTATCAAACAAATCAGGAATTAGTAATACCTCATCATCGTTATAAGTTTCGTTTAAATAATGTTTAAAATGTAAACATTCAGAAATTAAATTTTCCGCTGTGATATCTTTATCATAGATATTTGCCAAGTTTTCACAAGCGTCCTCGATTTGTTTGTTATTGATTTTTTGGAGCGTCGTAAAAAATGTGATATTTTCATTTAATTTATCGTAAACTTCTTGTCTTTTCTTCAAATCAGTACAAACAGAGTCACTAATAGGTAAAAAAATTTTGATTCTTAATTTATCATCGGAATTAAAAAGTTGTTCATTGGAAGGTCCATCAAAATAAGTTAGTCTGGTATTAATTTTTTTTATTCTCTGATTGCACGAATCTCCACTTAATACCGTAATATTTTTAGCTTTTACTAAAAAATTATTAAACTTATCTCTAGTATCATTCAAATACGAATTTAAAGATGTTAATAGGTGAGTAGCTACTTGTAAATTCATGTTTTTTTTTTGAAAAGTTACATTAACATCGTTTATACGACTCAAAAGATCGTTCCACACAATAGTTAAAAATATATTTTCAATATTTTTTAATTTTTTAAACAATGACTGCGCTTTGTATTTCGTATCTTGAGCTGTGTTTTGATTTTGTGTTATTTTTTCGAGAACTGTACATATTTTATCATAACCGTTATGCAAGGCAGTTATGGCATCGCAACGAGCTGACCATCGAGTAGTCGAAAGACTTTTTAAGGTTTTGTTTTCCGGTCCTAAAGCTGACAAAAGTTGTTGCCATCTATTAGTCGATAATGAAAAAAATGTATACAATTTTTGAACTAAATAAAAATAAGCTACGACTTCCGGAACACACTCAGCTGCTTTAGTGCCGACTAAATTTAAAGAATGCCCCCGCAAGGAATGTAAATAGCATATTTATTAATTTCTCTGATTCTCGCTTGCAAGCCTGAGTATTGTCCTGACATATTTGAGACATTATCATATGACTGTCCTCTGCAGTCTTGAATATCGACGTTATGTTCATGTAAAAAACTAATTACAACTTCACTTAAATATTCAGACTTGTGTTGCTCAATTGGGATAAATAATAAAAAGCGCTCGATGGGACCTTTATCAGTTGTATAGCGAACTACAAAAACTAACTGATCTGTGTGCGAAACATCGGGCGTAGAATCAACACAAATCGAGTAATATTTCGATTTTTTTAATTCTTTGATAATATAAAAAAATATTTGTTTCCCCATTAATTCAATAAATTCTTCGCAAATATTCGCAGATAAATATGATGTTATTCCGTGCTCTTTATTTCCGTAAGTCTTAATATGATCTTTTAAAAAACTATCGTATTTGCTTAAAAGTTCTAAAATTCCTAAGTAATTTCCATTTTGCGTTGACCTAAATATTTGATTACTGCCTCGAAAAGCTAGACCTCTAGAAGCAAGAAACTTAATAACATCAGTGATTCTACGAAGAACTTGTGTCCAGTAATTTTTTTCTTTGTTTAATTGAAGCGTCATTTGTGTATTTATCAAATTTAAGTTTTTTCTTCTTTTAGAGTACGTTATCAAAGATGCCTTATGAGATCGACTCTCTTCGTGGTCTACAATTCGCTCTGGATGCTTCCAGTCACGAAATCCAAAAAACGCGAATTGATTTCGTTCATTTGAAAATAAGTGGCAAATAAAACAATAAATATTACCGGTCGATGGAGAATAAGAAAGCCAGTCTCGTTCTACTGTTTCTCCGTTGTGCAAATTGCGATAAAAAAGAGATCTTATTTTCTGTTTCTCATTTTTGTCATAAATTCTAGCTAATTTTGTATATTCAACATTCTTAATATGAAAAAAAGATGGATCTTTTTGCAAGCAATAGTTTCGTAAATCTTCGTTGATATCTTTCCAGGATGCTAAGTCTGTTGAATATTTTGTAATTGTACTGAGATTTTCAGACTCATCTATTGGTATGAAACAAAAAATTTTTAATAATAAATAAATTAATAATAAACATTTTAATAAAAATTTTAATTTAAATAATAATATTATATATAATAGTCGAAAAGATGAAATAAATAATTTAAAAAATAAATACATATTGAGTAAGTTCAAAATTTTTTAACAAAAAGCTTTTTTTTATCCATTTTAATCAATGTTTAGTGTACGATCCTTACGATCCTCACTGCACGCGTGAAAATAAAAGAGAGAAGTCCGTGACACCTTTTTTCTTATTTATCTTTCTGTTGTGAAAATTTAATACGTTGAATGCACATAACAGTCAATTTGAACATGCGAGAGTCTGGACATGATTTGTTGTTCGGACCTCTTTTTATTACACTTACACGCTTGCATACCGCATGCATGTCAATTCATGCTTCACTCGAGCAATAAAACCCCGGTCGAATCGTCCTGATTCCATACCCTTATACGAGTACATTTTTTTTCTTCAATTTTTGTAAATAAAATAGATTTTTTATATTATCACTTAAAAATCTCATGTAAATAATAATTTAGTAAAAACAAAATGTACCTGTACACTTATGATTTAAAATCTCCGAATTCTCGGGCAAAGGAAGCAATGTTTTATCATTGGATTCCGAATGTTCTGTCTCGTCAATTGGCCCAAGCTCATTAGATAAGCTTGCAGCAATATCTATGAAGAAATTCCGGCAATAATTATATCAATATATTTAAAAAAACTTTCCACTTATCAGTTTTACCTGCTTCTTGAACACTTTGAACATTAATAAAATTAGTTATCTTCGGCAACTTTGAAATTTGAATTTTACCTTCTTTAGCTTTCTTCTTTTTGCTGCCCCGCTAGAGTGAGTTCGATGCATTTTAATATTTAAAATCAACAAACACAAACACGAATCATTAAACTAAAAAAAATATCTCGTAGCTTTAGCGGCGCGTAGCTTACAACACGTTGTTGCCGTAGAACATGTTTAAACATGTTTACCAGCAGTCCGCATTGTTATTGGAAAAACCGATAGTCCCTGCGCGTACGTGTCAAAATAAAATTCTTGGCGCCAAGCTAATTGCGCGTAAATCTAAAAATATACTTACTTATAGTATGTAGATACACAAATACGCGTATATATATATTTTTATATACAAATATATGTCTTGTATTTATTAAAAAATACTTACCGTTTATTATAGTGAGTGGTGGAAAAATTCTAGATATACAAAAAAGCGGCAATTCAGCTAAAACTTATTTTAAAGAAAAATCATAACGATCAATGTTACTGGTTTTTAAACAATTTCAAGATTTTTCATCTTGAATGGGCCTCCAATCTAAGTAGGCCCAGGGCCTCTAAGTAATGAAAGACGGCCCTGATAGAAAAGTTCGTTTTATTAATTCATAGTTAAGCGACATAAGTAATATTCTTCTCGTAAAAATTAAAATACAGTCCACAGTATTAACAACTTCTACTATTTTACTTTTCATCTCCTCATCCATTATTATTCCTACACCATTCTTTGTACTAGACTTGCCCGAGTATATTATTTTATAACCCTCACCTATTTCCCTTGATTTCTCTCCTTTCCACTTAGTTTCCTGCACACAACAAATGTTAACTTTTCTCCTCTTCAATACTTCTACCAGTTAATGTTCAAACATTCCAAGTACCTATTCTTACTTTGTATCTATCCCTTATACACGAGTCCAGCCTAGAGTTAAGTGGTGATGACCCTACACCGTTGACACTACAAGCGTTGGGTAGACCTGTACACATGACTGGTGAAACAGCTACCGCACAAGTTGTCTGGCTCGTATCAAACACTTTATTCCTTAGGCTTTCTCCGTTTTTAACTACTTTCTGTTGTCCCCACGTACATCTAAGATGAGACAATCCGCCAGTTTTGTTCAGGATTCCTCATACTTTTTTGACAAAGAATTTTACGTTGGCTGTCGACTTGACACAACCTCATTAGTCGCCTCTTACGACTGGCAGAGGGGCCATTGTTGCTTTTGAAATAATCTATCAATTTCTTAAAATTAAACACTATCTACAGTTTTTTTTTATTTTTATTTATGCATTATTTTAGTTTTGTCATACATTTTAAAAGAACAGTTCACTTTGGTAAATTTTTTAACTTGGATTAGTAAGATTTTATTTGAGGATTTTGATTAAGAAGGTTGACCCAACCCTAAAATTTTAGGTATAAATTTATTTATATTGATACATATAATCTAATTATATCGATTATTCGTTAATATTATACTATCAGATAATCTCAAAATAATTAACATATATTTATGTTGATTGATTGTTTTTATTCTGATTATTAAATCTTTTTAAATTTTTATAATTTAAAAATAAGCTACTAATCAACGATGTCGGTTAACATGTAGCCCATGTTAAAAATATAAAATAAATAATTGTCGATCGTTGCTATGTTTATTATACTTTATATAACTCTTAAATTTTGGCAATCAAAGCAACAAGAGAGCTTAAACTGTTATTTTTTTTTATTTACTTTGCATTTTTGTGTTCATAGTGTTTAATTCTAAGAAATAGGTGGATTATTCCAAAAGCAGCGTCGTACACTCGGTCCTCCTGTACGGGTCCCCGGTTTGGGCGGATACTCTTGAGTATTCGTCCAAAAACCGTGAAGCCCTGCTCAGGGTGCAGAGGCGGGCGGCGATCCGGACAGTTTCGGCGTACCGAACGGTGTCCGGAGTGGCGGCGGGTATCCTGTCGTCACTGCCGCCCGCCGAGAAACGCGCCGCTGGGCATGAGCTCCGCCGAGAACGCAACCGGTCCCTCGAACCCGAGGACCAGCTAGCGCTCAGGCGGATGACCATGCTCCGGTGGCGGACTCGCCTCACGGAGGAAACGACGAGAGGCGAGTGGACCAGGTCCCTCATAGGACCCGATCGACTGGACAGGTGGGTGGACCGGACTCACGGTGAGATGACTTATCGTCTCACCCAAGTGATGTCCGGCCACGGCTGCATTAACGAGTACTTACACCGTATTCGTAAAGCAGCCGGGCCGACGTGCGACCATTGTTCGGATCGCCCGGGAGAGGCTGATAGCGCTCTGCACACCCTCTTCCGGTGCGAGGCGTGGGCCCAGGAACGGGACTCTTTGGAGTCTCGACTAGGGTCCACGTTCCGAGTCGGGTCCATGGTGGACCTGATGTTGAGGAGCCGGGAGGCGTGGAGGCTCGTCCAGGTGTTCGCCGAATCCATCTTGAAAAAGAAGGAGGAAGCTGAACGCCTGAGACAGAGGCAGCCGCGCCGCCCGGTACAGGAGGACCTAAGGCGCTGGTTTAGGCCGGCGCCTTAGGTACTAGTGTTTATATGTTTTATGTTTTTGTGAGTTATTTTTGCCCCTTCGCTTTTAACGGAGGAGGCCACACCACGTTGTGAATCAGCTCTTGATTAATTTCGGGCTGATTCACAACGTGGTGGTGTGAGTTTTAGAGACGGCGTGGGCCGCCCTGAAGTAATACCTCACGGTNTGGCGTGGGCCGCCTTGAAGTAATACCTAACGGTAGTTCCAGGGCGGTCCACAACTAAGCCGATCGGAGAAAAAAAGAAAAAAAAAAGGGTAATGTCTTCAAATAGATACGATTTGTGATCTTTTGACGTATCGTTGAAAGAAATCCGTTCGGTGAGACCTGAGTAAAAGTGGTAACAGACACAAAAAAATAAATAAATAAATAAATAAAAAAACACATCATAGTAAAACCAATACCTTCTCAGCTTCGCATCAAAGCTAAAAGGTCTGTTTCAGTCTTTGACAACCGTATATATCTTATTATAGAACAAGGAAAAAAACGCTTTTCTGGAAAAATTACTTAGCGTGCTCGGATTTTCAAAATTTTTTTTTTCAACGAAAGTACTCGGTCACCAGACTCCGGGAAAATTATTGGCGAAGGTTTTTTTTTTTTTTTTTTTTTTAAGTCTACGCGCATGGTTTTATTATGCACAGTGATTCAATTCTGCTGATACTGTCGTGAACGGCATCTTGAAATATGTAGCAATACTTAATAGTTTTTTAAATTAGATTTTAAAGATTATATTTTAATGGTGTTTTGTTTACTTTAAATGTTGTCTTAACCTTGTATTAATTCGTAATTAATCATGTATCTTAAAATATAAAAAGGGACATGAACACAAATAAAATGATCAGTACTCATAGTGAATGTTACATTGTATTTTTACTTTGACTCTTCCTATTGGTACTCTTCCGACTGGCTGAAACTGGACTTAGAAACCCAGTTCACCACAATACGTTTATTATGAACCTTAATTATATGGTGTATTATGTATTATTATTAGGACACTATTTTGCATTCGCCCTATTTTAATCAAGGAATGTTATATGTTATATATAAATTTCAAGACGTTATAATTATTTAAGTTTGTACTTTCATTATAAGAACAGTACTAAGTACAGAGTTAATAATTTTCTTTTTTCTCATATATGATGTATGAGACTATGAGTTTATCTTTTGAATTGGGATTCATCTATGATAACTATGATGTTCATCGTTAAAACGCAGTTACCAATATATTTATCAAAATTAAATTTTTATTTTTATTATTAATTTTAATTTTAATTTACAATGTGCTACTTATAATAACCTGCTAAATTTTTTTTTTAATTATTCTATAATATAAACACAATTATTATAATTAGATTATTAATAATTTTTGTATATAACAGGGGTGTATTTAAGAGAGATTGGCCCCTTCTTGAACAAGCGATATCAATATTTTTTTAGGCAACTTCTAATATATAAGGACCTAATGTCCTTTTTTTTTCATCATTACTTTAATTTTAGCAAAAAAATTTCTATAACATGTTTAACAAAGTAAAAAATATTAAATTTCCTCCTAAAATAATTTTTGAATAGGCCTAAAGGGAATACCTCATTAAGAGGCTTCAACCTTATACCCAATACATTTTACTATATTCTCTTTTTGAATTTTCCTGATTTTAAAATAACATTTTTAGATATAGTTTTCTATAGTTTTCACTGATTCTGAAGTAATATTTTTTCTGAAAAACACTTATCGTGCCCGGCGTAGCCGGGTACTTCTACCGGAATCAGTGGCCTACTTATGATGACGGCCCGAAGAGGCTTACGCGCCGAAGGCTTCCAAACCCAACCGAAGGTTCGAAGGGCCCCGGGTTCTGGGGCGGAGCCCCAGCTAAGCGGAGCCTAGTTTTTTTATATTATTAACAGTTCCTGATTTTTAATAATTCAGTAAAAATAATAATTTTTTATATTAATATATGAAAATAAAGAATAGGATTGTAAATCTTATATTTTATTATACAAACAGTTTTAATGTTACAATGTTTATATTCAAAAGCAACGACTGATTTTTATTATAAAACAATTAACAAAAAAAAAAAAAAAGAAAGAAATGAATTAGTTATAATCTTAATTTATAGTATTTTCTATAACTCAACTGAGTAATAATAATATTAAATTAATTGTTAATTAATTTGAAGTTTAATTTTTTTTTTTAGTATACTTATTTGGATTTATAGTTTATTCAATTTTAATAGGTGACATTTACAACATTAAATACGTACAATCTAAGACATTTTAAATCAAAATATGAAGCAAACCAATTGTAATAATATTATATAAAAATATATACAAAATAATCATACATGTACATAAAAAAATAGTTGAAAATAGAAATTTTTATTTTCATAAATACTAATCTATCCATGTACAACAAAATTACATAAATACTACGAATTTCATAATATATTCATAGTTTTATAAATGTTGGATGTTTTTTAATTCTGTGACACAAATTTGTATTATAGTATATATCATTAGATAAATACACCCAAATCTCTTGATGTGTCATCACTACTAGAACTACCACCAGATGTTAATGTTTCCTCTTTTACTTTTATTATACTGCTTTCATCCTTTTTTTCTTTAGCTTTGTCTTGCTTGTGTTTGTGTTCATGTTTATGCTTATGTTTGTGTTTATGTTTTTTCTTTTCCTTTTTCTTTTTCTTGCTCTAAAAATGAAAAATTAGTTTAAGAAATATTAAAATTTTATCTTTAATTATTAGTATATTTTTTGACATAAAATATTTCCATTAAATCATTTATACATAATATTTAGTTTAAAAATTAAACATGAAATTTTTGAGTTAAAGTTATAAAATACCTCTGTTTGGAATGGTCTGTAAGATAATCATAAAATGTAAGAGTTTGCCATTTAAATTTTTTGACATTTGCCATCATAAACTCATACTTTTAATTAAAACCTTGGTTTCAAAAAACTTCGGAATTGTATACAAAACCCAATTTACATTCTGACATTAACAGATATTTAGTAGAACTTCGATAAATCAAAACTTAAAGGAAATTATTTATTTTTTCAATTTAAAGAGAATTTCAAATTATTAAGGTTTTAGGGGAAAAAATTCAATATAAATAGTTTTGGAAAATTATTAGAATTATTTTTATATTCATAACTCTTAGCCATGCACAAGTAACTGTCGAATCCCAATTAATTATACTCAATTTGATGAAAATATAAAAATGTTTCTATTCAGAAAAACTATCAAAATATATAATATAATTAATAATAATTGCCATACTTAATTTGTAATTAGATATAAAGCAAATTACTGTAAAAAAACTTAATAACTTATGTAAAATAAATAATTTCTTTGAATTAACTAGTTTTTCTTTTGAGTATTCAAAGTTTTGTCAAGAATATAGAATTTATATTGCTTTTTAGAGGTTTTAGATTTATCATATTTCTACTGTATTATTCATTTTTTATAATTATTTATATTATAAATAATATTTACAGAAGTACTTGATCCATCAACTTTGCTATGGTGGTGATGGTGATGATGATGATGATGTTTACTTGTTTCAGATTGTGTTACTTGTTTCATTAGTATGTCATCAGATTTAGCTTTAAACATTCCTGGCTCAAACCCAACAGGTCCAGATGTATTTGATACCATAATACCAGGAAGAGATGCTGAATTTTCCGAAAAATATCCAGTCTTAGTTTTTTGTTCAGTTACTTCAATAGATGATTGAACACTCGAAATTAGAGTCACACACTTATTAGTATTTAGTATTTCTTGTAATTCTTCTTTAACCTCAGTCTTAAAAAAAATTATTAAAAACAAATTTTTTTTTATTGATCCTATATTAATCTAGAAGTCATATTTTTAAATTATAATAAATAAGGAGAACTTTGTTTTAATTAACACATTTAATGTCTTACTAAATAAGATATATATTTAAACCAAAAGAATATAATTTCTTAATTTACCTTAATTTTCTTTTTAAATAATGGATCATCAAATGCATTTTGAGCAAGGTTATCTTCTATTTTTACTATATCATCAGTAACTTGAGGGATCATCAGTGGATCATCATAATTTGAACTCCTTTTGATACCACGTTCTTCATTTAAATTAGTATCTGGTTCAACTATTATACTAGGAAGAGTACAAGATTTAGCCTAAAATATACATCAAATATATCAATTAATAAGTACATAATTAAAACAATTTTAAGATTATTCAACTTAATTATATTTTTATAAATGAGATGTAAATTTTATTTATTTGAAAAAAAACTGTGAATTTTTAGTGAAAATAAGAGATATCTTTAGTGGCAGAATACAGATTTAACAGAAGATACTGGATTCAATTAATATTTTTATTGATCACTTTAAAGCATATCCTAAAAAACATGATTACTCGTGATAACTAACATGATAACTATCCTTCTTGGTTACCATATATCTGTACCTAAGAATTCAACAATGATAAGTCTAATTTTCTTTTTTAATGACGTAAGAGTATTAAAAAATTCAAACATTTTTTGAATTATCTATTTGAATAATATTTCAAAATACTCTGTTAAGAATTCATTGGTTCTCTAATATGAATAAACAATAATTTAAATAACTTTAAGATCGAGAAAAATAAAATAATCTTTCACTAAAATTCAATAAGAAAACAAATATTTAATAAATTAATTTCTGTTGAAGTAAAAATTAAAATTTAGTTTAACCATTTATATTTTACTGTTAAGTAAAATATTATAATTTATGCTGATGTAGTATTACAAAATTCTATGTAAATTTTTTTTTTTACTGTTTGTGGTATGTCATTGTTGTTTTATTGTAATTACCGTTTTATATTATATTTGTTGTAGGTAGAGAAAAGCCAAAAATGTGATGGAGGGTTGTTATTGAATGCAATATGAGGACGGCCAATGTGAGCGTAGATAATGTGTCAAGTGGAAGTTTAGGATAAGGGTGGCCGACCCCAAGTAGTTGGGATTATTGTCAATATAACTTTTACTAAATTAAATTGTTATAATATTTTATTTCAAATAGTAGTTAAATATTATTTTAACCTCTAACGATTTCTAAATTATAGTAACACAATTTAAAACAATTTTTTAAAATCAAAAAACTGTATTATTTATAATTCATATTTTTAGGAGGAGCAAATAATAAAACTTACTTCTACTTCAACCTTAATTGGTTTGTATAATGCAGCTATTTCAGAACGTAAAACTTTTTGTTTTCCGTATAATGTGTGATACAAATCAATAAAGTTACATCTTAGAGTTGTATCATATGAAAGCAAAGAACTACAAAAATTAAAAAAATTAAATTGTAAAACTTTATTATATATTAATTTAAATTATTATTTTAAAAAAGAAAGCGAACAACTTACATTCATAATAACATAAACACAACATTTAAGCCCCCCTTTTTTTTAATTATGAAATTTCAATTATAAATAGCTGAATAAGACATTCAACAAGCAAACTAATTCAATTTTTTAAAATATTAAATATATTTGAATTAAATTACCAATTGTAATTTGAACATAATATGTAATTGTAAAATTATTAAATTTTATCTTAAAGTATATATAGTAAAACTTCAGCTAATAGTAGCTGGAGTTTTTCATAGTAATGAAATAGGGACATTATAATTATCATTCATAGTTAGTATGCTAGTTGTAAATAAAATTAAACAACAAATACATTACTTGATTAATTTCCATAAATGATGAACAAGATACTCATTATTCAACCTATTGTTTGGTTTTTTTGGAGTGAATGGAGGATTTTTACATAACATTCGAACAAGTTCATTTCGAACTTTAGGATCTGGATCACTGTCAGCTATATCTATTAAATATTTTAAATCTTCCCAACGTCCATCCAAACAAGTGAAATCTACTAAAGCTTCTAAAGCACAAAGTCTCACATCTATATAAAACAATGATAAATTGAACACCTATACTATGAAAAAGTAAGTTGAAAAATTTGTTTTTTAGGTTAGTATACAGTAAGCAGTGCTTGAGTCAGAAAATGAACAGACTAATACAAAACATGCATTGAGGCTTTTATTATTGGGTAATAAAAAGACAAATTATTTTATTTTTAAAAAACCCTGTGATGTTATTTTAAAAATTACAGAAAACTGTTAAAAAAATTTTTCTTAAACGATTTTAGAACTTAATTTACAAAAATTACTATTTTTTTTTCGACTATATAATTCAATAATTGAGTTAATCATTTGATTTTTAACAACAGACTCCTCAATTTGCTCCAAAAATGTTTCGGGAAAAGGTAGTGACATTTATTTTTAATTTAAATAATTATTGAAGGAGGAACTCCAGAAACCTGCCTTGTTTAAGTTAAAAAATTTTAATTTTAGTATTGTTATTTTTAGCCATCATAAAACATCACCATAATACTATTCAATTTTTCTATATCCTATTTACAGGAGAACAGATCTAATGATAACTTCTATAACTTTCGATAAAATCAAATATTATTTTTTTTTATAATTTATGCATTTTTAGACTGTGTTAAAATTATATTTTACATTATTTGTTTGTAATAATAAAAAATTTAATTTTTTTTAATATTTCAAAATAACCAATTTTGATCAAATTTTGATGGGATGATAGGAACTTTAGGATAAGTACTTAGCGAGTTACAAACATTTTAATACATAAAGTGAATATGTAGCACATACAGAGGACATATACACCAGTATAAGTTGTACTCACCTGCACTGCATACCACTTTATGTATTATAATATTCGTAATTCGCTTAGTACTTACCCTAAAGTTGCTAGGATCTCATCAAAATTTTTTGTAATTGAGTGAAGTTCGCATTATACGCAAATATTAGTATGAGCTTCATACAGTGGATCAGTAGTGCAAGTTTGTACAATTTATCAGTTTATGATCTGATTTAAAAAAAATCATTTAGATCTCAGACACCTGTATATTTATATTATACAATGAATTCTTCATTTAATTTTACCAATGAAATTTCCATATGATGCATAAGAGCGAAATATATTAGGATTATTTGGCAAATGACCAAATTTTTGTAATTTCCTAATAGCTTTTAAACAAGCAATAGTGATTGGATATTTATACGTTTGCAAACGTTTTTCTATATTAAGGTGTTGAGTAATTTCTTCAAGAATTAGTTTTGAATCACCAGAAAGAGAATCAGCTGTTATATCACAACTGAAATATAAACAAAACATATTAATAAATATTTACTCACAATAATATTTAAATTCTCTGTATTAAACTTATATTATTTAGAAAATATTAGCTACTAAATCATTAATATTTTAAAAAACATACGCTTTTTGCATTAGTGATATAACTGGAGTAACTGTTGCTCCAAGAGCATCAATTAAAGCTGCTCTATAATAATTATCTGAATATCTATTTTTACTATTATCATTATACTTAAATAAATCCAATATAAACTTCAATATTTCTGGAGGACAAATTCCATGAGAATTTCGCAAACCTGCCATTGCTACTGGAATTGTCTGAAACAGAGTAAAAAATAATTAACAATGATGAATAATTATACAATTTTAATTTATTAATATTTAACTAGCTCCCATATTTATACCCAAAGTATTTAAAATACAAGTTAAATGATTTTACAATTTTAAACTAATAAAATAATATTAAAAATATAGTGTTATGTAAAATGTGTAACATTCTTTTTTATGAAAAATTACCCACCTTCCTAAAAAGAACAATACAATTTTGTATAAAGCATTATAGATACATCCTATGTCAATTATAGCTGCAAAGATATGATAGTAAAGTAAGAAAACAAATAGTGCTTAAATAGTGTACAAATTATTATGTTGATACAATGCCTACATTGTATTGTTTTATGTATATAGTTTCACCTTCTGTTTGTATACAGAATGATTATATTAAAAATAACTACTCAAATCCTATTAAAATAATCATTTTTTGGGATTTTTTTTTTATTTTGTTAGAAATATATGTATATCCAAATAATATAACCAAACCAAATCCAACCATTTATGTTATATAGAGTATGTTTTATGATCATCCCCTATACCTTTTAGGAGTCAAGTACTCTTTTTTTTTTTTTATTGTATAATATTTTCTACTTCCTGTGTATAAAGAAACAGGTTTTTAATATAGCTTTTCATTTTACTAGGTTTTCATTCTAATAATAACTTCATTACTACTCATACATATATTGAACAGTTGTTTCATAGAACAAACATTAAACAATTGATCTAAAAGAACTTCTATGACCAAAAATAATTTTGAGTATACAAATTTAAATTTAAATTTAATTATGTAATAAACAGATGTCCCACCAGGTTTTGACATCTTTAATGATTTTTGATTCAGGGTATACTTTATGTTACTTTTTTTTTTTAATTTTTAAAGTTTGGGACTATGTTAAAAATATATTCTTTGTAATTATCTTTAATAAAAATATATATAAACATACATATATTTGATATTCACATAATAAGTAATAAATATAAGTTTAATTTATAATTTTTAAAATTTTAAATTATAATTTGAGAGTTCTTGTCATATTAAATCTTTAAAAAAAATAATTTTATATCATTTGTGTAATTTAAAAATTTTTTGTAGAGGTTATAACAATTTATTAGGTTAGTCTCATTCAACCATTTTCACCCATCATGCCCATAGTCATAAAGATAAAAAAATACTACAAATATTTTTCTAAAGTAATTGAGCACTATTATTTTCAAAAAGTATTCTTTACAGAACTGAGTATAGAGGGTATCATTAATTAAACAAATAAGAAAAATAAGAATTTAACTTTAAATAAAGTTGAAAGATAAAATAGGAATAAGAAATAAAACTACATTCTTAGTTTTATGGACAACAGTCATAAAATTAATCGTAAAAGCATAAGAGGAGTATAAAGAAGTTAACAATTTAGAAATAGTTACTTTTTGAATATAGTAATGTTGAAGATTTGAAAAATTGTTTTGTTTAATTATATGTGGACAAGAAAATGAACCAAACATCTTTTTAAATGTTGCTAACATGGCTGGAGGACCAGTCCAATTAGTAACCATTGCATTAGCAATCTGAAAAATATAAAGAAAATTTAAAATTGTTTTAATTTTAACAATTATGTTAAACTTTTGATATACCTTTGTTAAACAATGAGCTGCTTTACACCTTATATGTATGTATACTTGTTCATTTTCAATTATATCACAAAGAGCGTTACGTGTTGCAATTGTTGGAAATTTGTCAAGTGCTACAACAGCTTCCATTTGAGCTGTCACATCTTTTTCATGTCTTAACTGGTAATTCCACTGATACTCAGGTTGTTCAATAATACAACTACGTAAAATAGTCATTTCAGGGTCCAATCTGATCCAAAGTACTGGCGAATCATTACTAAAGGATTACCAATTAAATTTTTATCTTTCAAAAATATTTTTTTATTTCAAATCAAATGTTGTAAAACAAGGGTATTATATAGATAATGACTATACAATGACTTTAATAAGGTAAAAAAAATGTGGTTAAACACCACTCTGTTATTCACCTTAATCTAATATGCATTTCATCAAGGCTAGGCATTAACTTGATAAAAAATTAAATAAATCATTAATTTTTTGAACGATTTAACATTTAATTTATTTTGTTATATTTTTTACTTAAATAATGTTTTAACTTCAAGTTAATTCAGTATTAAAATTATGTTAAATTTGTACTTCACGATACTTAATTTTTGCAATCTAATGTTTCGACTCCCTATAATTTACCATTTATCTTTAATGTATACTTTGAACAATTAATACATCACTGGTTGGAACAAAATACATTTTTTAGTATTTTTCTTACGATAAATTTTGATGATGAACAATAATTTTAGGATCTATAATTATCAAGTTACCAACATTTTAATAAATAGAGTAGGTATGGAATGCGGGCAAAGTATACAGATTTCACCCAACCATATAACATAACCACTCTATGCATTAATATGAACTCAATACTAACTCAATGAATACTTGACCCATAGCACTTTTTTAAAAAAAATGTCTATTTCAAAATGTAGCAAAAAATAAAATTTTATTATAAAAAAATGTTTTCTTAATAGAGATAAATAAGAAAAAATATACATTAAATGTAATCTAAGAAAGGAATAATTATTGTATAAAAATTTTTTTAACTTAAACTTTTACTAAAAAAATTTTTTTTGATGAATTAATTTATGATAGAAGAATCATTCTGTATATCCTTATAATTAGAATTCAACAGTTTTTTTTATTGGGATCCATTAAATATAAGTACATTTTTAAGTTTGGTAGGTTAAGTTAACAGATTTTCTAAAACATTTTGAAGATTATGTATTAACTCCATAACACTTACTCCATAGCATTTAAATCAATGTCTACTTCATCTCCAGTACACAATGGAATTTTTTTTTTTTTATTACGTCTACTCTTAGAATGACAAGTAATATCTGCTCTAGCAACATTGCTTTCTATTTGTAAAGTATGTTTAAAAGGACCATCAAGTTCTTGAATGCTAACTAACAATGGACCAACATACTTTCTTATGCCTCTCTGAAGTAATGCATCTTGTCTAATTTCTAATTCTAATGTATTCCTTTAAAAATACAAAGAAATATTATTATTAATATACAACACACATATAGAATAGTGGATATATTTAGAAAAATTAGATCATTTTTTACCTTCAAGTATTAGCAAAAGTTAACAAAAGTAATGATTAAAATACTTTTAAAAAAAAACCTTAAACTACATGTACCCCAACTCTGTAGACATGTAACAATAAAAATTTTATCACTAAATGTAGTCACTGTAAGGGGTTTTAATCAGATTAATAATTAAAATTATTTTGTAAAGTACCAAGAATCTAAAAATAACTATCAGGCTAATTTAGATGAAATAACACAGTTGCAAAAATACTTAAAATTATATTTAACAATTTTAAAAAATTAAAATTTTTTTGGGGATGTCCCTCATTTATAGAGAAAAAGGGAAATTTTTTCAATTTTTTAGAGAATGTCTTCAACAAGTTACGAGTTGTAAGCTTTTGACATATCATTGAAAGAAATCGGTCAGGTGAGAGCTGCGAAAAAGTAATGTAATATTATATTATTACATATAATATTAACATATAATATGATGTTATCATTAGTACATGTATGTCACATATCATGATTATACAAGATCACCAAAACAGGGTTCTCTTATTTAAAATACAAAATAACCCTTTAACTATATGATAAAATCTCCCTCTTGTAGAAATTATTAAGTAACGCCTACACGCAGGGACCCCATTTTAATTAACCAATTAGAATACAAAGCCTCAGCTTCCAGGATCACGGTAGAGATCGCTGGGCTACCCCCTTCAGACTATAAAAAGCCATTTTTCCCCATCTAAACCAGTTCTTTTGACAATTTTAAAGTACACAAAATCTACGACACTCTACTCAAGATTTCACTCTCCGGGACTTAGTCGATTTTTTTAATTAATTTGGACTTAGAATATTTTTCTTTAAAACTAAATGACACTTAGAAATTTTAAAGTAAATTTTGTTTTGGTGAATCTTTTAATTTAATTTAATTTGTTCAATCATTAATAATATTTTATTTTTCTTGTTATGAAAATAAACATCAAATAATATTTTAAACATTATATCTTTTTTAAAATTATTTTATTTTAATAGTAAATCCAACCTAAATTTAGATTTTTATTTAATAATAAAAATTTATTATGAGCTTTTCTTATTGGGTAGCTAGTCTCGTTGCTAATGTCTTTGTTTTAATAAACATTGCGCCGGCAGACAACGCAGAGAAACTTACGAATATATTTGCAGTGTTTAATTTTTGTCTTGGTAATTATTGTACCGCATCCTTTCAAGGTGCTTTATTTTAGCACCGGGACACATTGGGCCACCACAATTCTGCCTTGATAAATTTTTTACATAGATATAGATATTTCTGAATCTTGTTTTGGCCAGGCCAGAGGAAAATTTAAGAAATATTGGTATCGATCTCTCAATAAAAAAATATACTCTCTAAAAAAAAAAAAAATACTTATTCAATAGACGTAAAAAAAATCAATAAGTAGGAAAAAAATCAAAATTGTATTTATAATAAAATACAGAGTGTTTAGAATCTTTTACAAGTAAGATCAGTCTTAGACTTTGTGTAATTAAATCATATTATTTAAAGTTTTCAATCGTTTTTGTAAGTAATTATATAAACTATATGACATATAGTATAAATCGTATACTTAGTGCATTTAATACGGAAATCAACGCTGGATTACTTGAAATATTATTGTATTACACAGGACGTAAGGTAAGTGTACAATTTAACCTATGCTTTCGAACTTCCAACAATCTATTGCGTGATAAACCATTAATAATTAATGAGAAAATTAATTTAAATAAAATTGAAGACATTAAAATTACAAAAACTTATAATAAATAATGATTATAATAATTTACTAAGTAGCCACCAAATTTTTTTTTTATATTTAACCTATCCAATCTCAAATTTAATAATTTCTCAATATTTTTCTCTTTTCTTTCTTTTTATTTTTGGTTTATTACAGTAAAAACATAAAAAAAACACAGTAAAATTAATACCTTTTGAACTTTGCATCAAAGCTAAAATATTTAACTATTTATAATTCAATAATAATACTAAATAAATAAATAATACTAAAAATAATCAACATTTTTTTTTCAAAATTATTATTATTTTAGAAGAAATCTAATGTTAAATAATAAATCAAATCTATAATTTACCTTTTTCTGTTAAATACAAAAGAACAAGTAAATTTTGCATGACCACCTGTCCTAACCCATTGGTCAATGAATACAGACATATCAATTCCAGAAACTGTAAAAATAGTCTTATTAAATATGTTAGTGCTTATTAACATATGACCCCATAATCCAGAACTCATTGGATTTTGTGAAGCATTACTAGCTAGAGATAAATGCTTGTTTAACACCTAAAAGAAAAAAACATTTAAAATTAAAATTATATTAAAAAATTTTAAAATTATTTACAAACCTAATTACTGGTTTGGAGATAATTAGAAATTTTTAATGAGAAAATATGATACAAATTAATTTTTGACAAATATTTATTATTTTTGAAAATTGTGAGCAATTTGATACTCTTCTACTAATTTCATTGTCATATGAATATACAGATTATAAATGCACACTTATATGTTAGTGATATTAAAACTATTTTGCTATCAATATATTGTTATTTGAATTTGGTTAATTTCTTTAGTTTGATATTTTCAAATGAAAACTATCAAAAAATGACTTGTGCCTTTACTAAAATATTTTTTCTGATTGTAAATGTGACTGACTTTTCAAATTAAAATCACAAGAAAAAATAAATTAACTACCTGTGGTAATAATATTGATACCAGTTGTTAATGCAGTGAAAAGTTTTCAATAAAATTTTTAGATAACACAAAAATAACTTAATTATTTGATTTAACCACTTTTTCACTAAAAATTGTCCACTTGTCTAAGACACTCTTTAACAGACAGTTTACTTAAATAAAGTTTATAATTATGTAAAAATGGTTTTAAATACTATTCACATAAAATAATTGAAAATTTTTAAAAAATTGGAAGTACGAACATAACAAAAAAATTAATATTACCTGTAATAAAAGTGAATAGCCAATACGGTTTTCTAACATTCTAATTACAAGATGAGCTTTTTTTGTCATATAATGAAAATATCGAGGGGATATTGTATGTAAACTTCTTGTAGAAAAATAAAAATTTGAAGTATCATTAGCACTTTGAACACTATTGAATGACAATGATAATCCTGGATTAGATGATCCACCAGGACTGATAAGACCACTGCTTAATGGAGCTGGTTGTTGAGTAGGATCTAATACTATTGGTCCAATTTCTTCTTCATATCGTACTAAACTTGTTAATTCCTTTGATAAAAAAAAAAAATTAAATAAAAAAATTATATGCTAGTTATAAATTTACAATTATCAAATAGTATTAACATTATGTATCCATTCACGATAAGTATTGTTTCCAAAACATTTTTTGGCAAATAAACCAGACATGTATAAGGCTATACCACATGTAAGCCACCAATCTGACCAATTTTGTGTCGAAATAAAACAGCCAAAAAACTGCTCAGCCATTACTTGAGCCATAATTTTTTTTGAAACATAAACTTGATCTATAATTTGTTTTGGATGTAATACATTAACACTAAAAATATTTAATATACTTAAAAAAATATTTTATCATATTTAATCTCATAATAAAAAATGATTACCTTATAATTCCCAGTGATGCATATGATGAATAGTCAGTAGGAGTTTCATCTACAAAAACTTGTTTATAACAACTGTAAGGATATCCATTTGAAAGTGTATCTTCATAAAACTCTAATGCTTCATGAGTGTACTTAGCGACTAAAGGTAAAAGTTCAGAAAGTCCCGGTAAACAAAAATGAGTAATAATGTGCATTGTTGGATCAACATAAATTTCAAAAGGCCTGAAAAAGAATTTTTTGAATAAAAAAGTATAGATGATTTCTGACAGTAATTAAAATCAATATGATAAAAAATGCTATGATGCAAACTTGGATTTTTTTAATAGCAACTAAACTCTTATTTTCTTAATGAGAAAATAACAAAGTATGTATTATTAGCTACATTTGTTACTACTCGGTAATTAAAAAACAGTTACAACGTCATATCAGTAATAATTTCATAAAGTATAGTTTTCTTATTTTAGCTTGATTGTAGTCAAAACCAGTTAATATGCAGTTTTCTGATTCCATATTTTGTATATTGTTATTATTTACTAAACTACTAAATTGCAGTTATTTACTAAGGACATAACTACTTACCCTACTGCTAATGCAATATTTGGTGCACATGTTGGCATTGATAAATTATAGTAATAAGTTTTACGCCTTAAGTCTGGAGCTGCTACCACTTCAATTAAATCACCACATGAAACAGCAATCATATTTTCATCAACAGTAAACTCTAAGTTCCATGTACATGGTTCAGCGTAACTATCAACACATGGAAACCATAGCCTTGATGAGTTCTCAAAACATCTAGTATACATGTGAGCTCGTCGCTAAAAATTTATGCAATAAGATTAAAATTACATTTTTTATTAAATTATAATTTTTAAGTCACGAGGTGACACATCTCCATAGTGAAGAATAAGTATTTCACTGAACATAAAAATATATTTTGTAATTTTTTGAATTAATAGAAATTTATTTAATAATAAAATATTTTATTTTATTTATTGATAGAAGATATGATTAAATTTAGTTTTGGACAGAATTTAACGAATAAAGTTTAGGAACCTCTACCTATGTATTAAGAGTTCAAAAATATTGAAAATATGGATAATCTCTCATAATATCTCTATTTAAAAAGTATTATTATCACATGAAACAATTTATAATATAGAAAACACTTATTTTAAAAATAATTTAGTAACCTTTGATTTTAAAATTTTTTTCATGCGATTTCAAAAAAAATATTATTGAAGTCCTAAGCTTTTGCTACTTTAAGTTTGTTGCTATGTCACTCGCACATAATAAGAATATATTATTTATAATATGTGTCCTGAGTGAATACATTTGATTTAAAATAATGACAGTCATTTATGCAATATTAACACTATCATAGTAACCCTTTATCTCTAAACCACATACAACATCTAGCATAACTAAACACTCCACCCACAATATCATAAACCATACATTTTCAGGATTACGTTTCACATAGATTAGACTCTTTAAAATATACATCATACAAAGATTAATTGATTAAAAAAGAATCTTGGTCACATTTGACACAAGAGCAAAAAAATGAGTAAATAATTTTTACTTCACTAAAAGATCCTTCACCATCAGGTATGACAAAGTGTATACCACCACTTGGTTGTTCTAAGGAATATTCTATATTTATTTTAAAAGTAGTGGTTTCATTTATAAATGATGTTATATCAGGTGGAAGACTTATAACTAATTCTCCATTGTTGTTATCTGGGTCAGTCTCTTGTGCTGCACTTAAATGACAAGTAGAAAATATACTTAATGTTGGCCTATATTAATAATAATAATTACTATTACAATACTATCAAGTTTATTTCACTATTAAATAACATCTATTTAAGTTTAGTAAATAAATTTGTGTAATTTATGAAATATTAATAGCCATAGTTAATTACTCTTCTTGACTTCCTTGAGTGATATCAATAAATGGATCAAAATACTGAAAGGGAGCTTCAAATGTTTCATTTACTGTTACATGGTATATACGGCATTGTTTAGCATTAAGCTTAATGAATCGTAAGTTACTTTTCAGAGGAATAATTGTAAGTTCAACCATGCCCTGAAAAGAAAAATGTTGGTTAAAAATTAACATTTTTTTTAGACAACATAATAAAAGGCAATTTAATAAAACAAGTACCAATATATTTTTCCTTTGAAAACTTATTCCAGTTAAACTAACTAATTGATGGGCTGTAAAGAAAATTGTTTGAAATTAATTTTTAAAAATTAAAATTATATTTTAGTAAATAAAGGAAATTATTATAATTTTTTTATATAAGACTAAAATAAATTTTCCTAATTTATTAAAGTTAGGATTAAAAATTAATAAAGATTGGAAATGGAGATTATTTAAAATACCTTTATAAATCATTGCAGCAACATGGATTTTGGGGGCCCTGGGATATGATCAAACATTTTAAATATCATATATTATTTATAAAAATCACTATACAATTTAAAACATATCATTATTCTAAAAATTAATAATATTATATTAAAAATAGAATGTATATCATGTATTTAAATTTATTAATATTATAAATAACTCTAATAGAAAAAACAAAAGTTTTAAAAATGTCTAATTTTTATTTATTAAAATATAAAATTAAATACTTAAATAATGGAACTTTTTTATCATATATCTTGAAAAATTAAAGGTTAAAGTTTTTTTCTAATTAATTTCAGTAATAAAATCATTTTGTATTATGAATATTGCTAATTCAAAGTTGATTTAATCAATTTTTATTTTTTATAAATTTTTTGAGTAAAAGAAGTTGATTAGTAATTTATTATAATTTTTTGATTTATAATGATGTACAAAATCATAAGATTTTTTAACAATATTAATTATTTTAAGTCCAACAATTTAATTAAGTTTTGGAAAGTTAAAAGTGCTACATACTTTTTTATACCAAAAAAAAAAATAGATTCTAAGTGACTTAACAAAATGTTAAATATAAGAAAACTTTATTCTAAATTTTTTTTCATTGATTTGTAATATATGGTCTCTATTTATATCATAAAATTGATACATATGTGTAATATATGTACATCATTGATTGTTACTTTATATATTATTTATTATAACAAGAAACTAATATTACCCAATTATTTTAATAAATCATTATACATATTAAAATCAAAGCATCAAGTTCTTGAATATAGCAACTGATTAGGGTACCCTTAAAATTATAAACAGCCAGAATATTGCAGCTGTCACTTCTGTGGTTGTTGTTGCAATGATTTAAATATAACAATTTTAGAAATATTTGTAAAAAATACCACTGAAATCTTGCATACAATACTAATAATTTTTTTACTATAATTAACTCGTGAAATACTTATAATTTATAAGGTCTAGCGTTATCTCCTGTTTTATCTTTCTTCATGATTAATAAAATAATTAATTTACTATTTAATGTATATTCAGATTTAACATGTTTTTATTAAAAACACTACAATACTTTTTGTTGTCAGACATTTAAAAGAAATATAAAAATAGAGCAAGGTATATTTAATTGAATAATTAATTAAATAAAAATGTGTTAAGTTAACTGACACAATTACAACAAAATTTGTTCTTTTGCATAAAATATTAGCCGGATTTAAAATTAAACATGTCACAAAATTATGTTTACTATTTGATAATATTATCACTGTCTGTTTACGGACAACTGTCCGTAGGGACATAGAATAAATGGTAGGGATGTTCAAATATTTGATTATTATCAATATAATAATATTGATAATATCAAAATATCGATATCCTGTCCAAATAAATTTATCCTTTTAAGTAGTTTTTGGTGGAACTGATTTTGCCCTGCAAATAGTTGGTATGGAGATGAATGAGGAAGATGAAAACTTTTAAAATATTTTCTATTTTTTTTTTTTTTGTGTATGATTTTGATTTTTTATATCTGACTTGAGCAATCTTTTAAGGATTTGAGAATCTTCAATCTCCGGAAGTAAATACTCCATGTAAAACCTAATAAAATATTAAAGACTGTGTAATGCGTATTTCACAAAATACACAAAACGGGGTAAAGTTAAAATATCAAAGTGTACTGATTAGAACACAATAGTTAGAAATTATAAGTTTTAGTGTAACGTTATAAGGCACAATGATATAAGAAATAAGAGTTCATTAACAAATAAATATAAATTCATATTTGGTCAGAATACAATTAGTGAGAAATATTATTAAGAAATAATACATATAAACGAATGTATATATACACTCATATGTTTATATCGATTAGCAAACACAAACGTTTATAGGAATCGTAAAATAAACGCCATTTCACATTTATCAAAACAATCAAAAATCCTTTAATCATTACCATTTATTTAACATTTCGTTAAAATTCAATTTCTAAAGAATCATTATTTAGGACAAACCTTAAATTAAACTAAGCGTAAAAACATAGTATATGTAAAAAATGGAAATTAAAAATGTTTATCTCCGAATTAAATAAATATAGTTTAAAAACACGCTTTTAAAGCACGTCGAATTAAAAAGTTAAAAATAATTTTTGAAATAAGCTTAAAACAAAAAGAATGAAAAATACTAGTATTATTGTGAGAAAGGGGTCGGGCGCTCAATGTACAAAAAACATGGCACAAAGCGTCCACGCTTTATTCACAATTATACTAGTATTTTTTGTTCATTATTGTTTTAAGCTTATTTTTAACTTTTTAATTCGATGTGCTTTAAAAGCGTGTTTTTTAGTTTTTTAAACTATTTTTATTTTATGACATCGATGTTAAAGTCACGGAGTGTTTATTGTCATTTATGACCATAAATAAATATAATTTCTGTATTGGCAGTTAGTGTATTTATAAACTCACAACTGTGTCTAACTACTATTGATAATAAAGGCTATATATCTGCGAATATCATCATAAAAACCCAATTAGCTACCTGTATTTGTAATCCCTAATGTATTATACATGTATAGTAACTCAAAAAAATTCAAATCTTTAAATGTTTATATCTAGTAAAAAACAATAAAAATTTGTTTAAATATATATAATATTGATAATACGCCTGCGTGTACGGGTACGAAGACCAAAAATAAAATTATGCAGGAAAATATTGTTATCGGTGATGGGTGAGAGGGGTAGGGTGAATACGTTACAACAGTCTAGTCTCAAGGCCGTAGACGACGGGATACGCGAAAATAACACGTGGCGCATGGAGAGTTACAAACAAACTTACAACAATCATACATGTGAAATTAATATAAGCGTGTTAAAAATACGCTATTTGGTGATAAGGTCCAGCGGGATAATTTTAAATGTATTATTTCTCTAAGAATATATAGCAATTTCATTTTAGATGCTTATACAAATTTTAATTTAAATTTATATACACTATAGTGCGAGTAAACCTAGTAAACTATAATACGTAAACGCTCTCTATACATGCATATAGTAAGGAGTATTCTATGTATCATAAATATAATTATAGTCAATCTAAAATTTGTAAAACGCTGTTTAATGACGCCTAGACCTATTATTCGCGTTACATAATTTTTGTAAAACTTGCAACTTTATCTTATGAAATTTAATGTATATAGAGATTATTAATTATGCCCTTAACAATTTAGAATTTCTTATCACACATTATGAGTTTTTAAATCAAAAAATGGCCTTCTGTAATACTCTATATTACGTATAAATAAAATCAGGAACGGTAAATTTTAAATTCATACTAAAATTTTTCATAATGACCTTTATTTTTTGGGCTAATAATTAATTTTTCAGGGAGAATATCTGATTTTTGTCGACTTCTAAAAAATCAGCTACTAGAAGGACGGTTGATTCTGCCGCTCTCGAATACAGCGTATGCTGTCGACTCTTTATCCGTGGCATGTATGTTTTCTAATATTATAAAAAAAAACTTCATGCAAATTTCTAACAGATTTTCGATCAATAGATATTTTCATTATTGTTGACATGTAAAAAGCATACAGTAATTCTATAGTAATAATGAACTCGGTAAATTAAATTTAAGTACCATCATTTGGTAAGAATACTAAATGATGGTCATTTAATTCATTTAGTTAATTACATATTTAGTTAATAACATTTAATTATTTCATAAACATTTTTAAATGTTTATGATTTCTCACTTCTCTCGCAACCTGACATACTAAATTTAATTGATACCACAATGAAATATTATAAATTAATACTTTATCAAGAATGAATAATATTTTTCTTTAAAATATTTAACCTGTTTTATTTATAATCGTGCCTGCAATCAAATAGTTCATATTATTCTGAGAGCCAATCAGAACAAACGATTCAGCTACAGGTCTCTAGTAATGTATGGTATGAATAGATATCTTTATTCTGTCTTAATCATGTTATTATTTATATATATGTAAATAAGTTATCTACATATTAGAATACGATTATCTGAGATAACCGTAGTCTTAATGTTCATGTAATTGGGTATTGTTTAAGTTTAATATTTAAAATAATAACGAATATAATTTTTGAAGATAACAAAGAGTGAAATGTTGAGGTGCTAAATTGTTTTAGCTGATTCAACATAAATTATTTTGCATAGTAAATGCCTAAATTTAAATGCACCGATAAAAAAAAAATATAAAATTTTTAAATTATAAAACTATGTGTTATTCCTTAGAACCATATGTTGTATATCTTGGAGAACCAATATAAGTTATCGAAATCAATTTTATTTATAGTATGAAGATAAAGTAACCATTAATTATTCTTTACAAGTAATTATTTTTGTATTTTATTAAAGATATTGGTCTACTCATACATGCGCTTTAATACATTTTTCGTAGTATTGGAGATTTAAACATTGATCATTATAAATTTAAAGTAATTTGATATTAATACTATTTAGGTATTTTACTTACTGTTGTTAATTGCAATAATTATATATGATATGAATTAAAGACTTCTTTACAGATATGAATAAATTCATAATGTTTTGTAATTGCTTATATGTAAGATTCAATATATTAGGCTTAGCAGTATTATATAAATGTAAAATCTTTTACCAACTAACTTTTTTACCTAAACGATGGATTCAGCTTACCATAAATAATAGAAGCACTTCTTTTTATACAATTTTAAGGTGTAAATGAAAAATCTTAATTAATTACAAATAGTAATTAATTACAAATAGTGATAAGTAAATAAACTATACTAAACAAATAGATGAATAAACTAAACAGTAGTTGCTAGAATCAACAATATTTTGCCAAAATAGACAAAATGAATTCTTTAGTTCATATTAAGGTACATCTGTAAAAAAAAAAAAAAAAAAGTTAATATTATTTTTTAATCAATCATTTAAATGAAACATGTTTTTTAAGTTAAATAATATTATTACATTCCTTTTGTAGTATAGTGAAAATACTAGTGAGGTATAATCCTTGTGAGGTATTATAGATTTAGGATAATTATAAAACTTTTTTTAAGATAATTTTGTTTTCCTTAGTAATATACTAATTATTTTTTAATGGTTTACAATCATTTTCTTCTCAGCTAGCATTTTTAGTAAAACAAATATTGAGTAATTATCTATAGAATATTAAATGTTGTTTTAATCTTAAATAAAAAAAATGTCAACATAATGAAACTTTAACTATGACTGCATTGGAAAAACTACTGCATTTGTTTCTTCAAATATCGTAAATTTTAAAGTAGCGTATCTTATTTAAAATTCATAAATTTTAATTTTTTTTTTTTAATAAGAACAAAAATATATAAAAATAATATGGAATTGTCATTTAAAAATCTGAAGTTTATACAAGTTCTAAGTATAAGAGATGATGGTAGAAATTAATATTTTTCTTATGAAACAGCTCATCAAAAATCCATAATGATTAAAAAAATAATTGTTTATAACTCTTGTATTTTTTTAGATATTACGTGAGACATAGTTAGCTGAATTCCATATATAGAATTTCATAATTTGTGATAATTTTTTTATTTATTTTTTTTCATTTGTACTTTAGTTAATTTAAGTAATTTTTTCAATATTTTATTAGTACTATAAACAAATCTAAAAATGTTGCGCAAGTTTGCTCGTGGAGAAGTCGAACAAAGAATATTACCTGGTTCAGATACCACTAGCACCATTTCCAGAACATATGATGAGTACAATCCATCTGAATCTAATTATGAATTATTTAATCAAGAAGCTCAAAATTATATAAATGTAGACAATGAAGAAAATATTGACTATCTAAATGATGAGGTATTTAAAAACAAATTAATTGATAAAACCTATTATTATTATTAATTAAATGAATTAGAAAAAACAGCTGAAATATATTAATGTTATTTTTTTTTTGCATTTTAGTTACATATATTTTTTTATCTTATATCCAGATAATACTATAATATTTCTTCTAAACATGATATATCATATCTCTTTTTATTACCTATTTTTCATATTCAAAAATAATACTTTCCATGTTACTCCAATGAAAAATCAATCGATAAACAATTTTAACAAGTGTAAAATAATAAATATAAACCAATTATTTTAAATTTTATTGCTATTTATAATTAGTAATTATAAAAAACCACAATGTCTGAAAATATACATAAGGAATTATATTTAAAATCAAACTTATATGCTAATACAACTAAATTTTTATTGTTTATGATTAAAAAAAAAAATATTAGCGCTTTATGTTATATCTTATTTGAAAAATCGCAAAAATTTAACTTTTAAATTATACAAGAAGAATTTACAGTTTTTTTTTACTATTATTTAATGCTAATGTTTTCAATTTGAAGATTCAAAAAAAAAAAAAAAATTTAGAGAGACACATCTTTACTAAACATTTTAAATATGTAAACTATTTTAAAGGAATGTTATTTTACATTTATTTTAGGAAACCCGTAAATTAGTAATAGAATCAAACATGAGTTGCGTTGAAAGTATTTCGCATATTGGTGGAAGGTTGGAAGAAGATTTAAGAGATTTAGAATCTGATGAAATTCATCTGTTTGAAAATTATAACTATAAAGACCCTTCAGATATTTCAAATAACTTGGAGATTGCTAAGTATAGAGAAAAGGTATTATTTATTGTAAATCTCAAAAATGTATATATAGATATATAATAGGCCTCATCCAAAAAAAAGTAATGGAATTAAGAAAACAAAAACTTTTGTGAACCGCATGTTTAGGACAAGTATAGATAATATATGACAATGATTAAAATTACTATCATAAAAAATGCTTTAATACAAATTAATGCAATGCAAAGTCCTACCACTGGTACTGGCCCAATATAGGTGTCCTCTGCTTCTTTCCTAGTTAGAAAGTCGAGAAGACAAGATTTAAATTCACCTGATTGTTATAGAGTGCTTTCAGAGACGCTTGACTATCACTTAAGATAGTAATTATCCTTTTTTTGTATACCAGTAGGTTCTGAGCTACCAGTATCGCCATCACCTGTGCTTGGAAAACCGAAAGTGTTGTGTCCATTAACATGCTGACATTTATTTGAGGTTTTAGATCCAATACCAGCACCTATCTTTGCTGATTTTTTGTATCAAACTGTATACATTACAAATCCTCTTTTTCTCAGTCAGGTGGTTAATTTTATTATATATTTAATTTTATTTTCTATGTCTAGTAATTTCCACTTTGTAGGGAATGGTATTCTTAAGAACCGGTTTGTTATAGTCCAAGGGGTTATCCAAAATGCCCAAGGGGTCTATCTCTTATATTACTTTACTGTGTTCTGCTGTGTTTCTTTCTATAGTCCAGATAAGTTGTAGAATCTTAGTGCTGTACCTTTGGTGTGAGCTTTAACGTCTAGATGCAAAAGAGGTAATTAGATTAGTGCCTTTCATGCAACCATTGTTGTAGTTGTTAATGCTTCAGTGATGACTATGGCAGCCATTTTCTGTATGCAACCAAGTTCTTTTCTGGCTGTAACGAGTGTTGTTCTGGTCCACTAAACCACGTCATCATACAAGATCATAGGTTTAATTACTAAAGTGTACAGCCAGTACATAACTCTAGGTTTAAGACCTCATGTCTTTCCAATTAATTAAGAAAATAACACTGAAATTATTATTTTTGAATTTCTTGTAAAATTTCCTTTACTTGAGTTTTACTTTTATAATTCTAAGTTAGCAAAAAAAAAGTTATGGGACATAGATCAGTTATTTCTATTAAATTTGACTCTTCGACTCAACTTAATAGGCCCGAGCACGGGTTAACCTAAACGGATCGGTCCCAAATTTTGAACAGCTCATTTTTTTGACCATTAAAAAGAAATTTGAATTTTGAGGGCCACCCTAGTGTTCAGTCCCCTGTTTTATTTTGCCAAAATTTCCAAGGTCTTCTTGGATTCTTTTAGCAGCCCTGGTATATGAGTGACCATCCATTTATATTTGATTGAATTGTAGGCTTCCAGTTGGATTTTTGCACCGTCTCAAGGTTTTATCAAGTTGACATGATCAGTGAGCTACTTAAGAGAGCTCTCTTGGGTTGCACTAATTACATGTGCTCCATCAATGAGTCTGATGTTTTCTAACCTGGTACGTCGGTTCCATTAGTGCCTGACAGTATCAAGTCTCCAACATAAAATTCAATGAGTAGCCCTTGCTCTGTGGTCAACTTGTTAGTGGAGTAGCCTGAGAAAGACCAGAGCCACTTTTGTCATCAATTACTACATCTCTATAGGTTGGTACCCCATGAATCTTCTTGAATAGAGGTTCTTGTCCTTTGACCTCAGGTTTTTGAGCTTCGGTTCCCTTATCTCTTTTAGTAATTTTTTCTGCCCCTCCATGATTACCCTGCTCATCTTCATCTTGCATCACTGACTGCCGCTTAATCTCTCAGGTCTAAGTTTCCGATTTTCGATTTTGTCAGCTACTGTTGCCAGATAATATTGTGACTCCTGGTCTGCATTTGTTGACATTTTAAATCTTTCCTTGGGAAGGTAAAGGGTCAGATTGATCAGATGACATTTAAAGTAAAAAATATTTAAATTTACTGATTTTAAAAGTTGTAAACTTTTTTGGAAGGTTTCCTCTATTTACGGGGAAGGAGACAAAATTTTTTCAAATTCTGAGGGTTTTGTTTTTAACTAGATACAATTTGTGATCTTTTGACATATTTTTGAAAAAAAATCAGTCCATTGAAAGCTGAGTAAAAATAGTAACAGATACAGAATAAAATAAATTAACACATCATGTTAAAATTAATACATTCTCAGCTTTACATCAAATCTAATATTGGGTACAATAATGATTTTCTAAAATTTAATAGTAACTGATACAATTTTGGATTATACCTAAAATATAAATTATTAAACATGAAGAAGACTCATTTTTGTGTGTTTTATAGATAGTTCAGACAATAAATTCCAACAGCACATTATTGATAACTGGTGTAACAGGGTGTGGTAAAAGTACCCAAGTTCCTCAATTTATATTGGATGACTGTATAACAAGAAAAAAACATTGCAATATAATTGTAACTCAGCCTAGACGTATAGCTGCAATTTCTGTTGCCAAACAAGTGAATAAAGAACGTGGATGGAGAAATGGACTCTTAGTTGGTTATCAAGTGGGACGTAAAAGAGATTATGATCCAAATACTACAAAAATATTATATTGTACTACTGGGATTTTGTTGCAAAAAATAATTAAAGCTAAGAATTTATCAGAATTTACACATATTATTTTGGATGAAGTCCATGAAAGAACTTTGGAAATGGATTTTTTATTATTGGTGATAAAAAAACTTATGAGGACAAATTCCAAATCCGTTAGGGTAAATAGTCAGATAATGCATAAACAATTTGTATATGTTTTTTAAATTACATATTTATAAATATACATACACTTATAAAATAGATAGTTTTAATGTCTGCTACTGCGGGTGCATTATTATGTGATTATTTTGGTGAATATTATGGACTGCCTCATAATAAATTTGTTCCTGCCTCGTCACTTAATGTTTCAAACAAGTTTAATCATAAAATTTATAAATATTACTTAAATGAACTTTGGCAATCAATTCCGTCAGTAAGTATAATTAATTGAATTTAATTTAAACTCTATAAATAATGAGTAAGATAATTTTTGAAATTGAGGTTTTTCTTCAACTTATATAATTTGGTGTATTACACCTATAGAGTAATTTTATTGTAGCTATACATTAATAATATTTGATGATAAAATAAAATATTTTTGTTGACAAAAAATTGCACAAATCAATTTTTATTTTCAAAAATAATAAAATTATATTACATAATAGTAAATTTTATTTATGACATTGTGTGTATTATAAAAAATTATTTATTTTTAATTTTTATTGTTATGAAAGGCTCGTAATATGGATTTAAGTAAGCCTCAAATAGATGAAGCTGGTTATGAAACAGCTATACATTTAATTAAAGAATTTGATAGATTAGAAGTGCAAGGTATTCACAAAAGGTCATCAGTTCTTGTATTTTTACCTGGAATTTATGAAATAGAGGAAATGCATAGACTTATGGAACTTATAATAGAATCTGAGTAAGTTGATATTCAGTATTGACATTTAGTTAGTATGGTATATTAAGTATATTTTGAGAAAAATATTTTTTGCATTTAATAACATTTATAATAAATTTTAACAATAACATAAACAAATATAATTTTTAAACACGCAGAGAAGTAAAATACCCTGTAATATATGTAAGGATACATTGAAATAAGATTTTTATATAGTACAACTAATGTTTATATAAATAAAGAAAATTGTATATCTTGCAACAGTTATTTAATTATAACTTTTTTTTTTATTATAATTTATATGTTGTAACAAATTACATGTCTACATATTAAAGTAGTAATAAAAAGAATAATGTTTAAGTAAAACTGTAATACTTAAATGTTCAGATATTTTTATAGATATTTTTTTTTTTTTGATTTAATAGTGTTTTGAGGGAGGCAGCTATTAATCACTTGTTTTTTTTTATAACATTTCCTAATTGATAGTGAACTGTACTTTCTGTCCTAGGTTTGAATTAAATATTTTGAACTGAATTTTAATCCAATCTGTTAGGTATGGAGTATTTGTTTATTGTTGGTTGTCTACAGTAAAACATACTACAAAGTCAGCAAATACGTCTGATTTTTTCTATGTTTGTTTTGTATTTAGCTAGGCCATTCTTTAGAGGTTGAATTACTTTGTGCTGTTTAAAAATTCTTTTAGTAGCAAGCCATAAAATCATTAGTATTTGTGTTACTTAAGTATGTGCGATAAATATTCTATCTGTTAATGTCATGTTTCCATTTTACTCTTCTGGTGAGTTAATTCAATCTTCTTTTGACTACATGGTCCTAATTCTTTGACAATTTCATTTTGTTTTTTATTAAGTTTTTATGTATAAAGGAAGGAATTTAAGTATCACTTTGGAAAACTGTAATATTTTTCAACTTGGACGGAAGTTATTGATATTTTTATTCAGTCTATGATATGTTTTACTTCTAAATTTATATCTTCTTCATTATGATGTTTCCTTTTTGTATTTAAGTTTTGGTCTAAGTTTATTTTGAACATTTTCCATATTACTATATAGCGTGTGTTATTTTTGGATATAATGACATGTATTGGAAACATGTATTTCTGTTTTAAGAGTTGATATTATTGGAATATGTTCTTAAGTTTTTTAATAACTTTATGATGTTAATTAATTTATATGTTAAATAGTAGAGCTATATTTAGTATTTCAGTCAAACAACCTGGATGGGGAAAGGTTGATTCCGAAGGTGAAGAAACTATTATTGCAATTTCCAAGGTAAATTGTAATAATTTTTATTGTTTTGGTTTTGTATTTTGGCATTCCTAAAATATTACCTAAAAGAATAGTTGTTATTCCTTTAAAAAGACGAAGCAAGTCATTTTTATTAATTTTCTTAATAAAAGATTATAGACAGAAATGATGATTATGTCGTTTTTATTGGTTGAAAAGAGGGATAATGACGTAACTTCTAAATTTTGTATATCTGGAAACTATTTTTGGTTTTATTGATTTTTTTTGATTAGAATAACTACTCCACCTGCAAAGTGAAAAGTATTTCTGCTATTTTTTTATATTTTATAGCTGTTAATTTTTAAATTATAATTCAGTTTAGGTGAATTTTGGTTATGCAAAAAACATCAATCTTATAACTCATTTAAAATTTAAATAGAACAGATTTTTTAAGTTTTATGCTATTAGCATTCCAATTTCCATTACAATTATATTGTGAAGGTTAATAACATGTATCATCATTGATTTTTATTTACTTGATATTCTGAGAAATTAAACTAGCTAATGAATTTATTATTTGGCCCAATCGAAATTGAATTTTTTAATATAGAAGACTATAACTTTTTGTAAATTCTAATTTATTAGGTTTTAGTTTTAGTTATTATTGAGGTGGACGTAATGCCCATGCACTCAGACCTATTGGTCCATTGTGCGCACCTCATACCAAATTGTCTTGATTCGGTTTACCCACCTAAGTGTTATCACCAAAGTGTTAATACATTACCAACCATAAAGTCACCTCTAAAGATGACCAAAGAGTCCTGTCTTTCTGGCGAAATTAAGTATCTCTCTGGGTTTAAGGTTTTTAATATCCTCTTTTTCAGGAAATGGTTTATTCAAGTAGTTTGATCTTAGTGTGGACAAGGCTTCACATTCGCACATGATGTGAAATGAGTCTTCCTCTTCTACTCCACACTTCCTGCACAATGGTGATTCCGATACCCCCATTGCGTTAAGATGCTTAAGCAGGTGACCATGTCCTGTCAGTAGACCAGTCAGGGTGCTTATTTGATGTCTAGTCATGCTATTAAGATCACCCAGCAATAAACCAGGGGTCTTGATAAACATTTTAGATTGTCTAGGTACTACCAAGTACTTCCAGATTTTCCTGTGTTGTTCTCTGCACCAAATCTTGGGTAACGCTTTGAGCGATTACTCAGTGAGTCCTACCACTGGTTCTGGTCCAACATAGGTGTTCTCTGCTCCTTTCCTGGCTAGAAAGTCAGCATTCTCATTCCCAGTGACGCCGTTGTGTCCCGGTAACCACGCTAGTGTAACTTTGTTGAACCTCGATAGTGATTCTAAAGTTTCCCTGCATTCGAGGACCAGCTTTGAATTCACCTGATCGTTACAGAGTGCTTTCAAAGCCGCTTGACTATCACTTAAGATAGTTATCTTCCTATTTTTGTATACCAGCAGGTTCTGAGCCCCTACCAGTATCGCCATCACCTCTGCTTGGAAAACAGAGGGTGTTGTGCCCAATGACATACTGACATTTATTCGTGGCTTTAAGCCCCAAATTCCAGCACCTACCTTTCCTGATTTTTTGGATCCATCTGTATATATCACAAATCCTCCTTTGTCAGTCAGGTGGTTAATATTCCATTCTATACGTGTAGTGATCTCCACTTTGTNCTCTACGTGTAGTGATCTCCACTTTATGAGGAATGTTATTCTTAAGAACCGGTTTGATATAGTCCAAGGGGTATTCTAAAAAGCCCTGGTCTATCTCTTTTAGTATTTTACCATGTTCTGTTGTATCACTCTCCAAAGTCCACATACCTAAGTTGTGGAATCTTAGTGCTGTAGCTTTGGCGTGAGCTTTCACCTCTAGATGCAGAGGAGGCAATCCAATTAGTGCCTCTAATGCGACCGTTGGTGTAGTTCTTAATGCTCCAGTGATGGCAATAGCAGCCATTCTCTGTATGCGACTAAGTTCTTTCCTAGCTGTAATGAGTGCTGTTCTGGTCCACCAGACCAGGGCACCGTACAATATCATAGGTTTAATCACTGACGTGTACAACCAATACATAACTCTTGGTTTAAGACCCCATGTCTTTCCCAAGGCTCTGCTGCAAGTCCACAATGTGGTCATTGCTTTTTTGATTCTTGACTCAACATGTGATTTCCATTTTAGCTTACTATCCAAGATAATACCTAAGTATTTTACTTCTGATTTTAAGCTAATTTCTTGTCCATTCAGAGTAAGAGTGTCCAGGTTGTCTAGTCCTATTCTCTTTCTAGTGAACATAACAACCTCTGCTTTGTTTGGATTAACAGATAGACCGTACTTACTACACCATATCTGTATAGTGTTAAGTCCTAAATTGATTAGGTTACTCAAAAGTTTTATTTGTGATAATGACTGTTGCTAGCTTTTAATTTATAAATGTGAGATTTTCTTTGGAAACCGAGTAAGTTTCTTTTTTAAAGAAAGTATAATGAAATATGATGAGTATTAGATGATAAATATGATGAGGCTCTTGATCTTTTGAGATAATGTAGTTTTATAGAGAAAATAAACTATACATATTTGAAAAAAAAAGTGTTTAGTGAAAAATTAAACACTTTTTCACAGGTAAATGCTATTAAAGAAAAAGCATTATACCACTTATGTATGATCAGCAAAAAGTAATTTATAACTTTATAAAAAGATTTTATTTAAAGTTAAAATTATTATTTTAAGGAAACATAAGTGGGCTTTAATACCTTTACATTCTTCAATTACAAGTGAAGAACAAAATCGTGTATTTGATCAACCTCCCATAGGCCATCGAAAAATAATATTGTCCACTAATATTGCTGAAAGTTCAATAACTGTACCTGATATAGCCTATGGTTAGCATATATTATGAAATACTTGCTATTAATTTATTTTTACATATATAATAAATTTATTTTTTAGTTATTGACTTTTGCCTTATGAAACAATTAAAAAATGAACCAAGATCAAATTACTCAATGTTAATTATGACTTGGGCATCTAAAAGTAATTGTGATCAAAGAGCAGGACGAGTAGGTCGTGTTGCAGATGGTAGGGTTTATAGACTTGTACCTCAATCGATGTATGATGTAAGTTTTTTTTATATTTTCCTCACATTATATTTTATATCATGGTTTTAAACTGGAAGTAACCAATACCATAGTGATATTACAAAACACTAAAACAAGAAACCACAAAATACAGCTAAGAGTATAAAAATATTTTATTGTAAATTATAAAGAATAAAAAACCTAAAATCAAAAATACCTCGAATTGAAATTAATAAATTTAAAAAAAAATATATAGCTATATATACAGAATACCGGCCAGTTCTAGACATCTAACTTTGACAAATCATTTTTATCCGACTATTATTTTATGGTACTTATTAAAATAATTTTTACACAATTAGACTACGTTATAATTAGTCTGGATTATATACCTTAAAAAATTTTGTAAGTTCTTCCAAATGTACCATTAGTCAATTCAATTTTTTCTTAATTCATTTAAAAACATAGTTATGTGTTTTTACTAAGGTTATAGTTTTGGGGATAAACCCACACTAAAACTAAAAATATTTTTATGCTACTATATCATCCTTCAACAGAGTTGCACAAACTTGGGACTCTTGTTGATCATGATAATTTTATTAATCTCTACTAAAAAAAATAAATAAAATTAGCCATTTTTTAGCTGTACTTTTTACAAAAAATTTGATGAATTGATAACGACTTTAGGATAAGTACATATTATAAGATAAATATATACTAGTATGAACTGTATCGACACAGCTATACACACACTTTATGTATTAAAATGCTTGTAACTCAAAACTATATATGTACTTTAAAAGTTTTAAAGTTATTTTTATTCATCAAAATTTTTTGTAAGAAAAGAGCTGAAAAAATTTAATTTAAATTTTTTTATTTATTAGAGATAAATAGTAAAAATAATGTATTAATGTAGTATAAAACTTCAAAAATAATTTGGATATAGGTTATTTACAGGGTGATTCATTAAGGATAAGACACTCATTTTCTCGGTAACTATTGAAAATTTTAAATTTTTGGTAAGGAAAATATTGTTTGATTCTAAAAACTCTACCATAATATGTAGTAAAAACATCATTTTTTTCATCCCTTTAAGGTTAGAAAACATTAACTTGATTTTTCTTAAATGGAAACCCCTATTTTGAATTTGTTATTATGATTTAAAATAAAAATATGAACAACTTTGCTCTTAATATTTTTTTTCCCATCAACTGTTCGTCTGTTACAGCTTGTTAAAGTTAAATGATTTTGGACTGAATTTCTATTATTATTTTACTGTACTACATATTATTATAGAGTTTTTTTAATCAAACAATATTTTCCTTACCAAAAATTTAAAATTTTCAATAGTTACTGAGAAAATGAGTCTCTTATCCTTAATGAATCACCCTGTATATATATATATATATACAGGATATTAGTTAATAATATTGTGCACAGTTGAGAAAAACACGGTACTCTGTTAGGTAAACTTAAAGGTATCATTGACTTGCAAAGAAAAGCCCCTTTTGACAACATTCAAGTTTGTTTACTTAATACAAGAAGCATGGCCTATAGTCAAAAAGCATAATTGTTTTGCAAGTCAGTACTACCCTTAAGTCTGCCAAAAATACACAGTATTTCTTGTTGTCTTGATATTTTACCCCACTCCTCAAAACAGTATATGGAAGAATTTAGTTATATTAAATTCAAAGATCAGTGAGTTTACTTATTCTTATTGGTGTTAATAATAATTATTTTTGACTCTTCTTGAATTGATTGTAAATATTTTTAGAGTGATTTCAAAGCTGAAGAAACTCCAGAAATGCTGCGCTGCTCCTTAAGTCGTATTGTGTTAATGTCTAAAGTTTTAGACATGGGATCACCTCTTATGCTTCTAAAAACAGCAATGAGTTTACCTGATATCAAGAATATACGTTTAACTATCCTCACTCTCAAACAAGTAAAATAATATTTGAATAGTGTTTTAAGATTACTTTTAAAGTAGTCTTTAAAAATTATAACAATATTTTATTTATTGTTATAAGGTTGGTGCACTTCTACCCACAGTAAATGGTATAATATCTGCTTATGATGGTGATATTACATTTATGGGAAAAGTAATGTCAGTGTTACCTCTTGAGCCTCCAATGTCAAAATTAATTTATTTTGGTTATATCTTCAATATCATGAATGAAGCTATTATAATGGGTAAAAACATCTTTAGTTTATATTTTTAGTAAATGATGGGTTATGTGTTTAACTTTTAAAGTCAATTACTAATTTTATTTATATTATTTTCTTTGTGTGTGTGGAATAGTTATAAATAATTCATATTTTTTTTCTTGCATTACACTTATGAAAATTTATTTATAAAATAGTTTCTTACACTAGGTTGATGTAATATCACAAAAAAATCCCATTTAACTGAATATATATATTGTATATTTATTTTTTATAATTTAAATAAATAACTAAGTTACTTAAAATATTTCTCTCAATGTTTCCTTATTATCTTTTAGCATGTGGATTATCAGTCAAAAGTATATTTAGCCAGCCCTTTAAAAAACAATTGGACGGATATACTCAAAAATTAACTTGGGCTAATAATTCTTGTAGTGATCCAATTGCTTACATTATGCCCTTTAAGGTAAAAAATAATAATTGAAAACATTTTAATATACTTTTATTAGTTTAATAATTGAATAGCAGTTAATTCATTTTGTATGGCAAAAGTAAAATAATTATACATAATAGTTTTTGTACATAAATTTGGTCTTAATTTTTTTATAGCTTTGAAAAAAATGCAGGTGTATATTTTTGGTTTTATTAAAAAATAATTCAAATTAAGGAAGACGTTATAATGATTATAGAAATATCATCATGCAATTAATTAATAATTACATGAATAGTGTATACCTAGTAAAATAAGCTAGGTGACATTAAAAAGTCTAAAGTATTAATGATATTTTTATTACTTTGGTATACTGATTTCATTTGGAGTGTGTCGATTTTTCATTGGTTAATAATAATCAATTAAATGTTTATTATTAACAAATAAAATGGTGTCATTTTACAAAATAATGTACACCATTTTTTTATCAATTACTTTTATGTGGTTCTATTATTTATAGAGGCTTTAGACATTTTAAATGGCTGTCTTTAATATTATTAACTTTTATTTTTAGTAGCCAGAGGCTAACACTGAATAATACTAAAGAATTCTCTACTAGTTTGAAAAAAAAATTATTTTGATAAAGTTGAATGCATACCACAAAAATTATACCGGTTGATTGCTTTGAATAAATTCAAAAGTAAAATACGAGCTTAGAATAATTTTTATATGTTTGAAATTTTATTTTGGTAGAATGAGTGATTCTATTTAGACAAATAGTTTATTTTATATTAAAAATAATGTAATTAATATAATTTTCTCATAATTATATATATATATATATATTAAATATTAAATTATTTCTTTCTTACTTATTGTTTTTATTTAAGTATCAAGATTAAAGAAAAAATTCTGCATATACTAATTTAATTTGTAGCTGATATAAGTTATTATATTATTAATATTTATAATATGATTTTTAATTAAAAAGTTAACCAACATTTTAACTAAGGATAAAAATTTTTAGTATAAAATAATTCAGTAGAAAATTTATGAATTGATTATATACCCTAGGAAAGACATAATTTGGAAAGTAAAAAATTATATAAAAAAAAAAGTTTACTAAATTTTTTTTTGTATTAGCCCTTCACATTAAACACTGGTATGCTACTACTAACATGTATATATAAATTCCTTAGTACATGTTTAATATTGTAATATAATAAAAAAAACTTCATTTCTTTTTAAATTTTAGGTTTGGCTTCATGAAAAACCTAACTTTGATCGTAATAAATCTCTTGAAAAAGATTGGGCTTTTAGAAATTATATTCAATTATCTGCCATTCGAGAATTATATGATCTTACTGAAGATGTCAATGACAGGTTAAAAAGATCATTCAATATTTTACGAGGATCAGGAAATATGAAATGGGAACGTCCTGAACAAAAAGCTTTAGCCTCAAAGGTAATTAAAATAATTTAAAAAAATGTTTGGTTTTTCTTTTAATTATGTGATTGTCACAGAATTATGAATATTATAATATGATAATATTCAATTTATTGAAAATATTTGTATTAATTTTAATTATTAAATTTTTTATAATTGTTGTTTCTGATGTTATTTTATGTAAAAATATATTTAGTGTATACGAAATTTATTTTACAATATATGGTCAAATTACTATGTATATGTAAGAAATAAATCTACAATCATAATTGTTATAATATATTTCAACAAGGAACTTACAATAGTAATTTTATAATTATACTGATAATAAGCAGTTAGATAAGTCACATAAATTTAAATCAATAATGCAGGATAAATGTATTTAAAATACCATTAATTTTAAAATTTACATTGATCTTATAGAACATTATAAATGTCCTATTAATGAACTGCTAATACCTTTTGAGCTAAAAAATATTATGTACAGGATACTGAAATGTGTGTGAGATACTGTTGAGCTGTTTTAATTTATACTATTAATAATTTAAAAGATTTTAAGATTTACATATTTGTAAATGATGCATGTCCAAAATAGTAAATTTTACTTTTACCTAATTTTAAAATTTTAGAGGTCTAATGATATATTACACATACAACATTTTTTTACTATCAGTTTTCAGGAGGATAAAATGATGAAATCAAAAATTCGATTTTATCAACAAACGCAGTTTTTTTCTTTATCTTATAGACAAATAATCCTAAAATTAAAAAATGGAGATATGTTATTTGTGAATTTGACTAATGATATTTTCGTTGTGAAAACATCCAAAAAATTTCTGTCTTTCATATAATGGTTGTGGTAACTCCTTTGTGCTAGCCTCATTTATACACATTGTTATTAAAAATTAACTTCAATATATGTCATTATTATAATAAATTTAAAAAAATGCTGTGGTAGGTTCTTGTCTACACTGCCAGTATGTAAATCATTACTGATTTTAAAGTATTATTGACTACTAAATTTATAATATTTTTCATTACTACTATATATAAATTATTTTAATTTAGGTGATATTAGCTGGAGCATTTTATCCGAATTATTTCATACGTGGAACAAGTAATGCTTATACTGACCAGCATGAAATAAGTAAGCTTATGGATAATCATGATCCTAATAATACTGTTTACTTAACCGGATTTCCTCATGATCAACCCAAAGAATTGTATAAAGAAGTCATTGAAAATCTGTTTCCTGAGAAACTTGTTGGACAAACAAAAGCTCATTTTTCCACTTCAAAGTAAGACACTTTTACTTTTAAAATGAATTTTTATTTATTTTCACAATTATATAATATTTAAAATAATTGAAAATTACTATACAATAATAAAAATATAAAACTGGAATGTTCCTTATTAATGAACTTCTCAGTGTAATTACTACAACATTTAAATTATTATTTATATATGTTTTTAATAATTAAAAAGAAAAAATGTTAAAATGAATTAGAAATATTTAAAAATATGGCTATAAAGTGCTACACAAATCTGTTCTCATGAGAATTCAAATCTCTTTTCTTAAAATTTTTATATACTTCCATCATTATCATAATACTATTATATTCTCTTTATTTTTGTTTTATCTTAAAGTAAAGTGTATGTAGAATTTCAAAGAACTTCTCATTTTTCACAAGCTAACAAACCACAAGAAGTTAAACTTCACTTAGTTCCAGGGAATGTGTCTTTTGGTGTTTATGTGGCTTTAAAAATGTATAAATTGAAAGCTGAATTTAAAATACCTCTTTTAAAGTAAGTTTTATAACTGTGACATTAATGTTGTGGTGTAATATATTCTCAAGAACAAATTATGTTTGTTTGTTAATTTTTTTAATAAAGCTAATTACTGCATAACTAATCATATAATTGTACTTTAATAGATAAATGTATGTAAGGGTTCTCAAACAATATAGATTTTTTGAATATTCTTGGGTAATTTTGTTATTGATTATAGAATTTTCAGTTTTGATTTTTAAATAAATATTTTTTTTAAAAAAAAAAAATGTGTATTGTGGTGAAGTTGCTACTTTAGTACTGATGTTCATCTTAACTGTCCACTATTAGTTCCTAGAAGAATAACCATAAGGAATTGTCAACAGTGACATATACCTTGCTTCTTTACTGGTTCCCTTAGCCATAATGAGATTGTGTCAAGTAATTGGCTGGTGTAAAAAACCTGTCAAATCAATAAGGTAGATCCCAAATAATTGGGTTAAAGACTAAAGGTAATAATGATTAAAAAAAAATAATTATTATTATAACTTGTACTTTTAGACTGAATAATACATTATGATATTATAAAAGAAAACACAAACTTTCACACTAAATATCGGTTATAAATATTGAATTTTTCAGTGGAAATTATTATTGTTTGAATGATTGCCTATAATTGAAATGAAAAATAACAAATAATAATATTATGTATGTATAAGATCACTTCCAATTGCTTTTTTTCTCTCGTTTGTTTTTAATATAGATAAACATTTTTCACTGTAAATTAATACAAAATTCAAATTTTTACAAATTTAAAACTATAGAAATTTAACTGCTTTACATTAATGATATATTTTTTTACAATTTTTGTAAATTAAAAAAGATATATATAAATTATATTCATAGTACAAAACTATAATAATTATAAAACTATTGCAAACATAAACTAAATTAAAAATTATATTATAACACTTGCCACCAGAACATGCTGGACTACTTTATATATGCATTTATATTTCTTGTAATATCAATATTATAATAAACATTGCAGATAATACATTGTTTGAGAATCCTAATACTTATATATAACATTTTTGTTCTGCAATTTTCTAATCTCATTATAATAATTTAAATTTATTTACCTTATAAATTTTATTAAATTATAAAATATTTAATTTTAATGAAAGGCCTTCAGATGCTGAAAAAAAAGTGAATGAAGTGAGAAAAAAGTTAGCAGAACAAAATATTTCAAGGATAAACTCATTACCAGTTAATAAAAGCATCATTAATGAGATTAAAGATAATATGAAATATATATCTGTACTTATATCACATGTAAGTTTCTTTAAACTCTTTAATTCTTGCTGTTGCGTATACATGACAGAGGAGTCAAAAGGTTAAAAATATAATCTATTTATGAATTAAATTTATTGCAAATTATTTATTTTCAAAATCTTAAAAATCTGTAAGTTGTTTAAACAGTATGATATTTTATTTTAACTCTAGCTTTTCATCATTTTCCACCTTATTAAAATATATATATATAAGATTTAATTAATAAAATATGTACAAAATTAACAATAGTAATTTATCAAAAAATAAAATTATAATAATTTTTTTAGGTAGAGACTGTTGGGCGGTTTTGGGTTCAGCTAGCTGATGTAACTATAACACAAAAATTACAGTATATATGGGGACTTTTAAATGACCAAAACAATGAAGATAATTTTGTAAAAGCAAGTCCAAATGATTTAAATATTGGATATACTTATGTTGTAGAATATAATAGTGATTTGTACAGAGCAGAATTGATAAGTTTTTTACATGGCCCACAGGAACAATATAGGGTAAAAATATACCAATATAATAATTTTATTTAAAGTGTATTTAGTTAAATTTACCATCTTTTTTTAGTTTTTTTTAATTGATTTTGGAGTATCTGCAGATTTTAAGATTGATGTTGTTTTAAATTATAAAGATAAAACATTTAAAACTAAAGTTCTTAGTGTCCCTAAATTAGCTATTGAATGTACATTTGCTAATATTGGTCCTGCTATTAATGGTTCTAGTGTAAATAGATGGCCAGAAGATGCTAATATGTTATTAAGTAACTATGTCCAACAATATGGTTCTAAGACCTTAGATGGAACTGTAAGTAGAAATACAGTTTTAGGTTTAATCAAAATATATAATTTTTAAATTAACATATTTAAAATTATTACTAAAATTTTAATTTTAGATTTATTCAATAATAAATAATATCCTGTCATTGGAAGATTTAAAAACACCAAATTCTTTTGTTCAAGAATTAATAGAAAAAAAAATTGCATGCCATATTGAAGAACCTTATAAATCAAAGGTATCTTATAAACTTAAAATTATTTTTGAACAATATTTTATACACTGATTATAAAGTAAATCAGTTTATTTATACTTTATATTTACATGATAATAATAGCAACAGATAAAACAATAAATTTAGTTAAATTATTTTATGAGATATTCTTCTACATTAATCTAAAGTAAAAATTATTTTAGGCTAACCACGAAATGAGATGCCATGCATTTCGGAATTATAATCCATCAAAACATACAACTAATAAAAATAAAATATCAAAATTTCAATTAAGATCTCCATCTGAACATGAAGCCTATACTATAGTAAGAAATCTATACTATTTATTAGACATAGTTTTATTAACTTTAATATATTTACAAATTTTGTGATAGTAATAAGACAGGAACAATAAAATTAACTTTAATATATTTATAATTAAACTTGAACTATTTAAATTAATTTTAAAGAAGTATAAATGGTTTTTAGTTAAAAATGATAAATTACAACAAATTTGTGATACGTGTTTATATATGTGACCCTAAAAATGCTAATCAAAGACTGATTAACGGTTGTTGGATGTTGATTTGTATTTATGTCAACGTCACAAATAAGTGATAAGAGATCTTGAAATTTGTTTAATAGGCAATTAGTAAAACACAAAACTGTTGATCTATTACTATCTTAATCCAGGTGATATATAGATCAACGTGACAGTAATATCAAGGACATGTCACAAATATTATATTAGAAAAATATTTTAAAAAGCTTTAGCTAACTGTACATTGCAAACCTTAAATAATAATGATTACTCAAAAAAATAAAAACTGATAATAAGTGTATTTGTTTTTAATGTATTCTTATTTTTTTCTATTTATTTATTCATTTTCTTTTAGGAATGTTTTAATTTTCATGTATTTATATAAAAAATTTCTTTTATATACATTATAAATTCATTGTCTACAATGTTATCATAAATTATATTATCATACGTTTATGTAACATGATTATAATTAAAGTAATTTATATTTTTAATAAAAGTTCAACATAATAAGTATTTTAATTAAATACTTACTCAAGGAAAGATTGATAAGCATAATATTGTTCAAAAATATTAAAAAATATTACGTAGATCTATGCACAAAATAATAATGAAATACTAATTATATAGTAATAATTTATTATATATATATTAATTCTTTATTGTTCTCAATTTTAGCATACATTAAAAGGACCATTCAATCCATTAGAAATGACTGTTCATGGTATCAATAGACATTCTATTTCTAAAATTGTCTCGATAGAAAGTCAGTCTGTTAATTCAGTATTGTTAGATACAAATCCAGATAGTTATCATGAAAGGTACATTTTTCATAACTAATGATCTCGTATACTAAAATCAAAACTGTCGTAACTAAAAAAATATGAAAAAATATTTATCAGAAACTCTAAAGTGTGCTTTCAAATAGTTCAATAAAAATTATAATTATTCTTTTTATTTTTTTGAGTGTCAATATTTTGATCTAGGAGTATAGGTGCAACTAGAACAACATATTTCAGAGGTTCTAATTTAATTTTCTTCTAAATAATAATTTTTAATTTAAAAATATACATGATTTTTTACATTCTTTAGATGGAGCCTTCCTAGTTGTGCCTTTAGGTATATGAGATATGTTACCGTATTTAACTCCCCTTTATGTAATCAGAAAAGTTTTCATTATGGTTTACATATGATGAACATTTATGTATTGATAAATAGGGTTTTTTTTTTGTAAAAAGGTGATAAATAATTGAGTAAAGGCTTTAATTAGGATATGATTACTACTAAGAACTATACTTGATAATATTTCACAATATAAATTATTATCTTGTAATATTTTATAGATTATTTGTAGCTGGAAATGTTTCTGCAAATGAAAATGAGAGATTAACATTGTGGGATACAACTATGATGCCAAACATTGCTGGAATGCCTGCTATTATTTGTCTTATGTTCTCCCCTTGTGTTGAAATAAGGTAAATATTTTTATTTAAAATTTTTTGGTTATTTAGAAAACACTATTACTGATTTGCTTGTGATTCAAAAGCAAACAATTAAATACCAATAATGAGGGTAAAATGTGGGCTTGATTTTATTATTTTTAGATATTCTTTGTTGAAACTCTCCATAAATTTAAAAATTAATTTTAATATCATCCATATCACTGATTTAAATGTTGTTATTAGTAAGTCATTTTTTTAATTATAAAATTTTCTTATGTAAAATTAATTATTATTATTTTTTTGAAGTTATATATTGATTTTTATAACTTTTTGGAAAGAAAAATAATTAAACTTGTTGTTCTGAAGATTTTGTTTAAGATACAACTAACCAATCACCATGCTTAATCGTTTCTGTCAGATTGCAATTAAATTCAAATTAAGGCATTTTGTTTTTATTTTAAATTTTAATTGAATATACCTTATATTTTTTTATTTTATAATGTATACATTTTTTAGTAGGCGCAAAATAATCTTATAAATAATTTAAAATTTTAATATTTTTTTTCATTTCATGAAAGGAGAAATTATTTCAAAACAATAAATTTCATCATATAATTAATTTTAATTGCATATTTGTTTGTATTTTTCAAATGTATAAAATAAACATTTTATTTTCAGTACTTGACAGTAAGATTGATATTATTAAAAAAATGTATTGAAATAACTCAATTAATTAAATCTTTCATGTGTAAAACACTTAAATATATTTTTAAACATTAATATAATTTAACCCATTTTTTAATCTAAACTATATGCACCTAATTCATATTCACTTAGTTTATAGGTTTAGTAAATTTTGTTTTTTTTAGATGCAACTCTTCATACACAAAAATGATAGGAGCTATTTGTGGTTTAGGATATGATCCTGAAACTTCTAGGCCACTTTTTGGAGAAAATGACATTGAAATTACTTTTGATACTGTAATAGATAGATCAATACTAGAAAAAGTAATCTATATCATTTTAAATTAACTTTTAATAAATGTCTATATATAACATTTTAATAAATATGTAGATAAATACAGTAAGAATGCTCTTAAACAAATGTGTAAATCCAGAAGATGAAGAAGGTCCTGGAGAAATTTTTGAATTGCAACGTAAATTAATAAGTGAAATTATGAGGTGAAATTTAATTTTGAATAAAATAATTTATTAAATATTTTTTTATAAAATCAATATTATATTTTCAACTTTTTTTATTGAAGACTTATTGAATAAAAAATTCATTGTGTATTACGAGTATCTGGGGATGAAGTAAAACATTTTAGGTTCAATGTGAAGCTGAGAAGGTATTAATTTTACCGTGATATGTTTATTTATTTTTTTTGTGTTTGTTACTAATTTTTTTCAGCTCTCATTGGACCCATTTTTCTCAATAATACGTCAAAAGATCACAAATTGTATCTAGCTAAAGACATTACCCTTAAAAATTTTAAAAATTTTTATTTGTTCCCCATAAATGTGATATAAAAAATCCCCCCAAAAAATTACGGTTTTTAAAATCGGTAAATTTTGACATTTTATTTCCTTTTTTTTCTTAAAACTACCATAACTTTTTCAAAAATTAACAAATCAAAGTAATTTTTTTTAAATAGAAATCTTAGAAATTTTCCTTTTATTTGATATAATTTTTTGAAAATTTGACCCTTTATACAGAGGGGAGATTCAAAATAGCAACTTTTCTTATGAAACTCAACTTTTTGAACTTAACTTTTGAAAATGTTCCAGAAATACTGCGTTCTTTAAATATATGTTAAATTAAAACTTATATTACATACTTTAAATATAAAAAAAAAAAATTTGTCTCGACAACTTATCTTCTATGTGCAAATAGCTGCCATAGTTAAAAAACATACTATTTTTATGTTCAAATTTTATTTTTGTTTGTTTATTTTAAAATACTTTATAAAAGTTTGCTATTGTAATGAGTTCATCAATAAATATAAAATTTACATGAATCTAACTTACATTAAATACAAATTTATACTTATTTTGCCTCTTCAAAATTAAGAAAAATGACTTTTTGTAAACTTGAAAATTTGTATAAAAAGTAGAATTTTTTCAACTTAACTTTTGAAAATGTTCTGAGAATACTGCGTCTTTTAAATATATGTTAAAATAAAACTTATTTTATGTACTAGTAGAACAAAAAATACAAATTAATTTTGCTTTTGAAATAACTTAATAGAATTAAAAACTATATACAGATTTGTATTGAAGCGTTTTTTATGATAGTGATTCTAATCACTATCATCTATACTTTACCCACTATGCCATGACCATACTGTCTATAATAAGTTATTAACAATTTGAAGCAATGACTGGTGTAGGTGAGAAGTAGGGATAGCTATTTTATCATTAGTCATTTCCCGGCTGTACTCTTCGTCTTACCTAAGTGTAAAAATAAGAATAACATCTAAAGTACTAGTTTATTAGTTTATTAATTATTTATTTATGTAAATAAATGTAAGGAGTTGGCTTGGGCTAGTGGGTAGAAACGTATGTTTTGTGCACTAGGTAGATTCGGGTGTGTTCCACAGAGTGCCAATAAGATTTTTCTTGTGATTTTCTCATTGATGATATTTGGTCACTGGTGTTAGAATAAGATATATATATATATATATATTTATTTATTTTATTAATAATAATAATATAAAAATATTATATTTTATATTATCATTTAATTATATTTTTATGTATGCAATTTTATTTTAGAATTTGTGTAATTAAACTATTTCTTTCTTCTTGTGGACGTTTCCCTTCTTATTTGTTTGTCTATTACCTTTTCCCAAATTTTCAAATTATATTTACTGTATTTAAAATAAAAACTGCAGTGCATATTTTTAAAATCACTTCAAGTGAATTAAATTAACAAATTATAAATTTATATTTATATTTATTAATAATAATAATAATGAATTATTGTTATTAAAAAGTAATATGTTAATTAAAATAAATATTTTAATATTAAAAATCAAGTTGTATGAATTTAAAATTCAAAATATATTTATATTATTACAATTTGAAAAGTGTCACTAACGAGTTTCTTCCTTTAAAATGTAATTTATTTCTACTTTTATCATATATGCTTATTGTGCTCATTGTACAGATTATATATTTCTGTTAAAAAAATATAAATGTATTATTACAATAAATTGTGAACAATCATGAAATGTAAACATTTATCAAACGCTCACGCTTATTGAACTTATACATTCATTGAACAATGAAATTTTAACCGTATTCCTAATAGAACAATAGAATCTGTTAAACAAATGTTTACGTTTGTGAAAAAAAAAATATTGGCCTTATATATTAATACAATAGAATCCGTCTGTGATGGCTAAATTTTACAGCTAAATTTGATGCGTTATAATCTATTATTTTTTTCATACCTTGTGTAAAGAACTTTTATTTCAAAAAAATGATTATAAAGATTTTAAATTTGGGTCCATTATTTGCATTTATTTAACAAAATAAATTTTTATATTTTATTAAGTACTTAGTTACATTTGATTTTAATAATTTTTTACTTTTTATAGTATTTTTGCAGATCCTTTGAAGACTAAAGCACCAGAATCGGTACTTAGAAAATATATGTGGGGAGCACTACCTAAACCAAGAATGCTTATGCCATATTGTGAGGATAGCCCTGTGAATCACCCAATGGCTGGTTCTGATGTTTACAAATTACTTTGGGGTGTAAAATTGTCATCTAAGCTCACTATTGCAGAATGTAAAGCTTTGATGTATAAATTGTGTAAAGTTAAAAGATTAAAAGATAAGTAAGTTGTAAAATTTTAATTTATTCACTAATAATACTATACCCAAATATGGTTTAATGAATATGATGTAAATATCAATATATTTTTTAATTCTTATATAACTGATCATTTAATAGTATTCCAAATATAAGAAAAATTACTATTATAATCCTAACTAACCTGACTCAAATAAAAGTAACTTAAAATATAGTTTTTTAGAGCATAATTGCTATAATTTTATAAAAAAGAAGCTCGTAATGTAGGCTAAGTCATTAAAAATAACAAATATTTTAAGACAACAATTCAGGACAATATTTTTTATTTTTTATAAATGACGAACCCTAAAAATATCAGTACAATATTTACAATGTTTATAATGAGATAGGTCTCATTTTTTTAATTTATAATTAAAGCAATGGTACTGATAATTTTTATGGGTTTTATAAGTGAGCATCTCAAAAAATGTCTCTGAAGGTTTTCTGTTATTCTACTTATTCCAAGTAATAAAGAAGTAAATATTTTAATTGTGTTTGAATTCAAATTATTTCCTCAATTCTAAGATAAATGGGCTTGTTTTAATATCTGTTATTTAAATTAAATTATTTGGATGAGTGAATAAGAATTAGTAATATAATATTCTACTACAGTTGGTATATATTATATTTTTATTATTTCTGTTTAAAATTTTAACTAAATTGTTTAAAGATATTTAAATTTACATTAATTAATTTCTTTCACATAAAGTATTTTTGTATAATTTTTATATTACTTAATCTAATTACCTCTAATACAAGATGTATTGTAATGGGTTAGTTAAAAACTTGTAATATTTTGTTTATTAATATAATTTAATGATATATGCTAAATTCACATTTACTAAAAAATAAATTAGTAATTCTTTGAAATTTGAATTCAGATTGAATGGCTAAGTAAAAAAACGATAATATTCTATAGCACCAAACTTTTAACATTAAAAGAAAATTTATTTTTCTAATATTAAATAAAAACTTGTTATAAAAATATGTATTTTTTAGCTTCGATGCGAAGCTGAGAAGGTATTGGTTTTACTATGATGTGTTTTTTTTTTGTGTGTCTATTACCACTTTTTCTCAGCTCTCACCGAACAGATTTCTTTCAATGATATGTCAAAAGATCACAAATCGTATCTAGTCGAAGATATTACCCTCAAAAATTGAAAAAATTTCCCTCATTCCTTGTAAATGGGAGAAACCTCCAAAAACATTATAAATTTAAAAATTGCTAATTTTCGAAATTTTTTTTACTAAAAACTGCCGTAACTTTTTCAAAAATGAACATATTAATATAATTTTTTTTTTTATAGATGCTTGATGTCTTTACTTATCACTTGGTATATTTTTTTTGTAAATCTGACACTTAACCTGCCCACANCTTATCACTTAGTATATTTTTTTTGTAAATCTGACACTTAACCTGCCCACAGATGGGGATTTAATATGACAACTTTTTCACAAAAAATTAACTTTTTCAACTTAACTTTTAAAAATGTTCCGGAAAGTCTGAGACTTTTATATATATATATATCTTAAACTAAAGCTTATGTAATTTACTTTATTATGCAAAAAAAAATTTGACCTCTGGACTTGTCTTCGTGGTGAAAATGGCTACCAAATACTATTTTTGTGTGAAAATTCTCGATTTTATTTTTTACATTTTTTACTTTATAATGTTATAACTTATTGAAAAGTGTATTGATCAACACAATTTTTTTATGATAATTAATATTTTTTAGTAATCCCTTTTTCATTCGACATACTTTATCTTAATCAGGATATTCATAAGGAAATAGCAGATCATGTAGCTTTTGGAATAATCCTCCAATTTTTTAAAATTAAACTATCTAAAGATTTGCATCGAAGCATTTTATTTTGATAGTGATTTTAATCACTGTCAGATATCATTATACTTGATCCAACTATGCCACGTCACTACTTTGCCGCGACCCCCTGTACTGGGTTCTTTTTATACTCAACCTTATACCTCTTAAATCTGACATTGTAAAAATAGTCACTTTTTTAATTATCTCATTCCATTTCAATTTTCTACTCAGTGATTAAATTATAGTAGTCTTATACACAGTAATTTTTTAATTTATAGCATTGATTTCAATTCTCATACAACCGAAGTGAGTACAGAAGAACTCCATTGTCCATTATGTACTTTTATGTTTTCGAGTAACAAATCCATGCAAATCCACTTTCAAAATCCTCAACATATTGAAAATTATAAGAATGCCAAAGAAGAGTTACAAATGTCTTATACTGGACCATTTACTGATATAAAACATTTATAATTCAATAGTACCATAAAAGTAATTGATTCAAATTTTTTATTTTAATTTTTTTTATATACTTTTTTTTAATATTGACTATGAATTTTGTTCATAATAGAAAGTTATTATTTATTTTGTTATCATTAATATAAGGTTACCAATTAAATTTTCATTTTTATGCATTATCTATATTTTTATGGTGATCAAAAATATATGACGCTATTAAGTTAAATGATTTTAATTTTATATTTTATTGAAATAATGATTTTAATTATTATAAAATAATAATAGACATAATAGTCTATGTCGCATTGACCGGATATTGCCAAAGTTAAATGGGTGTATTACAATACACATTGTATTGTATTATACATTTAGATATAGTTGTATCTTTTTCTTGGGCTCGGCCTTACAAAGGACAGCTCTAGCTCAAAATAGAATAATAGAAACATTGGTATCACCAAAACAAAAATCAAATCAGCAAAGCAAAGTTTGATTAGCAGAATATTCCTGGAATTTACTCATATTAAGTTAGTTGATTTATATCAGCAAAAACGATGTTGAATCCACCCAATAAAAACATTCTATGCTTTTGTTACACATCTCTCACACCCTGGTAATGCTACAAACACGATAAAAGATTTTTAAAAATTTAAAAAAAAATAAATTAAAATTAATTGAATTCTTAAACGAAAAAAAAAATTAAAATTAAATTATGTCAAATAATACATAATTAAAACAACCTACTTAAAATTATTAACAAAATTTCTTTTACCAATTTTGGTTACTTGGAAATATTTATAAATCAGTAATTCATACTCGAGAGGTTTTAATTATTTTATATTTATATTTGCTTATAATATTCAATTTTATTATCACCATATTATATTGCCTGGTCAAAGTAATTCAAATAAGAAAATATTTTACAGTGACCGAATTAAGTGAGTAAAGTATATAATGCTATATAATGTATTATATAGCCTGTAATTTTATATTGACTGTAACATGTAAATTATTCGAAATTATTAGTTCATACCATAAAGTAAGTTTTTCTCCTCAATTGAAATTACTTTATTAAAAAAAAAAAATAAGGTCTACAATCTATGATTCAGTGAGGTTTCTTAACCTGAATATTTTGTGAATACTGTTATTCATTTGACCAAAAAAATTATTAGTGATAGTTGGTAAGTGTGACAACTTAACAAAGTGAGGCAAAATGACCTAACTACCAAAAAAATGTTTTTATAAGTTTTAATAAATTAAATCCAATTATACCTTTTAATATTCAAATTACAGACAGTTTAACTTTTAAATGAAACTTATTGTAATTAATAATGAAAACAATAATAAATTTTTATTTAACCAAAACAAATTTTTTAATTATAATAAACTTTAAATCAATTTCTTAGTCAAAAAATCTAATAAGTGTGAACATGAACAACTGAATAAAAAAACATAAATATAAACTTTAGTAAAGAAGAATTTAAATAATCATCTAACCTTTGTTAATCAAAGTAAAATATTTGTATTAAAAAGTTTAAAAATAATTATTAAGCTATACTTAGAATATTAAATATACTTTAATTATTAATGTACTCTTAACACTAAAAAACCAATATGAATTTCATTAATAAAACCTATAACAAATGTTTCTCAAATTAAGCTTAATAAATGATTTCATTAATTTAAAGGTTCATATTTAGAACGCTTTTTTTTCTTGTTGATTTTATTGCTTCCATTACCTATTAAGAAATAAATTCTTTAATTTACTCGGTAAAAATTACTTTATAGTTAGAATATAATTACCATTCAAAGTTAAATTAGCTATTGTCTCTTCAAGCTTTTGTTCTTTTATCGAAGTTGCTTTTGATGTGGACATCAAAGTTGGCCATTCAATAGATGAACTAGATGTTTGGATGGCAGTTGATGTTTTAATAGGAAGCGAATTTTTATTTTGAAGTGCCTACAAAATTAAATTATCATTTATAACTTAATAAAAATACTCTAGCAGAAACAATTACTTTAGCAAATGATAAATTAGATAGGCTGGGAGTTGTTTGTGAAATATTTGTAGGTGAAGATGACTTAACAGTTCCTAAAGACTCGTTTAATGAAACCATACTGAAATAAAAAAATTTAAGTATCTAATTGATTTATATTAATTAAAATATATTACCTCTCATCAGAAAAAGGGTCATAACCACACTGAGGAAAGATATGCCAGTTTTTCCATTCAGGAGGGGGTATTTGTTTTTTTTGGTTTCTCTCTTCAATACGTTTGGTGAGTCTTTGCTCTTCATAGGCTCGGCGATCTCTTTTAATTTTTCTATCATCCAAATTACCTAAAATCATTTTTTTTTTTGCAACGTTTTAAAAATTCAGGTTAATAAAAATTAATTATATTGCATCAACATAAATAGAAATATAACTAAAAATATGTTTTTATTGTGTTTTGCACTAATATGAAAAATAAAATTTAAGCCAAAATAATTCATTAATCGAGATTTTTGTAAAAAAGTTTAATGAAACACTAACTTGTTATTAATGTATTGTTATCATATTATAAAAATAATAATAAAAAAATAATAGTGTTGACTACTTGTCACAACACATCTTTCTTAATAGCATTGTATAAAAAAATAAGTACCCATTTATATTGTCAATCGGTTCCTGTATATCTATACTCATATGCCTAAATGCTAACTAAGCTGTTAATTAAGCGATATTAGTTTAACCAAAATACAACATGTGACCTTATACCTTTATTACCTAATAGGTAATAAAATTATTAACTTTTAGTAGATGATATTTAAAATCAATATTCTTAGACTGTAAAAGGATTCTCCCCAGAGTTAATACTTTATTTATTTATAGAAATTAAAAAAAAAAAAAAAAGAATTGCATAAATGAGTATAATTTTATAATTACTTTTAAATAAATCAAAAATTTCAGGTGATACAATTTCAACCATATCTATTTCTACCCATTCAAATACTGTAGAAATGGGTAAATGGAGTAAGAATCTATAACGCTTCCTTAATGATTCAGTCATAGACAAATACTGCTTTTCATAAACAATAGCAGTCAACTTCTGGGGACTATTTTCAAGACTGCCATACATTTTTTCTAACATTTCTATATTAATGGCTGAAAGATATATGTGTTGACCATCTATAGCTATTTAGGAAAATATCATTTTAGTATCAGATTTTTCTTTATAGGATATAATAGAAATACCTTGATAAAAGTAGAAATCTTTTTTAGTTGGCTTAGATGTAGATGATTGGACACAATCAACATTTATATAATTTCCTTTGTAATCATGGCTAGATACAGTTAAATCATAAAATACTTTTTTAACTTATTGATTTATAAATAAAGCTTCGACTATGAGACTATATATTAACTATTTGGCATTAATGTAAAATATATTTTGGTAAATACAAATAAACATTGATTATATGAAAATTAAAAAATTATTTAAAAAATACTTCTTAAATTTTAGTAAATTTATTTTTACTAAAATTAAAATAGTATGATATTTTTTAATTAAAAAAAGGGAAATTAAAATTTTTTTTTTGAGGTAATGAAAAAATTATATTTATTGATATAATCTTATAATTCTAGACATTTAGTAAATAAAATATTATAGTCATACTTTTTTTCAATTTCAGATGAATTTGAATTATTTTTATTTGGAGATGGAGATAGATTATGAGAACAACCAGGAGCATTAATTGATTTTTTTATACCATTCGAGACCTAAAAAAGTTATAAATATTTACACACATATATAAAGTATTTTGAAAAAATGTTTACTAATTGAGTATTTTGGTTTGTACTCATAGGACTTTCACAAAGATCACTCTTTTTTTTTTTTGTGTTGGCATGCTCTACTTTTAATTAATATATTAATTTCAATTTATATTAAAATGATTAATTATATGATATCATATAATTATATAAACTATGACTATGAATAAACATATTAAAAATATGATATCATATGACATCATATCATATCAAACAATTTAATTAAACTTACTAATTTTTCATTCATTATTAAATCCTCCCTTTTTGATAACAATTCAAGTGCTTCAAAAATGTACTTTTTTTCTTTATCTTCAGTTTCCCAATGATCTAGAAGCAACACAAGTGCCTCTCTTTCTTTATTTAATATTGTTAAAATCTAAAATATGTGAATTCATATATAAATAAATTTTCAATACCTCTTATTGACACCCATAGAATGCCATAAGTGACAAATTATTTTTTTCATAGTATTAAAAAACTGTTTTTGTGTTTTATGTAAATTTGAAAAATCAAAAATATATGTATCTTTGTTATTTTCTGGTTCTAAGGTTATAATTATTGTTTGTTTTTCATATTAGTATATTAAAATATATCATAAGGTTAATGATTGCATAAGCTTTTAAATTATTAATTTCTTATTTAGATAATTATATTTGCTTTTAAATTATAAATTTGTACATACTATACTATATTATACAAAAGTTTTCTTATTTAGATTAGATTAATTATCTTATTTAGCAGATAAGAATTTAAATATATATACCTTATTATTTTACAATTACATTCATTGATTCGATTGTAATTTGTTTTAGTTATATTAAAAATTGTTTTATCAATATGATTTAATTTCTTGATTAATTTAATATTAAATACATCAAAAAACTTTTTAAATACTTATATTATCAATTTAAATCATAAATATTTTTATTTCATTTTTTACACCTTCAGTATGAGATGTGATATGAATAATAAATAGAGTAAAGACTAACTTCATTTTTATTAGCAACAAGAAGCCGGGAGTAAGTAGTGGACATATTTAATTCTGAAATTGACAACGGTAAATTTCCACTAGAATGGTTATTATTTTTCTGTAAGTCAATAAAAGGATATGCTTGCAATGAGTTTCTAGCCCTTTTCATCAGCTGCAAAGTAATTGGATGACCAACACGACATTCTTCATTTAAAATTAACTCAAAACTAAAAATGAACAACTTTATTAATAAATGAAAATATAAATATTTACATTATTAAAATTATGTTACTAATAATAATTATGTTCAAAAAAAATATACTTTTAGTTTCTTAAAATTAAAAACTATCTATAGATTTGCATCGAAAAGTTTTTTATAACAGTGATTTTAATCACTGTTAGATATTATATATACTTGTCCCAAATATACCACAACCCCACTGTGCTACTGTTTTTAATATTATATTTACTGTGTATAATCCTATTTATTATTTTTGTAAAATATTTAAAGTTAGATTTAATTATTTGGAAATAACATAAAATTTTATGTATTATTACATTAAGCACTCATTATCTCTTTAGCTTCTATCCCAATTATGTGGGGTTTGGTTCTACATTAATGAAAATAATAATATTAATAATTATTTCTGTAGTAACATATTTATAAAATCTATCTATTTTTATTTGTTTGACATAGTCGAAAATATATATACTATAAAGTACTTTAATTTTAATTAACAATGTCTTAATAATATACCAAAGATAATTATAATAATAACATCTAAGTTAAAATTATACTCAATTCTTTGGATTATACAATACAATTTCAATTTAGATGTGAAATAAAAGATTTAAAATAAAATATTTTATATCCTTAAAATTTTAAAGAACATAAAAAAACTTGTAAAATATTCTCAAAACAAAATAGTTAAGAATTCTAGAAAAAAAATTAGTTATATCAATTAATAATAAATTATAACATACCTTTTTAACTCATTTTTTATGACTGTAGAATGACATATTGGACAAGTATCAATATCAAACTCTTTGTTAACATCCAAATATCGCAATATACAAGGCCAACAATAAATATGTCCACAACAGGTAATTTTTGGGGTTGTAGGTATATCCATACATATTGGACATTTAATAGCTTGAGTAGAAAGCATCTTCTATATAGAAAAAAGAAATAACTAATATAAAATATCTAGAAAAAATTATATGAAATTTTCACACTTACAATTTGTTCAATGTAGTCCCAGTTTACTATTTCATCCTGGTTGAAAATCCAAAATGTATAATCTCTGCCTGACTTAACAACAAACTGGCAACTAAAAATTAAAATTTTTCATTTTCAAATTTATATAATTAAATAATTTTTATTAAATAACTTTGTTAAAATTAAAGAGTAAAAAAAATATAAATCGGAATAATATATATGGATAGTGTTTAGGAAAAAGGGCACAAGTCATACTTATATTATACATAAATTTTGTAGTAAATTTTATAGTTGGTGTTACTATAATTTACCTATTTATATTTATTATTATTCAATTTCCATGTGCTTTTAAACACAAGTCCAAATTGAATTATTGAGGGAAATAAATGTTTTTTCAAAACATTTGTCATTTTTTAATTATTCTCCCAAATACTGACCATATGTATATGCATCAAGTAGAATAGATCTAACTGACAACTTTTGATATAATGATCATTTCACTGTAATTTTTTTTTTTTAAGAATTTTTGCATTCTCAGAGTACATTAAGATGTTATGTTTCATAGTCTATCTTTAATAATAATAAAAAATTATTTTTTTTAATTTTTAAAAATTTTAAAATAGCTAGTTTTAGCACTTTTCATACAAAAAGTTTTAATAAAGTTTAAAAGTCAATTAAATTTTAAAAAGAGTACTTTTAACTTATTAAGTTACTAGCATTTTAAAACATATAGTGGATATATAAGTAAATGAAGTATGTGCTATAAATTTTATATTGAATATTCCACCTACACTACATACCCAGAAGTTCTAAATATTTAAAAAATCCAAAAATATGGTTAATTTTGAAAAATATATTATTAGTTTAATAACTTCTTCTTCTTCTACTTAATCCCAACTACTTGGGGTCGGCCACCCTTATCCTAAACTTCCACTTGACACTATCTCTCTCATCATCTACGCTCACATTAGCTGTCCTCATATCAGATTCAATAGCATCCCTCCATCTCTTTTTTGGTCTTCCTCTACCTCTTCTTCCTTCAACATTCATTTCTATAACTGTTCTTACAGCTTCCGATTCTTCTCTCCTCATAACATGACCAAACCATATAAATCTATTTTCTCTCATCTTATCCACAATTGACGCTACACCTATACTCTTCTATGTTCATTCCTTATCCTATCTTCTGTAGTCACTTCACTCATCTATCTAAGCATTCTCATCTCTGTTACATTCATTATCTGCTCTATTCTCTTGTCAACTGCACAACCTTTAGAACCATACATCATAGCTGATCCTACTACAGTCTTATAGAACTTACTTTTCAGTCTCATTGAAATTTTCTTATCGCATAAGACGCCAGACGCTTCTCTCCCCTTCAACCACCCGCACTTAATTCTATGTCTTACATCCTCGTTAATACCACCACTCTTTTGCACAACTGACAATTATTATTTTAATAATAACCTATATTAATTACAATAATATCTATAAATTTACTTTGCTAATAAAAAATGCTTGATATTAAATTTGACATATTCCTCTGTTTTTTGTAAGCTACAACTGTGCTTTTTTGGCATATTCCACATGTTTGTTTGATTCCATTGCCGAGAATTTGGCAACATATTGGCATCTTCTTCATCCTCAACATCTTGCAATGTATCAATTACCTAATATTAAAAAATCATAACATATCATACCTCAAAATAATCACAACCCATAACCCATTAAGCAAAAAAAAAAAAAAGAATTTCTTTCTTAGCAAAATGTGTTATAACTAATTTTCACTATACAAATTAATGGATCATTATTTGGTATGACATACTATAAGCTATTAACTGTTTACAGGCTGTTGGTATATGCAAAAATTTACTAAAATATTAGTTTTCTTGATATGAACAATCTATAAATAACTATGTCATATAGATGGTAATAATTTTTCTTTATGCCAATAAGCCTGCAAACAGTAGATATAATATTAATATATATGAACCTCGGCACTCTTCTTTCCACAAAATAAACTAACTCGAGGTTGTGGCTGCTTAAAATTGTTGTTCTTTTTAAAAGATACTCCTCGATTTCCATCAGATTTCTGAGGTTGAACAGAAAATAGTTTTCCATTACGACGATTAGTAGCAAATTTTGAAATGGACACTTCTATATAATAAAAAATATGGTCAATTTTAATTGAAATTCAATTTCATAAATTTAAACACTACTTTTTATCACTTATTTGTTTTACTTATAATACAATATTATTGTATTCCCATTAATACGCAAGCGTAAATAAGTTTTTCTTCCATGATTCTTGAAACAATTATGGTCAAGACAATAACAATGGTAGTTTAACTCTCAAGTATCAAAATTTGTAATAAAGATAAAAATATATACTAATATTAATCTACTTAATAAATACGATACTTATTAATACCATTTAAAATGATCAATTTTTATTACATTATTACAAAAAATATTTGCTACTAAATACGATATGGTAAATAAGTGCAGTGTTACCGGTTGTAAAAGTCTTTATGCAAGAGAAAACGTCAAATTGCACAGGTAAAATCTATCAACCTCCACAAGATGGAGGTGAACTAGAATAATTATGATAGTATACATTCCGCTGTAGTACTTGTTAAACATAATATATTATCTATAATCGGGTATATTAAAATACCAACATATTATTTTAAGATTTCCCTTGGGCAATGCAGAAACTTTACCACACTGGATTGCAGCTACTAAAAGAGAGCCAGAATGGAAACCCTGCAAAAGCAGTAGACTATGTGGAAATCACTTTCAAGAATCAGAATACATAGTTGGACATGGAAAAGGCATATTAAAGTCTTCAGCCATACCAACAATTGATTACTGTGTAACAATTCCAGTAAAATATATACTATATTTAATAAAAATCAAATTAAATAATAATGGAATAAAATAAACTTTTTCAGAGGTACAATAAAAAAAAAAATGTGAATTACAAAACTTCTCATAAAATTAAAGACATGAATAATCCAATATCAGTTGAATCTAAGGTAAAAATAGTAAAGTTAGATAATACTTTTTAAATATATTACTTATATTTTATACATTAATATTATGTAGACCCAAAAAAATGATTCAACCATAGAAATTGTAAAAGTTGATTATAATGATGATTATGATGAAGAATTGATTGAGAATTATGATTTTGACTGTCAAAATTCCTATTTAAATAGTTATGAAGAAGAAAATCATTCTTACAATATTAATGAAATGTCATCAGTGGAAAATATATTACAGAATAACACTATTAATGAAAAATGTGATGGTATTGAAGAGAATTATGAAAAATATGTTCATATTAATGAAATAAAGAATAGTAAAGATACAGATGATTTCAGTGAACGACAAACTCAATGGTAAATTTTGAGGATTATAATTAATAAATTAACAACAATCTATTAAATTGGATAATTTATATTTTAGTTATGTGTACTCCAATAGCTTCAAAGAAGGTATTGAATCATTAATTTTAACTGACGAGTGTAAATCAATTGACAAAGAAAAATGGAATGAGGTATGTAAATAATTAATGAGTTGATAATATAACAAAATTTAATTTTTATAGGATATGAATCAATCAATCGCAGATAAAAATTTCAATAAAATACTAAGGTTAAAAAAAAAACGACGAACCAAAGATATATATTCTTTATATTTTAAGTCTTTAATAAAAAAAAAAGGACATAATATTGAAAAGAATATGCAGCAATTTTTTAACGATGATGCAGCCATGTTTGGAGCATTTATTGAAACACAGATGAAAGAACTATATCCCCACAAAAAACTCTACATGAATACAAAGCATAAAATTCAAAAAATTTTGATGAAAGCACAGTTAAAAATGACTGATTAAACAATACTTGTAAAAACAAAGAATGTTATTAATTGTATATATGTATATTGTACATGATTATATAAATCAAATATAAAAAATAATTTAAATCTGTTATTTTATATTATTACAGCACCATATATTTGTAGAATTAACATATCGTAGTTGTACATTATATTTCTTGATATAACGAAAAACAAATAACAATATTATTATATTTTTATACAATAATATATATTTAAATTAACTTCTCTATTCATACCTTCACAAAATTATTCCCAATATAAATAGTAATTCAAAAAATTAATGATAATTACAATATAATTTATATTTAATAGATTTGTTAAAACACTATAATAGTATTGAAAAATATATCATTTTTTAAGGAGTTATGACTTATATTAAATTAAAGCTAGGTACTAATTAGTTGTAGTTTAAAGATACTATTTAATTAACTTTTTAGCTTAACTGGTTAATTTTAATAAATAAGAATTTTGTAAAGTTGAACTAAATGTGTATAATAATCCTAATCTGATTAAAAATAAAAACAACTAGTTATAATGAATGAATAATTAATATTGAATTTTGTGAATTAATATAAAATTATGGTGGTAATTTTATTAGGTTATACCCATTTACCAATATTATTAACAATGTTGTGACATGCAATTATTCTAAAACCACATGCACACATATGAAAACTAACAGATGCAATAGAACTGCAATCCACATAAATTTTTTCTTATTATTTTTTTTTTTAATATATTATATTATTACTACAATATTAAATATAGATATATTACTTATAATATATTTAGCTATACTTGGTATGATAATATGAAATTGTTGAAAATTAATGATCCACTCCCTTCAAAGGTCATTACACTACTCCGAACATTACTTGAAAATGCTCTATTAATTTGGGATAATAAAAATATCAGTCATACTGAAAAAAACTTGAAAAAGTGCAAAACAAAATTCTCAGATTATATTTTACTTTACCAAAAACTCATCATATTGGTTACAGATATAAAACTTGATTAAAAAAGCTTCAAATTTATAAGATTTTTAATTTTGGAAACTTTAAAAACACGTATTAGGTCTTTTCATAATATTGCATTGAAAAAAATTATTAATTACAATAAATAATAAAAATGCTTCTTTTTTAACAGCATTCTCAATAAAATGTTGTTTAAAAAATAATACTACCTGTAGACTTTTTATTTTCATTTTTATTTCCCTGTGCAGACTTTGACACAGGCATGTTTAATTTTTTTTCCATTTGACGATTTTCTGACATAAAAATTGATCAAGGAGACGTGATCTCCGAAGAGAGAGGCGAAATTGAGCTTCTCGTACGACATTTTATTCAGTATAAAGCCATTATCATATAAATTAATTAAAATAAATAACAATTCTTCGTAGAATCAAAATAATTTAACTGGATTAGTTATAAAAGATGCGAAGTCGAAAGGTAAGAATAAAGAGTTTTTTACTCTCTTATTCTGTCTATGCACTGTAAAATCAATACGATAAAATAAGAAAATCTTAATTTTGATAAAAGAAGAAGTTTTAAACTTCAATTACAGAAAAACTTTTATAAAATTAAAAGTCGCGCATGAGCGACAAAACTTGCTTGACGAACAACTAAATATACTCAAAATGGCCGATGTTAAAATTCGCGTATCGAAGTAATAATTTTAATTTCTGATAGTAAACTTGGCTTACAAAAACTCAAGTGTAATACAACAGCTGTTATATTATTTTTTCCATGGAAATATGAAGTGTTTCTAATTAATTAACCCTTTGGTAGTCACTTTGATTTTTGTAAATTTAGTTACTTGAGTAATCCATAACCTTATACAAAAGCTATCGCTGAGGTTCCATTTTGGTTGACTTTAAATTTTTTTCAACGAGTATTATTAAACTAGGTCTAATTAATAATTTTATTGAAATTCTTTCAAATGTTTCTTTGGTATATTGATAATTTATCATATAACCAAAAAAAATGAAAATTAGTATAGTCTTATTTATTTTATTAACCATAATGATATAGCAAACCAATCTCCAAATTTGGTTGGTAGATACCATAAGCAACTCTTTTTGATAGTTGAAAACACCATTTTAGAAAATATGTATATTTACAGTACTTTATATTTAGTCTCATAAGAAAAAATATTTCCAAGTTACTCTATGCACAACAATTTACAATTTAATTTTATCTTACGAAAACTAATTTCTACTGAATTGATTTTACTCAACAATACGACAAAATACTATCTAGAAGTAGACTTATTAAAACAAAATTCCATCGTTCTTCGTAAATGTTAGAAATCCCTAAAAAATAATTATTTTACAAAATTTTTTGGCGAGTACTTTTAATATTTCTTTCTGTTCAACATCCTTTTATTTATCTTCGATGTGAAGCTGAGAAGGTATTAATGTAATGTGTTTTTTTTTGTGTGCGTCTGTTAACACTCAATCTCAGCTTTCCCTGGATCTATTTTTATGATTAATACGTCAAAAGATCACAAATTGTATCTAGTCGAAGATATTACCCTCAAAAATTGAAAAAATTCCCTCGTTCTCAAAATTCCCAAAAAAATTACTATTTTAAAAATCGGTAATTTTTGACATTTTTTTTTCTTAAAACTGCTATAACTTTTTTAAAAATGAACAAATCAATATAATTTTTTTTAATAGATACCTTTAGTATTTAACTATTATTTGATATATTTTTATGAACATTAGACCCTTTACCTGCCCATTGAGAGAGTTTCAAAATGACAACTTTTTCATAAAAAATGAACTTTTATAATTTAATTTTTAAAAGTGTTCCAGAAATACTGACTCTTTTATATATATCTTAAATTAAAGCTTATGTAATATACATAAATTTGAAAAAAAATAATAAATTGACCTCTGTATTTGTCTTCATGATGAAAATGACAACCGTATTAAAAAAAATATACTATTTTTGTGTGTAAAATTCTGGGTCTTGTATTTTATTTTATTATACCTTACAAGTGGAGTACGCAGACTTTCATAAATATTATATAAATCTAATTGATATAGCATATAAATTAGTTAAATTTATTAAAAATTTTTTCGTTTTATATATCGAGAAAAATAACTTTGAAATTTGAATTAGCTTTTATTGTCAATTTTTTCGATCGCCAAGGGCAATGTTTACAGTAGCTGAGTTGATAACACTTGTGTCTTACGCGTTTGGGGTACGAGGTTCAACTCACCCGTGTGAATGAGTTTTTTGCACTTTTTTCTTAATTATTTTTGAGTTAGAAAGAAATTTTCAACTCATTTGATTTTTATATCATTTAGATTCAATAACTTCAATACAGACCAAAGAACCCATCACTGCAGTCGCCCCTTGTAAGAAGACATTTCTTACTAATATTAAAATTATTTTACTATATGGTTTTATTTTCTCTGCTCGCACTTGACCTACTTTTTTGTAATGATACATCAAATGATTACAATTTTTATGCAGTTGAAAATATTACCCTCAAAAATTGAAAAAAATTCCAATATATCAATTAAAAAGTTGCTTAGCCCATATTCTCCATGTAGATAATTAAACTTATTCATTTCTAATGTTTTCAAAGTACTTATTGACAAATTAAGTTTGATATGATAATGATGCCAACTATAAAATTAAATAATTTTATTTTGTAGTTTATAATTTTAGCTTCGATGCGAAGTTGAGAAGGTATTGGTTTTACTATGTGTTTTTTTTTTGTGTCTTACCACATTTTCATCGAACCGATTTCTTTCAATGATACGTCAAAGATCACAAATCGTATCTAGTCGAAGATATTACCCTCAAAAATTGAAAAAATTTCCCTCGTTCCCCGTAAACGGGGAAACCTCAAAAAAATTACAAATTTAAAAACCGCTAATTTTCGAAATTTTTTTTCTTAAAACTGCCATTACTTTTTCAAAAATGAACAAATCAATATAATTTTTTTTATAGATGCTTGATGTGTTTACCTATTATTTGGTATGTATTTTTTATAAATTTAACCCTTTATCACCCCACAGAGGGGGGATTTAAAATGACAACTTTTTCATAAAAATTAACTTTTTCAACTTAACTTGTGAAAGTGTTCCGGAAGGTCTGACACTTTTATATATATCTTAAATTAAAGCTAATGTAATGCACTTTATTATGGAAAAAAAAAATTTGACCTCTGGACTTGTCTTCGTGGTGAAAATTGCTTCCGAATGCTATTTTTGTGTGAAAATTCTCAATTTTATTTTTAACTTTATAATGCTATAACTTATTGAAAAGTGTATGGATTAACATAATTTTTTTATGAGAAATAATATTTTTTAATAATCCCTTTTTCATTCGACATACTTTATTTTATCAGGATATTAATAAGGAAATAACAGATCATGTAGCTTTTGGAATAATCCTCCAATTTTTTAAAATTAAACGCTATCTAAAGATTTGCATGGAAGCGTTTTTTTAAACACTGTCAGATATCATTATACTTGATTCCAACTATGCCACGTCAAAACTGTGCCGCGACCCCCCTGTGCTGGGTTTTTAACTCTATTTATGCGTGTACATTAATATTTCACATTTTTTTGTAACATCATGTTGTTATATAAATCATTTCCAAAATAAATTATTTTTAGTTTGACTTGAATTTAATAATAGATTTTTACAATTATAATCAAATTATATAAAACGCTCTATTGTAAATTTTTTTTAACAACTTTTTGATTGGTTTTTTTAGTTTAAGTAAATCGTTAAAATTAATTCAGTTCTACATATTTCAATTGTAGAATCTTTTTAAACACCAAATGTTAATTAGAAATAATTACTATGGTTTCAATTAAATGATTTTTAAAATCACTGTCAGATTAAATCTATACTGAACACAACTATGCTACGTCCCCACTGTGCTGGGTTTTATTTATATTATTTTTCTAAAATAAAAATTTCCCTTTAAATATATAAAAATATTAATTAATGTCTAACTTTATAGATAAAACCACCAATAAATCCTTAGTCGTGTGATGCATACATTTAAAACAGTTTTTTGGTAAAAAATCAACAATACTTATCTCATAATTTTTTTAATTCTTAGCTATTTAGTCACAACAATCAAATAAAAATAAGTTAACACGAAAATCCATACAATTTAAATAATGAAAAATAACACGATTAATAAACAAAAAAAATAACAATAACAAAACAAAAAACAAATGGCACATAATAATAATAATTCTTATTTAATAAAATTGATAAAATAATCGTTCTAATTTCTAGTTCCTTGCTTATGACTATTTTGTATAATATTTTTAATCTCTTCGGGTAAACTAGAAGGATCCGACAGTATTTCAGTTGACGTACATAAATTCCGTAATGCATTTAAGGCAACTAGAATATTTAAATGTATTTTTAATGAACATTTTTAAACATTCATACATGGTATTTCTTTCAGCGTGAGCCTCGCCATTTTTTTTTAAATAATAAATGTGGTGAGAAAATATTAATCATGTTAATTACATTTTTAATTCATTCCTTATACCTTATAAGGGTGTCAACTAAAAAAAATAAATTGTAAACATAAGACTGTTTGATTTATCTAGTTAGCATAATCATAGTTATTCTAGTGACTGTAATTTGTCTAACATAAATTAAGAGCGATTGACATAAAGAGTGATGAATAGCTCGTTAGATCAACTCATCTTTTGTTACCTACATATGTATCTTCATTTATCTTTTACAAAATATTTTTTATGTGTCATCCCTTATGCCTTCTATGGGTGTCAAATTAATTTTTTCAAATGGGAACATACATCTTTAACTAGTTTATAAAATACAAAATTATCTATTTAAGAAAATTACTGGTTGATAGTAATTTTTGTACCAGTACTAAAACCAACAATTTGAAAAAAAATATAATAAATTTAGATTTTGAAAAGAAAAAGTTTAGTTTTAATTAGAATTTAAAGGTATAGAAGACCGAACTATCAAGGTAGATGAGATATTTATATGAAACTAGAAAATAAAAAAAATAATTTTCTTAACATAATTTTTATTTTAAGAAAAACTGAGTGGCTAACCTTAAAAGAATCACCCTCAATAATGGTTTACTTATCATAAATACAAATATTTAAGATACATTTTCATTAAAGCAGAGATTTCACAAAAACTGAAGCGGAAAAGAAGACAGTGAATAGCTAATTTGCAATGATTTTTATGATCATAATAAAGAAATAGTAATAAGACTAAAATATTAACTTACAAATATAAGATTTTGTAAATTATACAAAAATTATAAACTAAAGTATCTAAATAAAATAATTCCTTGTTTAAAAAGATAAAAACATTTTTATTTAATGGTAATTTTTACTTCTTATACACTATTTTTTTTTAAAAATTTCAAAAAATATTAGCAAATAAAATTTATTTTCAAAAAGTATTAATTATTTTTTTTTAAACACATTATTAGGATATCATATTTGGTTTTGATATCTATTTTTGGTTACAAGAAATAAATGATTCAATCAAATCAAAAATTTATCCAAAATTTTATATCTTAATGTCAATACATTTTTCAGAAGCGACAAACAATTTATTATAATGTTATTTGCAATTTATTTATTTATAAGCTTTTGTTCATAAAATGTTTTATTTATTACATTAAAATACTCTTTGCAATTATATAAAGTAATAAAATGTAATTTATAATCATAGTTTGGAGAGAATATGAGTTCTTTCATAAAAAAAAATTATTAACAAAATAACTGCAAGATAATTGCAGAAATTTTTTTACCAAAACAGTCATTCTAAAAATGTAGTTATTAGGTATTGCCATTAAAGTAACAAATTATATTGTCCATAATTTTTATTATATTTTATATATTTAAAATAATCAATACTTTTAAAAAAAAACTAATTTATAAAATTCAAATAATTGTATATTCTAAGACTTCTTACTTGGCCTGAGATCACCAAGGGTACAATGTTGTTCCACCCATTGAAATGTGGTACGGTACATCTCCTCATAATTAGTTGTTGATACACTAGAATTGAATGAATTTAATAAAGGCTCAGCTATTAAACTAAGCTAAATAAATATTTATAAGGATTATTTATAATATTCTTATTGAATTGATTTAAGGATTACACTTAATTTTTATTTTATACATTTTATCCTTAATTAGATAATGTATATATTCTGAAACACTAAAGCAGATGTCAGATCATACACTTTTGAGTGATTTTAATAACCTACAATGGGGATTGTAGGTTATTAAAATACTCTTATTGGGGAATAAGATAAACAATAAGCTTTGATTGAAGGCTATTGACTAAAATAATTTATGGTAGTCTTTGTCATTTTACAAATGCTTAGGCAGTCTAAACCTTTTTATAATGACAAAGACTAAGGCATAAAGCATTCCCATTTGAGCTAAGTAAAGCCTCTGTTTGTAAGTACCAGAGATTGATTCTACTACTAGGCTTTATAGGTTTTCTCATCTTCTCTATCAAAAGCATAGCTCTTCAGTCAAGATGTTTAAGATAAATATGATAAAAATAACAATTATAATAGTTATGATGATCTCCATCATAACTTATGAATGAATGTTTTGTAAATTGACTAATTTATATTTAAGTGTTATAGAGTGTAGTTAAAATTTTTTTATTATAAATTTGTTTAAGTGCTTCTGATCTCACAGAATTTTTTAAATATATATAAATTAAATTTTGACATTTTACTTGTTATTTTTAATCTTTACAATTAAAATTTTTAGAAACATTGAACTATAGACGATTTTGTAAAATATCACTATAAGTCGCCGTATATTTTGATCACATTAGTTACGTGCATTTTAGATAATGATTTTTTCACAAATGTATGGTGTCTATACACAAACAATTTTATGAATGGATAAGTACTTTTATTATCTGTAAAATTATATTATAAAATTTATATATTATTATGTACTGATGAATGTATTATTTATCATAATACAGCAGCCGTAGTGGCAGTAGAAGCCGAGAGAATACGGTTAGTTAAACGCGTTGTTATTTGAACCTATTACAAACTACACACACATATACTTCTAAGTTTCTGAATACATCCATGAATTATGAAAATGGCTAAATAATGATTATATCATAGAATAATAAATAAAAAACTCTTTTTACAAAAAATATCAAAAATATTATGAATAAAATTTAACCCATCTCATTAGATATACATTGTTTTGAATTGAGTATTAATATTTTACACAAAGGATACAATATAAAATTTCCAATTTTCCTGTGTTCGTTTTATGACATATTCATCAAACATTTCTTTCATCTTTGTAGTTCGTTGCCTTGAAAATGGAGCTCCTGTTGCTGGTAACATTGCTTGACAATTGCTAAGTAACAATATATTAATATATTAATAGTAACAGTATATTCCCGCAAGGGAGACTTTATTAAGTCTACGGGTGTGACGACCCCGCGTACCCTAGTTGTTAGGGTTATCGAAAGATAACTTTGACACCTATCTTTAGATAGGTTAGCTACAGGCCGATAACCTATACTGTAAAAACTTCATGTTCAGGATTCGAACAACAACAAGCCTCGGACTAGATTGGAAAAAACGACTGGAAATTGGATATCGGATTTAAAATGTGGTACTTGGAATATACGAACACTATACAAACCTGGAGCAGCAGCGGAATTAGTAGGTGAAGTGGAGAGATACAAAATGAAGTGTGTGGCGTTACAAGAGATGAGATTGGAGGATGCAGGAACAACAAAAATGTCACAANGAGATTGGATGATGCAGGAACAACAAAAATGTCACAAACAACAATCATAAATTGAAGAAGCTAACGAGGGCACAAACTAGGGACTGGTTTTGCTGTACATGAATCGATTCTACATATGATTAAAGAGTTCAAAGATGTAAACCCGAGAATCTCGACATTAACCCTGAAGGATAAAGACCTTCATACAGTGTTAATCAATGTACATGCGCCAACGGAGGATAAAGATGAGGAAGAAAAGGAAGAGTTTTACAATACACTTGAGGAGATATTTGATACAACGGTGGGAAATATAAAAATTGTAACCTAAATTTGTGACCTAAATGCTAAAATAGGAAAGGAAAGGATATACTATGACGTGGCAGGAATACACAGCCTCCATGAACACTCGAATGATAATGGTTCAAGACAAGCAAATTTTGCATTAGGAAAAGGTTTAATAATTAAAAGCACAATGTTCCAACGCAAAGATATATACAAATATACTTGGGTGTCACCGGATGGGAGGCACAAGAACCAGATTGACCATGTACTGGTCAACAAAAGGTTTAAAAATGGTATAACTAATATGAGAACATTACGAGGCGCTGACGCAAACTCCGACCATCTTCTGTTAGGGATCTGGATAAGAGTAAAATTCAAGAAGCAAAGCATGCACAAATTAAATACAATAGAGAGGTATGATATTGAGAAGTTAGAAGACGTTGACATATATAAAAATTACAGCAAAAAAATCAGCGAAAATCTTAAAGAACAACAAATAATAAATACAGACGATGTGAATGATGTGTGGGGCTGTACAATAAACCGCAAAAATAACCTTAGGGATAAGAAAAAAAGAGAAAGAAACCATGGTTCAATAAAATTTGTGAAGACGCAGTACAAAGGAGAAAGAGAGCCCGGGAAGAATGGTTGAAAGATACTAATAATGAAGAGAGTGCTACAGAATTTAGCAGACGGAGGAAAGATGCTCACAATATAATAAGATGTGAAAAAAGAAAGTATATCCAAAATATTATGCAAGATGCAGAACAGGACTTTAGGTTAAATAGGACCCGCGATATGTATAAGAGAGTGAAAGATTTAAAAGGAGATTTTAAAAAGAAGGAACGGTTTCTTAAGGATGATGATGGAATGTTAATAACTACAGAGAAAGAAATAGCTGAAAAATGGAGAAAGTATTTTGACCATCTACTAAACTGTGAGGAACCAACCGAAAAATTTCTCTTTAATATTAGGAACATAAATACACAAGAATGCCCACACCCCTCACTTGAGGAAACTGAAGTACAAGTACAAAGATTAAAAAATCACAAATCCCCAGGAGAGGATTGTGATCAAACGGAACTCTTAAAATATGGAGGAAAAGATGCAATACGATGGATCTGGCAAGTCATTAGCAGGGTGTGGACAACAGAAAAACTTCCAGAGGATTGGAAGGTGGCGGTGGTATGCCCAATTCACAAAAAAGGTGATAGACAGGATTGCAACAATTACCGGGGAATATCCTTATATAAAATAAAATATTATGTATCATATAAAAAAATATTCTCGAATTGTGTCTTAGACAGAATTAAAGAAAAAGCAGAACAAATAATAGGAAACTATCAAGGATGGTTTAGAGCTGGTAGATCAACGACAGACCAGATGTTCAGAATTAGGCAATTGTTTCAAAAAAAATGAGAGTTTGATAAAGAAATACATACACTTTTCGTGGACTTTAAAAAAGCATATGATAGTATTCATAGAGACAGTCTACTGAATATTATGAAAGAATTTCATTTCCCACAAAAACTGGTCAATCTAATATCGATCAGTGTAATGGAGACCTTGGTAAGGGTTCAAGTGGGAAATTCAATAACTGACCCGGTTAGAGTGAATTCAGGACTAAGACAAGGCGATTCATTATCGCCGATTCTGTTCAACGTGGTTTTAGAGAGTAATTAGGGAAATGAAAATTGAACCTCATGAAGGTATTAGACTACAAGACAAGGCGATAGGTATACTTGCTTATGCGGATGATATAGTGTTGATGGAAGAATCTGAAGATAGATTGAAGATATTATTTAGTAGATTGTATAAAGCAGCATTAAAATTAGGACTATACGTAAACGAACAAAAAACGGAGTATATGATCTTGAGTAGACGAGAGCTACCATTTTGTCAGTCCATAAAAATAGATCACTACGAATTTAAAAGAGTACAACAGTTCAAATACCTCGGTACTATTTTGACTGAAAAAAATAATATAGCAAACGAGGTAGCAGCGAGAATTCAAGCTGGGAATAAATGTTACTTTGGACTCACTAAGATACTACATTCAAGAGCAATATCGCAAAGAATGAAAGAACAATTATATACGTCCCTGATACAACCAGTTATATTATATGGATCAGAAACATGGCCACATAGAAAAATGGACGAACAGAGATTTATTACCTTTGAAAGAAAAGTATTACGGAAAATATATGGCCCAGTCAAGGACAAAATAACTGGGGAGTGGAGACAAAAAAAGAATATAGAACTAGAAACACTATATAGTGGTCCAAATATATTGAAGATTATCAGAGAAAGAAGACTACAATGGGCCGGCCATGCTTGGAGGAACCAAAATCCACTTCTACATGCAGTGATTGAACAAAATCCTGTAGGTAAAAGACCTTTGGGAAGACAAAAGAATGCGCTGGGAAGATGTTGTAAAAAAGGATGTTGAACAGATGGGAGGTGTGTCCAATTGGAGAGATTTGGCAGTGGACAGAGAAGGCTGGAAGTGAGACGGGATGGTCTTAAAGGCCCAATAAACCCAAGAAGAAGAACAATATATTAATATATTTTATGGTATCTTATTAAACTATCATTTTGAAGCTTTGAATAAAATTTATCTAAGAATAGTTTATTTGATACACCATTTTATATTACCATTTACCTTATAGCTAAATTTAGAGATTCAACTTGTTGTTGCAAATTTTGTCTCTCATCATACAGACGTGCTCTTTCTGATCTCAATTGGAGAATGTAATCTGCACCTTTTTGTAACATAGCAGCCTTACTCATTTTAGCATTGGGATTTTGATTAATTTGTGGTATTAACATGTTAAGCATATCAAATCCATTTTTGATGTTACATCGTCGTTTTTGTTCAGCATTAATGTGACAAACTCTCCTATGTTCCTGAACACATTTTGACCTATGCCTTAAGCTCATGAGCAGTTCACACTAATATTATTTAGTTGAAAAACAAAGCAATGTTTTTGACCTAAAATCAACTAGTATGTTATATTACCTTATATGGAGTACGAGATGGTCCTGGAATCATAGCATGTGGCGGGATAGTAATTGAAGTATCACTCCTTTGGGACAAATTAATTGATTCATTAGATTGATTAGAGGAACGAGTTTTTTGACATATATCAGAATTACATGTTATAGATGATGGAGATAAAGAATGAGTTTGAGGACTTGGAGTTATTATTGGTTGAGTATAGTTTGTTGGTGGAGAAGGTTGATTGTTAGTCGGTGGTGTTTTGTTAAGAACAGTGTGATTATTATATTCTTGATTTTGAGGATGCCTGTAAGTTGAGTATCCATGAGAATGATTATTATGGGGTATATCAAACCGTGGTTGAATTTGAGGCAACTGATGTATACCTCCAGGTGTACCAACTGCATCAAGAAGACCACGGGTATTGGGAGTTAAATTATACATGTTACAATCACTAAAAAATATATATATAATAATTTTTAAAAAGTTTCAAATAAATTAAAATTTTTGTACTATTACAAGAAAAAAATTGACATCATATACATTTGTTTTTAATATATTACCTCTGATTCATAAAAACAGGACTTGGTTTACGATAAACAAAATGATCAGTATAAGATGTTAAAACATGATCAGGAGTTCTTGCTCTTCTTTGAATTAATTGGTAAGGTATTTGTTGTACCTGTTGGTATGATTGATAAGATCCACTATTATTACGAAATTTATTCATACTGTTGGGCAATTCATTTGTGTTCGATGATGCAAAAACATTGTTATCTGGATAAAAAAGTGTAAAAAAGTGTAATTTATAAAACATATAATTAATTAAACCATCAATCTGTAGACAAATAAAAACTATATTTATAAGAAATATTCCAAATTGCCCAATACATCAATACAATAAATCAAGCAGAACAACAAGCATATTAAGCTTAAAAAAACAATAATCATCAGTAACTATCCTCATAAATCAGAACTTCTAATTCATATAATATAATGTTTTCTTTTTTGTTACCAAACAAATCATGCTAAATGAGTTATAAGTTAATTTTACAATTATGTTATCAATAATATAAAATCTGAAAAATTTTTTCTTGCTTTCAATTTTTAATTAGAATAATAATAGTAATTTTAAGGAATAAAGTTTATTAAATACAAATATGAATGGATGCTTCTTGTAATTTCAAAAAAATTAAATGATTTTTATCAACTATACATAAGTTAAGACATTATTTTAATACATAATTACAATATTTCAGCATACAAACTTAGAAGCCCTGCTTATTATATTATGTAGCTTTTAGACTACAATAATAGTTGGCATTAATAGCAACTAAAGGAATATAAATACATATAGATATGTATTCTTAATATCTACATAATCAGAGCTATAAAATGAAAATGTAATAATCCTACAATAACCCCAAATGTCATACCTTAAATAGTTTAGGGTTCTAGATATAAATTTAATCCATATTATATATGATTGCCAATACTTAGATCATTCCTAAAATTTAAGATTTTTAAAAGAAAAGTTCAAAAATTTGCGTAAAATTTATTGTTAGTCACTGTATAATTCAAAAAAGTATTTAGATCTTTTAAAATTGTCCTCAAATAAAATATAATAATGCTTATTTTTTGTGTTACATATTTTTTTTAGAATAACTAATTTACTAATCTAATGCCCCCTTAATGCCTTTTATAATTAGCACTATACAGTATTGTACAATAAGGGTAAAGCTCCCTACAAAATTTTCAATACACCTACTTGCATCATAAGTTTCTTAAAATAAATATTTAATTCATAATACGAATGAAGAAATGTGCATTAATAAGCATTATCAAATTTTTAATTTACATGTTTCATTTTATTACTTTTTTACACATTTTATATTTACTTCTTCCCTTTGTTGACTTTTATAAAATATTGTGAATGTGTGAATTAGATACAAAATAAAAAAAAATTAAAAAACTCAAATTTAAAGAAGAAGTAAATCATGTTAATAAAATCTTGACTAATGGTATGAAAACATGTTTGGGTCAACTTCATTTTTATAAAAACATTGTTTTATATTTGAACTAGATACTTTTTTGATTTTTGAAAAATATTTACTAACATTAATAAAAACATGACTCACTGTTATTATTAAGCAATTGTGCCAACAAAACACTTTGACCATTATCATTTGAAGATATGACCTTTTGTTTTGATTGTGCTTGTCTACCGCGAGGTCTTTGACGAATCTGTGAACACATATTAAGTAATTAATAAATCAGTTGTAGATTTGTAATTTCAGTCAAAAAAAAGTAATAATCTATTGTAAAAATATAATTAGATTCAAATAAAAATTATAAATCATAAAAATATTTTACTTTTGGAGTGACAAAATTATCTTGTGAACTTCTAAGTATAGGAGGAAATTTGCTATATGCTTGAACCTGTGGTGTTCTATTTTTGTAATCATTACTAGATGAATCATTTGTAAAATCCATTACAGAATTATTAGAAGTAGATATGTTTTGAGATTGATGGTAAGTATTTGAATTTATAACTGAACCATGTTCCATGTTTGATGCATTATAATCAAATATAGGATACGATGAAGATGGAATAGGTAACTGCAAATCATTATGTTGAGTTTGTGTATTAGTTGTAGAAATATTGTTGTATGAATTATTTGAGTTTTGGTATTCAGAAGTTGATGACTGGTGGTACAATGTTGTTGAAAAATTTGATTGAAAATTTTCACCAGATGAATAATTACTAGCATGTAATGGACAAGAGGGGTCTGAATTTTCTGGACGATTATTAGACATTTTCAGTTGATTTAGTTCTGAGTGTAAAGTTAATGAATGCTGATTTGTTGGATAACATGAATTGACTTCTCCATATGATTGATTGTACATACTGTTGGATGATTCTGAAGGCATTTGACATTCTTCTGGTACAGCTGGTAATTTTGGCGGACTAAAAAGATCTACGCAAAATGTAACAAAGTTAATAATAAAATTTTAATTAATTTAATTAAATTTTTAATTTCTATTAAAATTATAATGAATTTTGTAATAATGGATTTTTAATGGCAAAATTGTACTTTATTTTTAATTTTGTAATAATAATAGAAAAACTTAAATTTTTACAAAATAAACTCCACAAAAAGAAGATGAAAATTATTGTTAGATAATAATAGTGTTTCAATGTCAATGGTTTATCTACAGAAGATAAATAATTACAAAAAATAAATAAATAATAATTAATTACTTAAAATACTATTTTTGAACACAAACAAATTCATTTAATTTTATATAACAATGTATATCTAAAAACTTGTTCAGCAATATTTTATATATAACTTTATAAAAAACATATTTCCACAAATGTCAATAATTTTTAATTTGGTTTTTTAGTTTGACTCAAAACAGAAATTTTCAATTTTTTACTTTAATTATCAATCTACATGTTAAGAAAGGGTATAATCATTTAAAGGTTGGGTTTTATTCTAAACATTATTTTATTTGTGAGTTGAAATTATTTTTTCTATAATAATAATATCATAAGATAAAAATAGAGATATATTTAAAAATAATTAATTTATGAATTTAATTAACAACAGAGAAAAAAAATCAAAAGTATGCAAAATTGTTTAAATTTTTTGAATTTTTATAGTAAATATTTTAATATAAAAGTTAATAACACAACTAATATAAATATTAATTTTGGCAATTTAATCAATAGAACTTATTAATTTTGAATTTTAAAAAATTCAGTTAAATTAAAAAATTGTAAAACTAAGAAAAGTAGTTTAAGCTAAAAAAAAATTATTTATTTAATAAAAGACAATCATTCTTAGTTCTTTATTCTTGCAAAATCATTATTGATTAAAATACATTGAATAATAAATTAAAGTTTAGAATATTTATTTATTTTAAGTACAAGGGATTTAAATAATTTATTATATATTCAGTATGCCTACTAGCTGTGAATAATCTATACCTTATAATTTTACCTAAGAATAATTTCTTTATAATTTTATTGTATATTACACATAAAACAATTTTTTTTACCTAACTGTTTCTAGAAAATTTTGAATTTGAATTATGAATAACGTGAATACACCAAAACTTGATTTCAAAAACGAAAAATTTAATAATTTTCGACCAAAAAAAAACCATATTTGTTTACAGTTAAATAAAAAATTTAAATACCTTGTAACGGTTCAATAGTGTCCATGAATTCATCTAAATTAGGCTGCAATTGTCCCAAACTAGGTTGTATAAAATCAGCTATTTTTGTAGATTTATCTGTAAAATATAAATGAAAAAAATGTTTCAATTTGTTAAAACACACATAATTTGGATCCCTCATTTAGAAAAATATCTAAATTAAAATTATAAACCAATCTTTTAGTTAACGTTAAATTACTTTACCACGCCATGAAGAAATTTCACAAATTTTTATTTATTTTTTGGTAATAGTAATGTAAGTATAATGAAAAAGTGATACATCATTTATTGAATACAACATTCTGGGCGTGTAAATTACACTCGATACGATTATAAAATACTGGTTAGCTGATATGGATTTACTAGTGTTAGAGGCCCTCTTTAAAAAAAGCCACATTTAACTAATCTTATCAAAGAGAATACCGTATTAATTTGGGACAAAACATTTTGATATTATTTTCTCATTAAAACGCGTATGCTTATCAATAATTGAAGTCTCATAAAAATGTTAAAGTGTAGGTAACTTCTTACCATAAGTTTTTATTATCAACAAATTGAACACAAAATAAGAATAACAATAACAATCCGTTTTGCAGAACACAAGACATTAGTTTTTTTCTTTTACAGAAAAATTAAGCTAATCGTGTAACTACCATAAAAACAATTATAATTTTAATCAAAACCAGTCTATTTAAAAATTATGTCAATAATAAATTGATGAATTTATTTTTAAAAAAATCATAGTTTAGATAATAAAATAACATTTCATATCGCTTCTATAAGCACGTAGGGACTTTGAATTTGATGATTACAGAAAACTTGTTCTGTTCTTACATTGAACTCATACATAGGATTTAGAAACATTAAAAACGTTCTTATAAATACATTTACTTAGTAATAATAGTTGATATGATTATAGCGCTAATAGTAAGTAGTAAAAACAATATTGCAAAGGAGTGAAGTTTCATTTTATCTAATCAATAAGTTTATGATAAACATTTTTAATTGGTTTTCAAATACTATTTGGAACACTGTACATTGCGCCGATAGAGCAATTAAACAAGTAAACATTCTCTAATTATACAACACTATCATGATTTAAACTGAAAAACTTTACATTTATATATATATAATTGATCATTCTCCTATTCAAATAATATATACCATAAACAAATAAAAATAAGAGGTAATATTTATAATACAGTATCCGGAAAAGGGGATCAAGGGTTGTAAAAACATTGACAAAGAGTAGATTGAGAACGACAGTGTGAACAAAAAAAAGAATTATGAGAAACTCTGATAATTTTTTTTTGCTCACTTATTAAAAGACCACATAACCTTTTATAAATATATAACTTATATAATATGTATTGCTCTTGCTATAATTTTGTTGAAAAATAATGAATCATAAAAACATTTTAATAGGAGACTCAGCCCTTGGGTATTTTCCTTTCTTGTCATAAATTTTATTTTTTTAAATCTGAACATTTTTCCTTAATTAGGGGGTCTTATCATGACAAATTATACGTACAAACATATTCAGCATAACTTTGAATATGTTTCAGAATTACTGTGTCCTTTAAACACATAATATTGGATCTAATTTTATATAATACAAGTTAGGGAGTTTGAATTTAAAACAATTGCCAAAACCGTTTTATCTTTTTAATTCATAAAAGACTTCATCCTAATACTTTGATTTAAAAAACCTGTCTTCAATAAATAATTGGTTGCAGGAATATAAATAACTTTATTTTGGTTCAATTTACCAATTATAATGTCATTAAGTATTCTCTACAACATTTTTCGGTGCAGATATATTAATAAACGCTCAGTTACTATTTCCGTTAAAAAATATATTTTTTCAAAAAAAAATTCACCAAACTTTCTTTATGCAACGAAGTTTTATGATTTCAATTTTTCCTATTTTCATCTACAATTTGACTCCACTGTGCTGTATTTTTACTCCAGATATATTTATGGTCTATTTTATTATATAATAAATATAAGAAGGAAAATACTTTTGGGAAAATTACTTAGCGTGCTTTGATTTTCAAAAAAAAACTTTAACGAAAATATTAGGGGTCACGTGACTATGGTAAAATTATTGCAGCTCCTCATCATGGAATTTTTTAAAATTTTAACCGTACTCCACAAAAACGCTCACTGACACACAAAACCAAATCAACAAAAATTTTGAAATTTATTATGTATTTTAACCATAATGTTAAACTATAAGAAAATATTATTTTCAGTCTTTGTATAATTACCTAATCGATTCAGCCACTTCCAAATTGAGTACCTCGAACAACTAGACAAACAGTCTATATTTTTTTTTTAATATTATAGCGTTGAAACTATTGTTGTACTTAAAATAATATCTCGAAGAAAAAATATTATATAAAATAATACTAACCCTACTAATATGAGTAAAAAGTAGAACTTTTTCAACTTAACTTTTGAAAATATTTCGGAAATACTCCGAGTATTAAATATATGTCAAATTAAAGCTTACGATAAATAGTTCAAAAAAAAAAATTGTCCCGACACCTTTTCTTCTATGGGATTCAGTGCCGGAGTAAGCGGGGCACCTGCCCCGGCCCCCACGACTAAATTGCCCCGGGCCCCGCAAAACTTTGCGCTGACACTGATGGGATTAGCGCGATAGTAGTAGTATGGAAAATATTAGGCAGTATTGGCATAAGGTGGTTGAAGGAACATTTAAACAAAATCTTATTAAAAAGAAAATTCCAAGTGAATGGAGGAATAGTATTATGGTGCTGATATTTATAGATAAAGGAGACATACAGGGGTGTGGAAATTATAGAGGCATAAAGCTTATGCGTCATAGTAAGAAAATTTGAAAAAAGTAATAGATAAGAGAATAAGAAATGAGACATCGGTATCTAAAAATCAGATTGAATTATGCCTGGTAAGTCAACAATGGAGCCATTATTTTGTGTGAGACAACTAATAGAAAAATTTAGGGAAAAGAAGAAAAAGCTGTGTATGGCATTTATAGATTTGGAGAAAGCGTATGGAGTACCAAGAGAGGGGTTTTAAAGTGGGAATTTATACCAGGGTAAAAAGCGTAGGAAGAGTAACAGAAGGTTTTCGGGTAAGAGTAAGAGTGCATCAAGGTTTTGCTCCAAGCCTTTACTTATTTTCAATAGTGATAGATGAAATTACTAGAGAAATACAAGGAAAGGTGCCGTGGTGCATGTTATTCGCTCACAATATAGTGTTAATGAGAGAAAATAGGAAGGAAATTAATCAAAGGCTAGAGGTGTGAAGATCAGCTCTTGAAAAAAAGGGTTTAAGAATAACTAGGTATAAGATAAAGTATATAGAGTACGAGTTTGACTAAAGAAAACACGAGGTACATGAAATAAGGAGATCAAGGGCAATAGGCGAGGACGTGAAAGGAGAGATGGAAAGTTTTAAGTATTTAGTATCAGTTGTGTAAAATAGCGTTGGTATTGACGAAGATGTAAGACACAGGATTAAGTGCCGGTGGAAGTTTAGGATATGAGTGGCCGACCGCAAGTAGTTGGGGTTAAAGCGAGGAAAAAGAAGAAGATATAAAATCAATTTATGAACAATAAAAAATAAAAGCTAAAATAAGTAAATACAATGAAATAGCTAATAAGGAAGCGGGCGCCCACACCACCTTCAATGAATTCGCACCTGATAATTTTATAAAAAACAGGTTTTACTCTATCAACTTGATAGGGTCGTGCAAAGTAGAAAAACCCTTGAATTAAGTGTATAGGCAACACAAGGTGCGACAACAGACGCACCTTATATAATTATAAGAAACATCAGAATTTATTACAAAATTATATTGAGAAAGCCCAGTAAATTTATAGTAGAATTATATTACTTGAAAACATTCAATCATTGCGGTAGTATTATTTATAAAGCATAAAAGGTTTTGATCTATTTTCAATGGTAATATTTTATGAATATAAAAAAAACTTAACTTATCATAAAGTAAGTGATTAGTTTATTTAAAAAAAAATAGTAAAAAAGTGATATAGTCCCAAAAATGCTACAAAAAGTGACGAAGTGATAGCTTTGTATTTTTTTTTTAATGTTTAATGCACATTAATAGAAATTATAAAATTACAAACAATAATATCAACTTGTAATTAATTATAAATAGTTCAAATTTAGTTTGAAGAAGGTAGAGGTTATGTAGAACACTCAAAAATTGAAAGAACAAAAATGTTAATATAATTTTTAAGCCCCCACAGTACTTTTATTAATGATCATATTTTCAGAAAAAGTATGTTGAAATAAAGATACTTGTTTTAATTGTTAACACTGAAATTTTCATTTTAATCCAAGGATTATCCAAATAACTATTATAATATTAACCAAAAATTGCGTAATTAATGACTTTAGTGACCGATTACTAATATAACACAAGTCGTGAAATAAATTTTTTATTTGTTTTTTTCTTCATCAGTTTTCTTTCCTTGCATTAAGTTTTCATCACACTATTGTAGTGAATAAAATGGATGTTTTGAGTATACTGGGACATTTTAACATTAAAAGTTACTAATCAACCACAATTGTTAGCTCGATTATACAGCCACCATCATTAATATAGGCGTTAAACATTATTTCATTATACAGCCATATATATATTAATGTAGTTAATTAATTAATACGTAACTGGGGCTTTGTGAGTCTTACACAATTTTGACACCTGATTGATTTTTAAAAGTAAAAAGTACTGTTAACAAGCTTAAATTTGATATAGGTTTGAAAAATGCAGTCATTTGGAACATTATCAAAAATTGAGTATAATAACAATTTTAACAAATTTTAGATGGTCTCTTTTAAACCTTTTCTGTACCTGGGTTTTTCATTGAATTTTTACAAGAAGCATAACATAAGAAAATTTATTGTTACTAGTATCCTTTATTAAAATTTCATTAGGACCATTGATTTTGAAAATACTATTTTTAACAGAATCGTAGTTTTGAAATATTTTTATAAATTTCTAAAATTGAAGTTTTTCCAGTTTTTGGCAACAATACTTTTAACTAGACTAAAATTGAGTTCTTTTGACGTATTGATCATTAAAATTGGTCCATAAAGAACCAAGTGTTTTCATGAATAGACAAACTAATGCACACCATCAAAAAACCCAATTTTTTTTAGCTTTGCATTGTAGTCAAAATTTAAAGTCCTTGCAAAATTACCTATTTATTTATATCAATCTTATAACTATGAAATTAACCAAAAAATAGTTAAAGTAAAAGTTCATTTTTTTCTTGAAAAATGTCTATCAAATACAAATTTAAGTCTATAAAAACAGTAGGACTTGACTGTCTAAGTTCGAAATTTAGAAGAACCTTTTTTCTAACATCATCAAATATTATCAGAAAAGTTAAAAAAAATTTTCATTTTTTTTTAACAATTTAATTATTGCTCAACTACTGATAAATAGTTGTTTCAAAAACTAGATGGGATGGAAAAAATCTCAAGCCAGATTCAGGACAGCATCAGAATTCCTTATGGAATTCATCTAAATTCTAGACAACAAAAATCATTTTATTATTTGTTATCTTGTTTTATTATTTCAATTAGTTTAAAATTATAAATATCTTTGTAAAGTATAGTGTTTAATTTTCTTTGCACTCATTTTCATCATCAAAGCGTTTTATAATAGTGATGTTAACTACTGCTAGATTTTTAAATCTTAAAGTCTCTTTTGTTTCTACGAATTTTCTTGTAATCTTAAACCTTGCTCAATGTGTATCGTCAATATAAACTGTATAAAAAAGTATAAAAATTTATACTTTTTAGTTCATTCAAATAAATTGTTTAGTCAAAACACTTGTTTATTCATTTTATAATTAAATCAATAAACACACTGATTCCTAACTTCACATAGGAAATAAATGGGTTCTTTTAATGTTATTATGTTACAAAATATACGTCTTCAAAGTTAAAATATAGTTTTAATTTGACCGATTTCACAACATTAAAAGATTTTATTAATGGTATACCAATAAGTACTGTTCATTTAATAGTTTAAGAGAGCTTATAAAAATAAATGTTTGAAACATAAATGAACATGTTTTATATATATATATGTTTTATATATATGTTATTTGAGATAAAATATTAATAATTTAAAATCATTTTAGTGTAATACTGTAAATTTAATTTAGAAATAGTTAAAAATAAAAAAAATATCTATATGTAACATAAAACAAAATATTTGTTATTGTTTCATTAATAACACTATGACTTTTAAAAACATACTCACACATTTATAAAATACACTAATATACTTTTAAACATTTGCGACAAAATTTTTCTTAGAATTTTATTTTTAAATGATTCAATAGCAATTTTTTTGAAGTACAAAGTTTAACTCACTATTGAAATGATTTATAATAAATATTTATACTAAGCCATTACATTTTTTAAACATCCTAGCATTAAATTGTATTATTAATAAAAATAGAGATAGAATAAAAGAAAAACTTTATTTATCTAGAGTACTATAAAGTGTTTAATTCTTGTTTAATACTTGAGCACACGCCAAGCTATTATTTGATATGCTTATCTTAACATTGACATATAGAATAATCTATTCAGTAGAATAAAAATAAATAAATATAACTAATATAATGCTTACCATCTCTAGTATTAGGAAATTCGAAAATTCGTTGATTGGAAACAACTGTTGAAAACAATGTATCACTAATAAAATTCAAATAATCATCATCTATTCTTGTGTCTCCATTATTATCCTGCTGCCAAGCTAAGAATTCATTTAACTTGAAAATAAGAAAATTCAAAATTAAATGATAATTTCAAATTAATTTTTAAAAATATTATTCATTTACACTCTTTTTCTATTTATGTATATTTATATTAAGTATTCTTATTTTAATAAATTTCATTTTAGGTTATTTTTAATTTATTTTAAGTTTGTTTTTTAAATTAATTGATATTTATTGAATATTTAAAACTTGAGAGAATTTGAGTATGACTGTTTAACTCTTAATAACTTACATACAAATTTATATTATATAAAAAATTGTTTTTTAGCATTAAAATAAATAGATATTATCATATAAACAACAAATATTCAAGTGTCAGTGAGATATTATTTTAAGTTTTTGAAGAAACCCACATGTATACAATATTAACCTTGTATTTATGGTATAATAAAAATTGTTTAAATAAAAGTGTCCTTTTATAATTATACTCATTTTTATAAGTATAGGAAAATATATTTATACCAGAGCGATGGAATTGAACATCAGCACTAACTAACTAATTGAGGTTTCTGTTCTATAGTAATTATAAAATAATAAACAGCATTAAGCAACCAAATGTAAAAATGTTTGATGGTTAATTCTACGGATTAGTCTAAAGAGGCACATGTGGACAAAAGAACTCTAAAAATGAATTCAAATGTCAGCAAAAAATACAGACATGTTTACAATTAGAAAAATTTATAGGTTTATGCATTATAATTCAAGTTCAATTAAAATAGAAATATTTAATTTTAAATAATAAAAAAATCTATTAAAGTTTTTAATACATAAAAAAGTACTAAAGATTCAAATTGTAGTTGTATTAATAATAAAATTGTATTTAATTTAATAATATTTAACATATGTAAAAATTCTCAATGTCGCAATGGCTAAATAACTTAACAGAAAAACTATAATTATCTTTATTAACCTATTCCAATATTTTAACAACAAAAATAGATAAAAGATAACTACCAATTTTTGTCTTTCTTTAAAGCCATTTTGCAGTAGACTTCTATAAAATAATCTCCACTTTTTATACTCTGCAGTTACAGCATTAAGCTTTCTTTTCCAATATTTTCCCTCTAGAACAACTGCCTAAAGAGGAAAACAATTACATAAGTATAATTTATAATTAATATTTTAAGAAATATTAAAATATGATGAAGATAAAAAGATAAAAGATCTTAATTTATTAAGTATTATATACCTCAGGTTGCTTATGAATATCTACTACTTCAACAGGTGATGCAAATTGACAAACCATGAAATTATTTTTCTTTATAACTTCATACATAAAAAAAACATGAATTTTTTTATTAAATTTTTAACAAAAAAAAACACATAAAACTTATTGTAATTAATAAAATAATACAAAATTAATAATACACTAAAATTCACAATTTCTTAGAGCAATGTTTCATCATTTTTGATATAACAAAATTCAAATGGTTGAATAAAATTTTTAATTATTTACTATTGTAAAATACACTGATCAACAAAGGAATAATATATATATATATATATGGGACAAGTCCAAGATATAAGATACATAGCTGGTATACAGTTATATTATAATATTTACATAATAGAAAAATAAAATAAACAAAATAGCTAATAAGTATTACTAAAAACTAAATGAGGGGTCTGCATTTGCAGTGCACATAAAACAGATCAAGGGAGAATTAGAAAAAAACCCAGCACAGTGGGGATGTGGCATAGTTGGGTCAAGTATAATGATATCTGACAGTGATTAAAAACACTATAAAAAAAACACATTGTTGCAAATCTGTAGATAGTGTTTAATTTAAAAAATTGATGGATTATTCTAAAAGCTACATGATCTCCTATTTTCTTATTTGTATCCTGATAAAATAAAGTATGTCAAATGAAAAAGGAATTATTAAAAAATATTATTTCTCATAAAAAATTGTGTTGACCCATACACTTTTCAATAAGTTATAGCATTATAAAGTTAAAAATATAAAATAGAGAATTCTCATACAAAAATAGTATTCGGTAACTATTTTCACCGTGAAGACAAGTCCAGAGGTCAAATTTCTTTTTTCCATAATAAAGTATATTACATTATCTTTAATTTAAGATATGTATAAAAGTGTCAGAGTATCTGGAACACTTTCAAAATTTAAGTTAAAAAAATTGTCATTTTAAATTCCCCCCTGTGGGCAGGTAAAGGGTCAGATTTATAAAAAAAATATACCAAATGATAGGTAAAGACATAATGCATCTAAAAAAAAAAAGAAAAACACATAGTAAAATTAATACCTTCACATTGAAGCTAAAATTGGAGTAATGTGGAATAATGAAAAAGACAGACAAACATGTAGAACATAGAGTGACTTTAAAACATGTACAGGAATGCAATTCAAGAGAATCAACATTAATCTCATCATAGTAAGAGAGAGGAAATAAAATTAAGATTAATCTCATGTCAACAATCAGACATACAATTAATACCAAATTTTTGAAGACTGAGAAAAGTCATGAGGAGAGCAAAGGGGATATACCTGTGAGAACATAAGCTCTAAACTTTCTCTGAACTCTTTTGATTGTCACTTTTGCATTAGTGGTCATTGGATCCCAGAGTATAGAACTATACTCNTTTAAGATTAATCTCATGTCAACTATCAGACATACAATTAATACAAATTTTTGAAGACTGAGAAAAGTCATGAGGAGAGCAAAGGGGATATACCTGTGAGAACGTAAGCTCTAAACTTTCTCTGAACTCTTTTGATTGTCACTTTTGCATTAGTGGTCATTGGATCCCAGAGTATAGAACTATACTCAAGGATATGATAAACAAAAGAGCAATAGAGAGCTTTAAGCGGTAAAACAAGTTTAAAATTTTGGGAAGTTTAGTTAACAAATTCAAGAAGTGCATTACAGCATTGTTCTTGGATTATGTAGTAGGAGAAAGATTACTAGCAAGAATGAAATAAAAATCACAAATTGTGCCACCAAATTGTTTAATAGGGATACCATTTGTGGAATAAGTAAAAGTTATAAGAGAGCACAGATGATAAAAGGACATGGATGAACACTTGATTATATTTAAAATTATATATGAGAGTCCTAAAGAGTTGTCACAAACTATAAGAAGACATAGGTTATCTTGGACAATAATTGACAATTGGAAATTGTTTTGATGTGCATGAAAATTTTCATATCAGTAAATATAAGCAGCATTGAATGAGAAAAATAGAAGAGGCGAAATTAACTAATAGAGCAAAAAGAAAGGCAGATAGTATAGCTCCTTAGGGACACCTGATGAAGGGGAAAAGTTGAAGACTTGGAACCATGGACAGAAACATATTGAGTAGTTAGATAGGAAAGTAGCCTAAATAGGAGGTGATTACTAATACCAAGACAATCAAGAATATTTATTAATATAGAGTGATCAATCATATTATATACTTTAGTAGTCTGTATAAATTACATCTATTTGACAATGTTGGGAAAAAAGAGTCATAAATATAGGAAGAAAAAACTAAATTACATGTGGTTGTAGAATGACCTGGTAGAAAACCATGTTATTATTCATCAACCAAAATGTGGTTAAGAGAATAAAAAATATGATTTAGTACTAAAGTTTCAAGATATTTTGGCAGATGGGGCAGGATACTTATTGGACCATAGTTTGTTACATTATGAGTGTTACCGGCTTTAAGAATAAGGGTAGTGGAATTTAATTTAAATAAGGAAGGAAATATGCCAGATTTGAGGAATTTATTAAATAACAAAAAGAGGCCATGCAATTCAATGTCCCTCAATTCAGATAAAAAATGACCTTGGATTCTATCAGGGCATACTGATTTATTATTACAAAGCAAGTAAAGAATATTACTATAATCATCTAATGAGAAATTAATATTAGAAGGGAAGTTGAAAGGTTGAATAGAGTAGGTTTTGGAATAGAATTAAAAGAATGGGAGTAAATAGAAGAGAAATATTTAGCAAATAAATTGGAGGCATCAGCAGCACAGGTACTAGAGTATCTATCATAAGTTACATTAATAGGCAGAGAAAGGGAGGCACGAGTTTGGCATATAAATCACTAAAAAGATCGATAATTTGAAAGGGAAGTAGATTTAGTACAAAATCCCAGTAACATTTTTTAGATAAGAATTTGCATTTGGCATAAAGTAAAGAGTAAGAGCAATAATCAGATAGAGAAAGATATGATTTACATTGTGCATGAGCTTGTGTTTTTTGCAAACAATGTTCCATTAGTTCATAGATAAACCAGGAAGGAAAAGAAGAAGAGCGTACAAAACTTGAGTAACAAAATAAATAATGGTTGAGTGCAATGCATCAATGAAAGTTGAAATACAATCGTCAAAATAATTATAATGGAACGTTAATTCCCAATTATATGAGTTTAAAAATTTAATTATAAAATGATGGTTAGCTTTTTCAAGATTAAAAAATGATGTAGTAAGATGTAGTAGATAATAAGGGGAAGAGACTTGGCTTATAGAAAATGAAAACACAGTATGATAGAAATCAAGAGGGATGCAAATTTAGGAGCAAAATTTATAGAAATAGTACTACAGTAAATAAAAACTAGGTCTAAGAGAGAACCATGATAATTTAATTAATTATTTGAATGATAAATACTGTGGAGAGAGAAAGTTTAAGAAACGCACAAATATTGGAATTGTGATGGAGATGAATTGCAAAGCCCATGTTATTGTTCCAAAAAAAATTAGGAAGATTATAATTACTATTAATTATTATTAATTTTGATCTATGATATGTTTAATATGATTTGTGGAAATTTTCAATACGAAATATCATATTTTTCTAGTTGTTTAAAGTTAATTTCTGCATACATTTATAAAAAAGAGTTTTACCCTGACTTTCTTTTGTGTCAATTTTTAAATTAACATTATTGAACATAATTTTTTATAAGAATTTCAAAAATTTTATTATTATATTGATATATGAACTATTTTTAACAACAAATTTTTATGAAAAATACAACATATTGTTAAAATTGCTATTTTCTTGGACATTTGTCATAATAAATTATTTTTTTAGATATCTTAACAATTAATTTTGAAAACTATTTTAGTATTTAAATAAAAATACTCAAATTTTTAGATTTAATTGTTAAAAAATAAAGGTTAAAATAACACAAATTTTAAATTTTGTAGATTTTAAGAACGAATTAATAACTAGTAATTACTTCTAAAACTACCCTATAAAACTATATTTCTATCTAGAAATGACAGAAAAATCTAACTGCAGATTTGGAATTAGTACTAAAAATTTGTTTAAAAATGTATATTTTTATCTTTGAAGATTAAAAATGTTTCATTAAGTGATATTATTATAAATGATAGTAATACATTATTAAGTTAATAATAATTATCATTGTTTAAAAAAGTTAGGTTTCTTTGGAATACTTTTAATAAAGTTTCACAGATCACAGTTAAAGAAATGCTGGCCTAGATTATTGTAAACAATTAAAATTTAATTATGTGCATATGTCAGTTTTTACCATAATTTCACTTTATTACATTTTTTTTTTTATTCTTTAAGTTACAATAATTATTTTGCTGTTTTTATTAGTTTATAATATAAAAATCGATGAAATATAATATATTTCATCAATTTTAAATACAACCTGGTCGAAATTAGTATCTACATTTTTTAATTTTATAGAACTATCTCTTTCCTTTATTTTTGTAATATTAACCAAGATTACACTAATTTACTAATTTATTTATCATAGAATTTTATTTGAAGTATTATTTCATTCAAACATGTATTTATTTTTTAGAACTTTTTATTTCATAAAAGAACTTACATTGCATGTGCCAACATCTCCATATTAAGTTGTTTAATCGTATTTTATCTTTCCATCTTAAGCGAACCCCTTTAAAAGGATTCCATTTTGGTGAAGTTAGCTTCTGTCTACAAAAAAATAAATAATAACTAATAAGAAAAATTTCATTAAACCATTTATTATAGAAATAACTAATTTTAAAAAGTTCAAATTTCAATAGCATTAATTTAAAAACTTATGTGTTAATAAAGCTTATCAAGTTGACTTTTGAAAAATTAGGGACAAAATTTAAACAATTATTTGAAAAAGTCACAAATGTAACGAGAGTAATAATTTTTTCAAGAGCTGGTTAGACTTGGCCCCTAATTTTGGTAACTTAATATGCCAATAAATAAATACTAATAAACAAAAAAATGTATTGCTTAAGACAACAACTATTCTGAATTTTGTTATTATTACACTAAACTATTCCTATTTTATTTATTGTGGAAATAAGGCTTTTTTGATCTTTAAGTAAATAATTAGCTTTTTTACTTTAATTTTAACTTAGAAATACAAAACTCTTCCAGAACATTGTCAAAAATTGATAAGAAAATATCATTTAGATATAATATATTCCAATGTTACAAACTTTCCGGTAAACAGTTAGATTTTAAAAAATTATATAAAAAAAATTCTCTCCATATAATAATTTTGAATTTTTTAATACTATTTCTGAAATGTTAATTTCAAAAATAGTCTAGTGTGCAGATTTTACATAGAGTTAAAGTATTTTAATGTAGAAAATACATTTTTAACTATAAGAAATTTTAACAATTAATATTTCTGATATAATTTTATTAATAATAAAAACTTAAAAGATTCTTTTAATATTTTAGGATAATGCCTAAATTTTTATCTAGTTCAGGAACTTTTAACCGGTTTATTAGTTGAACTAGTAGAAAATTAGTGCACTAGATAATATACACATAAACAGATAATAATACCAACACTTAAGCCTTATCTTAACTGAACTAACAAATCTTAAATAAAAGTAAATCTAGGACTTTTATTAAGAATTTAATAAGATATCATTAAAAAAATGGAATATTAAATAATTTTTTCTATTGTTATACCTACTATCTTTAATTCTTTCAACAAACTAGTATCAATTAATTTTATTTTAGGATGAGTACACCATAAATTTACCCTAAGTGATTGTCAACATCAAATAGTGATCTATAAGCAAGAAAGGGAATGTTAACAAAAAGGCTTTCACAAAGAGTCATTTAAAACCTAGTTAAACTTACATAAATAAAATAAATACTTACTTGTATGCAAAAGACATACATTGGAAAAGATTATTTAACATAGTTTTAGAATTGTTAACATCCGCTTGTGTCAATATTTCTTCAGACACTGGAACGGCTACTTGATAATCATCATCCTGGGCTTCTGCTTCAAAATTCGACACCATAAATTGACCAGAATGAATGGTCTCTGGGACAGATTTGGAATTTGGTTGAGAAAGCATTGCGACTGTAATGACATGTGAGTAATGACGCACACAAACGAAAAATGAAATTTTATTTATAACACGTAAACGACACTGCTAGAATAACCGTATCGTTACATATATACAAGGTACATAATATGTATGTACATAAAATTGATTATATACATACGACACGTGTGTGACGCATAGTAAATACAATTTGTAACGATATCATAACCAGAATGTACCTCAAAAACTCTTCATAACTGTACTAAATAATAACGTATTTAAACTCAAATGAGTTCAGAAGATTATTAGATTAGTTTTATTCCATATAATCATTGCATCAAGTTAAATTATCACCAAATCAAACTAATGATTGTAAGATAGCCGTAGTCTTTCATACTTCGTTGCTTGATAATATACGCAACACCCGGTCTAAATTACACGCGTAGATAACGTACTACCAAACACGTATACACCTTTGTTTTTTTATTGAAGTAGATAACATTAGTAAAATAAATCCTAATGAACTCTTCTCAAAGTATAATGCTCCATACTGTATTGCAACTTTGAACCTTCATAATGTATTTTTTAACCTATGAAAACTGATATAAAATGACAAACTAAATTAACACTTTTTTACATATAGTAAACACATATTTATTTTAACAATAATTTATGATATAAGGCGTTTTTCAACTTATATCAAATTCCTCAATTCTAATACTTCATTTTGTTTTCTGTTAATGGCGTGTCTTAAAATTTTTAAGTAAAGTACTAACATTAACATGTGCGAAAAAGCTATTAATGTTAACAGCTTTGTAAATTGTAGACAATAAAAATAATAATACATTCAAGTTAGAATAAACAACTTAAAAACAATATGTAATTTGTAGCAAAAACTTCTATTAAACCCAATAACTATTAACTCATCTAATTAAATATAGTATTCACATAAATAAGATTTATGTTCATTTTATATGTTAATTTTATTCACTAAAATAATTTACAAATAGTTTTTAAACATTGTTAGGAAATTTAATATTATTAAAATCATTGGTACAATCTAGGGGTTATAGAAGGCGCCTAGGTCCTGATTATTTGCAGCCTCTAAAAGTTATGAAAATTACATATAAATTTATATAAAAATATGTATTAAAACTGACTAGACAAAACAACAAGTTTCTTATATATTAACTTTCTAACTATTTAGTTAGTGACTAAATTTGGCCTACGAGATAATTTAATCTTAACTATAACTATAATGAAATAGGATTTTTAATTTGTTGAAAATTCTGAAATTAAATTATATTTAAATTATAATTGCACCTAAGCACTATAATAGTACATAGATTGTTATATCAAAGAGATACTCTGTAAATAACAACTTATTTAATTTCATATAAAGAGGTTGTTCCCACTAAATAATTTTTATTTGTTTCTATTACAATACAATTATTCCTTAATAATTACCTTAAAGAAAATTGTCATAAAATTTATAAAAATTAATTTCCAATTTTAAAAATTAACTAACCAACTTAATTATTTTCAAAATACAATAAAGGTAATTATAATGTATAAAATACTATTTAAATGTATTACATATAGTATTATAAATTATTTAATTCCATTGAAAAATATTAAAAAAGTACATTTCTTGCAACAAGAAAACATTTATTAATTACAAGATACAGGAAAGTTAAATTTTATTTAAACTAAAACATAGTTATGTTAAAATTTATAAAAATATGGTTCATAAATATATAATAAAATTAGCACACTAATCTGTATGAAATATAACGTCCAGCTGTTTCAGAATTTCTGACAATTTTTACTACCTGGTAACAAAATAATAATAATAATTATTAATACAATTATTATTGTATACAAGTCATATGCAATCTTAATTTTGATTTTTTTTTTCGTAATTTTAAAAATTAATTTAATAATAGATTACAACACTATACTAAATTTAAAATATCATTTGTTTATAACAGCCCTAAAAAAACTTTTAAAAGATTCTTAATTTACCTGAAATGTCTTTTTATGCTATTAAATAAAGTTAATGACTAAATTACCTGTCCTCTTTTTAACCCAAAGTACCTAGAGACTGGGTCACCAACTTGAATTCTCATTAATTGATTTTCTTTTAGTTTACTAAAAATTAATGGATAAGAAAAATTTGTTCTATAAATGAATGTTTTTAGTAATTTCATAATCTTAATCATTTTATAATAAATAAATAATTCTACAAAAAAGCAAATCCACACCTTTGGTATTTAATAAACAAAAGTTTTTTATGAGAAAATGGTTAGGTTAATACAACTTTAAGTAGTACAACTACTGAAATATATTTGGATTAATAGAATTAATAGGTACAATCAATAAAACCTTTAAATGAACATTTACAACCAATCAAGATATTTTTTTACAAAAATGTTGGTTATTTTCATAAATTTCTAGAGACTAGAGTAAAATTTTATTTCATTTTGTTTAATTAAGTGAAGTATTTATCCAACAAAATATCAATAGGCCACATTGATTAGAAGTAAAAGCTGAGATACAACAAAGATGCAACCAGGACATTTTATTCTCCTAGTAAGCTCTATAAGAGAAAATCCATAAAAATTTATTTTTAATTAATATTCTCAATATTATTATTTCAATATATATATTTTTAATGTCAATAATATTTTGCAACAAAGTTTAAAGGATACTATCTAGATAATAGTTCTTGCTTTTCATCTGGTGTTAACACAATATGTTCAGGAACTAGTTCATGTTCTGTAATATTTATAAGTAGTTCGGACTCCAAAAACTGTTCTAAGATATATTTTGGTGCCATATCCACTAAAGACTATAAAAAAACAAGTATATATAATACAAAATTAAAAATAAGTTAGTTGTATAAACTTTACTCTTCATTATTAACTTTATTATTAAAATGTTAATTAATGCTAACCTAAAATGTATCACCCCACAAAAATATCAACAAGTAGAACTTTTTTTGATTAATATGATATTAACATTGTAATTTTTATAATTATATATTATATTTTCCCATCCACTAAGGAATGGCAACCAATCTTAAAAAGTCCACCATAAATCATGAGGAAAGGAAACATGATGCAAGGTTAGATCACTTAGACAATCATTGCACTTGTGATTCAGAAGCTGATACACTTTTTTATAGATTGATCAATAATGTTGTAAACAGCTAAAGAAATTAAGTAAAGTGTCAACATTAAAAAAATACAACAAAAATATACCAATTAATAAAATTTTAAGTTTAAATGCTGATGCCACAAAATTATATATGATTTATATAATAAAACTCAAATTCATTCAGATATGATGTTATTTATAATTTTAAACAATTTTCTTGTAACATTGTAAAAATAATAGTTATCTCCTTTTTTATTATTACAATTTTAAAAACTTTAAATGTGAATTAATTTATAAATAGTAGTAGTAAATTATTTTATAGTTTTATCATAATATTAATATTATTGTAAAATTGAGTTTTCCCTTAGTTAAATAATTAGTTCTCAATACATAAATCAATTAATTTATTTAACTTATCAAAAAACATACTTGTTTAGCACTAGGAGTCATTCCTTGCTGTACTACAATAATTGCTCTAGTAATAGTTTCTTCCTGCATTCTTTGACAATATGTTTTAATAGTTTTTATACCAATTTTCGGTTCTTCAGGGAAAAATACAAACATTTGATCTAGATATAAAAGGTAATTTTCCATTATAAATATAACATAAAAAGATTTTTATCAACATATTTATTTTATTGTTCATGAAATATTATAATACAAATTAATATGACTAATGATTATATTAATCTTTTCTACTGCTAAAGAAGCTAAAATATTACTAAGTATTCTACAAAAATAGTCAGAAGGATGTTTTTTTTTATGCATAAGTAAGAGGAGTGTTTAGAGGATTAAACATAGCTAATTATGAAAAATGGGTACATTAATAATAATTAAAAATTAGCAGTTGTATGACATGCATGGGCGTAACAAAAGAAAAATACTGGGAGTATTGAAATTACCTTATGCTCACCAATCTATAAGGGCTATACCCAGACATATCTAAGTATCAACCTTTAAATAATTATTTACCAGGACCATTATAAGCAAATAAAAATATTATTATTACTTATTACAAAATAACCATTAAAACACTCTAAATGATTATTATTTATATTTATTGTCAATCTCTGATAAAATAAAAAAAGTTATTTTCACATAATTTTAGTGATTTAGGATTGTGGATGCAGCTAGATGCTGCAGAATCCCTGCTAGTTGCGCCCATGTTTCAATAAATATCAGTACAAACATAAGTTCTTAAAATGTAAATCACATTTTAAATTGAAAATACTGTTTTCATAAAATAAAGCTATTTAATGGAAGATAAACTTGTAAAAATAATTAATAAAAGATAAATGAACAAATATATATTGTGTGGTGTACACTTTCTCCTAATTCTATGTAATCAGTTGTTGACCAGTGTTCAATGTGACCTGGTCGCGTTGTGAGTAACAATTGTGTATTATATATTAAATGTCATTTTTTTAAAGAAAATCTGAAGTACATTTATTTTAATTCAACAATAAAAGAATCTACAACATGGTGTATTAAATAATTCAGTGTTAAATAATTAATGTGTGCTGAATTATTAATGCAGTCTTAAACAATTAATTACAAGCTAAAATGTATCTAATTTAAATAATTATTTTCTTTTCTTTTTTTTAAAAAAAAACTTGAAAGTATTTTTGGTTAAGAAAAAATGGAGTGTAAAATTCCAAAAAATTTAAGCTTTGATGGGTACGTGGCAGTAAATTGGAAAAGATTTTACCAACAATTGGAGATATTCCTCTTAGTATCAGGCAGTTATGAAAAACTAGATGAGGTAAAAATAGCTATTTTATTAAATGTTGCTGGCGAGAAATTAGTTGATACTTACAATACATTCACCTTTGACCGGCAAACGTATGATAACATAATATTTTTGTTTAAAAATAATTTTGAACCAAAAAAAAAAAACGTTATATTCAAACAATTTAAATTTTATTCTTGTAACTAAGAACTGGGCCAGTCCATTGTTACAAAATTAAGAACATTGGAATCAAGCTGTGAATTTAGTGAAACTGAAAACATGATCAGAGACAAATTAATTATTGGTATCAATCAGTTGGAAATAAGAGAAAAGCTGTTATACAAATCTGATGTGAAAAGGGGATTGATATTGCAAAAGAATTGGTAGCAACCAATGAACAAATGAACAAAATGTTTAGTGCTACTAGGGAGTTAAACACGAACAGTATAGCAATAAAACATGCTGACTTCTCTAATAGAAAACGAACTACTAAGGGCCAAGATATTCAAAATAAACGGAATGTTCAAACCAAATGTGAAATAACCTATGATTGTTTTAAAATGTGGTCGAAAACATAGTCGGAGAATTTGTCCAGCTTTTAACAAAATATGCTCATTTTGCAAGAAAAAAAATCATTTAAAAATAGGCTGTAAGCAATATAAAAAGAGAACAACAGGAAAAAAAATAAGAACAACCAGATAATGTTGATATTCATGTTTGCGAGACAATCGAAGGCGATTAAGAAAACTATTTTCTGGATTCGGTCTCATGCATGTTGGAAAATGAACCGGAATAAACACGAAGGATAATCATAGAAGGCAAAGAAGTGACATGCAAATTGGATATGGGTTCACAAGCAAATGTAATTGGAGTCGACACACTACACAATGTTTTGCAAAAGGAGTTGAAACTGGAGAAAACTACGGTAGTCAATACGGTAAACGAGGTTCACTTTTTTAGTAAACAAGATTTAATTTTAAACTAACCTAGTCTTTAACAAGTTGGAACTTATCCTGGTAGACCGTACTCAATAAAACTAAAAAATATGTTAAACCAATATCTTTCCCAGCTCATTGAGTAGTTAAGAGTTTACTACCAAAACTAAAAAATATAATAGATGATTTAGTTAAACAAAATGTCATAGTTAAAGTAGATAGTCCAACATCGTGGGTTCATAATATAGTGTCAGTTGAAAAACAAAACGGTGACTTAAGAATTTACTTGGATCCAAAGTATCTCAATGAATTTAATTTTCAAAGAATTTAATAAAAGACTCTTATCTTATTCCTAATCATAAAGAAATTTTATCTGATTTAAAAAATAAAATATTTTTCACCGTCCTAGATTTGAAAAGTTCTTTTCATCAAATAAAGCTCTATGAAAAGTCAGCCAACTTATGTTGTTTCTCAACACCTTTCAGAAGGTATAAATTCATTAAAAGTCCGTTTGGGTTGTCAGTATTATCTGAAGTGTGTCAAAGTAAAAATTCTGAAATTTTTGGGGTATAGAAAGTGTAAAAGTATACATAGATGACATATATATAACTGCTGAAAATGAAAAAAAGAAACACGATGAAATACTTAAAGAGGTTTTAAAAAAAACTATAAAAGTAGGTATAACACTTAATAAAAAAAAAAAATACACTTCAAACAATCACAGGTTAGGCTTTATTGTAAGTAAAGCAGGTATTAAAATAGATCCTGATCATTTAAATATCAAATCTGATTTGTTTAAATCAGATTAACAACAAAACTCATTCAATGAAATTAAAAAATTATTAACATATTCACCAATTTCTGCACATTTTGATAATAACAAATTAATTGAAGTACAAACTGATGCATGAAAAGATGGTAGAGGAGCAGTATTATTGCAAGAGGTTTCAGTTGTAGCTTATGTGTCTAAAAGTTTATCTGAAACACAAAAAAGGTATACTCAAATAGAAAAAGAGCTTCTGGCAATGGTCTTTCCCTGTGAAAAATACCATTATTTTACTTATGGTAGCCCAATTTATTAAAGACGGACCATCAGCCCTAGGTTTAGATAATAAAAAAAGATCTAAACAAAGTTTCACTTAGATTACAAAGAGTGCTTTTAAAAATTGTTATGTACGACATACAATTAGACTATTTTCCCAGTTAAAAAATGATTATTGCGGATGCGCTCAGTAGAAATTATCTTTACAATGATATTAATAATAAAAATGTTATCGAGGTTGTGTATCATAATATACACAACATAAAAAATGTCCAATAAGTACTGAAACTTTAGATTAACAGAAGCTATAAATGTTGATAATGAGTATAGAATGATTGTAGAACGTGTAAATAATAATTGGCCGAACAATAATAGCATGCAGGGAGAGATGTCTAAAAAGACAAAATTTGACAGTTGTTAATTGTTTGTTATTCTTTAATAATTAAATAGTCATTCCACGGGCTATGAGGGCATATGTTATAAATGTTTTACATGAATGTCATTTTGGTATAAATAAATGTAAATCTAGAGTAAGGGAGTTAATCTACTAGTCTACAATTAATAATGATATCAAAAAAATTGTAAATAATTGTGAATTATGCGATATATTTAAAAGTAATAATAGTAAATTACAGATGTTAAATCATAATATTCTGTGCAAGCCATGGCAAAAAAATAGGCATAGACATTTTAGAGTATAAATCAAAGTCATATCTAGTAGTAACTGATTATTTTTCAAAGTGGTTTGAGCTTAGAAAAATTAAAGATTAATAAATTTTTATAAACATTTTTTCTATTCATAGTTGCCCGGATGAGATTGTTTCGGACAATATTCCCTTTGACAGTCTAGAATTTAAACACTTTTGCACTGAGTGGAACATTAAATCAATTTATAGTAGTCCACATTATCCTAAAAGTAACGAACAGGCAGAAAAGACTATGAGTACATGTAAAAAAATCAGAGGAGGAAAAGAGCAATATAGATATATTTCTGTTGAACTATAGAAACACACCAATAGAGGGTTTGGGGTTATCGCCAGCTTAATTGTTGATGTCTCATAAGTTGAGAGATAAGTTACAGGTAGTAAATAATTTATTAGAGCTGTCTAAGTTAAGCTTAAGTCAAATAAAAAATAATCCTTTTAGTTAAAAACAAAAATTGAAAAGTTATCATGATAAAAATAGTAAAAATCTTAAAGAGTTACAAGTTGAGAATAATGTTTTATTAAAGACAGACTATAACATAAAAATATGGGTGCGAGGTAAAGTAATTGGTTTAGCGAGTACTCCGAGGTCTTTTATTATGGCGGGGGAAGATGGAGTGAGGTACCGTTGAAATAGAGAACATTTAATACTAAAACAGGGGGTAATATGGGGAAATAAAAACAATTTATCCTGTATTAATAACAGTATTGAATCAAAAAATAATTATGAACCTCAGGAACGCAAACTTTGCCCCTGTGAGAAACTATGTCTACCTAAACAGTATACTTAATATTTTAAATTAATATTTGTTTAATTTTATGTGTCATAAAATAATATTATATGTTGATATGTTTAATAATTTTATGTCATAATGAATAACATTTAATATTCTATGAAAAAATGTATTTATTTATAATTAAAAAAAAATAAATATCTTTGTTTTTTTGTACATACATTGAGGGGAGGATGTGGTGTACACTTTCTCTCTTTCTTAATTCTATGTTATCAGTTGTTGACCGGCGTTCAATGTGACCGGGTCGCGTTGTGAGTAAAAATTGTATTATATATTAAAATGTCATTTTCTTAAGAAAATCTGTAGATAATTTATATTTAAATTTAACAATAAAAGAATCTATAACAAATTGTAAATAATCACAAAAAATAAAAAAAAATAGTTAATTTATCATTTTTTTAAGAGAAATAGAATGTTAAAATTTAAAACAATCATCCTGCATATTATGAAAAATCCAATAATTAACACAGATCTTTTGTTCTTTTACTAATAATTTTATGATTGAAAAGTCATTAAAAAATTCAATTATAAATTTACCTGTAGGATCATCATTATGTGCCACAAGAACAATTAAATCACTTCTGCTTGGTCTTTTCTCGCTATATTAACAATAGATAATTATTAATAATGTATCATTAAATTTAACCAATAGTTTAATATACATTTTTTTTAAAATGATTTTTATAATTATTTTATATTTTATAATACAATTATTTTACTTATAACTTATGCCTGGATATAGTTTGTCACAATAAATAATCTGGACAATAAGAAATTCACTTTATATTTAAATCAAAATTTTTTTATTTTTTTCACCACTATAATGTTGCTAAAGGTGGTTTCCAAACGTATAATTTTAATGAAAATTCTACATTAGTAAAGATTTTGACATTTAAAATAAATGTTTGTTATTTTATTTAAATGACAATATCTTATAAATTACTAAAACATTTATTTATTTAAAACATTAAATTTATTGATTAACACAAGTAATATTGTAACTTAATATTAATATGTAAAATTATAAAAATATTGCCTGACATAAAATGTTTGTAAAACTGCTTTTTAAAAAAATGGGATTAAGAAATATTTATCATTTTAGCACATTAAATAATTATTGGAATATAAATATAATATATAATTTACCTTGGTTTATCTCCAAATTGTTCTTTAAACTGCTCTAATGTTTGATCTAATTCATCCTGTGTCACTAAATAACCTCTATCATGACAAAGCTAAAAAAAATTTTTAACATTTAAACTCATTTATTAATAATATCACTATTCATCACTTATCTATATTATTAAAACCATAAACTTATGAGTTTATTTAAAATGTACATAAAACATAATTTACTCATTGTTATTAATTATAACAATCATTGTCACGATCACTGATGTTTTCAATGGATGATCCTTCTGTATCATCGCATCTGATACACTTTTGCTTAACTTTTTCATCACTGAACTCATTAAGAAGATGTTAAACATACCGTTTTTCAATTTTATACATTTTAATATTAAAAAAATAAATAAAAGAGTTAAATACCAAGACCAGATAATTCACACGGGGTGTATTATTTCTTAACACTAACGTCTATAAGTTTAAAACATTCTAACAAGTAAAAAAGTAACCAAAATAACAAAAAATGATTAGGGAATTTATTAAATTTTCAGAAGGATTACAAATGTAGAAAGAATATAATTTGAAGAGAATGGTGTTTTTGATAATAAGAATAAATTAATTATAAATAACATGGAGGAAATTATAGTTAAATTAAAAATTATATAAAAGTTAATAGAGGATAGAATTTAAGGAAAGTCAAAATGAATGGGAGGAAAATAAAATTATTGGACAAGCTTTTAATTATAATTGATAAAAGATGAACAATATTAAACTTAATGATATTTATAATTCTGTTTTGTATATATACATAAGATAAATTGTTTATAGTAGGAAATGAGATTTAACATTAACATAATGTATTAGGTGAATAATAAAACAGTTAAGAAGTTGGAGTATCGAACAGTGCCGATTAACAAAAAGTTCAGAAGACAATATACTCATAATGAAACCCTAGTTTTTTAAGGAAAATGAGTTTAGGAAAATTACAATGTTACCATGTAGAAGATTAGAAAGACAATTCAGATTGATTTTAAGTTAATAATAAAATAGGTTAGTAATACTAAGCATTACAAGTATAGAAGTGTAACTTAGAAAGAAGTTCAATTTCTAAATTAAAAAAAACTACAATGATTAATAATGTTTATTTTGAATAAAAGCTATTGAAGAAATAATTTCCAAAAATAAATAATTGATTGCTATATATATATTGAAATAAAAATTATGTTTTTACAATAGGGTAATTGATTATACTACATTTCTCCAAAAATAATAATTTTGATAAAAAAATTGTTGATTTTAATTAGTATGATTTATTTTTTGATTTATAAGTGGTTAAATATTTTTTAGGTGGAACTAGTAATTTAGAAATGATGAACAATTTTAAACATAGGTGAGAGAATGTGGCAGAGAAATACAAAATGATGAAAATAATATAACCAGCATCTCACCTCCTATCAACATTTAAAAATATAAATAACTACTGAAATATTAATTTAAAAGTTGTTATTTAACAGACAGTTATTTTTTCAGTTGAATCTTTATCTATTATAAGAACAAACTAATATGTATGTTTTCATTAAAAAAAAAAAAATTGATACTATGAATGTGTTAAAGCTTTCATGGATTGCCTTGTTACTTGAAGTGCTTAAGGATGTATCCAGTTGAGTTCTGACGTTTCGGACACAACTGTAAACATGGATATATCCTTAAGTACTTCAAGCAACAAAATAGATACAATTATAAGGAATAAGGGATGGACATAAAAAGTATTTAACCATTCAACTACCAAAAAATAAATATTACTTAAATAAGCGACAAAAATTTTTCAAAAATTATTATTTTTTTGGTAGAAATTTAGTGGTTGACAATTCATCAATTATGCTGTATAATTTCTTTTTATAAAATATTCAAATTTACCTGCATTACTGTTTTGCGAATACGCCACAATTTATACGACTCACATTCATCATCCATGGTGATTTAATGTATAACAAACAAATAATATACAGATTACCTTCGAGACTTTTTGAAAGATTAACGAAGTTAACTTAGCTTAAATATTATCGTAGGAACGGAACTTATCTGTGGTAGAAATAAACACATGGCTATCATTACCGTACACAGTCACTACAATAATTAAACCATAGACAAGTATACTATATATTGAACTAAAAATTGTTATCAACACAAAAAAAAGGTAGTTAAAGCCATTATATGGTTACAACCAGCGATAAAGTTGTTAACTTCAAGCGCTATCTGTAGTTAATTTAAAACGCTTGTTAAAAGTACAATTCGCTAAATATTTGTCGAATATTTAAAATACTACAGATATTGTTAAAATAAAATTTGTCAAGATGTATAAATCTATCTTGGTCATAACACTTTTTGGTATAAATTCCACACTCGTATATTCTTTATAAATATAATAAAAATCGACCACAACGAGTTACAAGGGTGGCCAAATAAATTTAAACGCTCCAAATTTTTGCAGAATCACCATTTAAATAATATTAATGAACAAATAAAGATCGTTCTTTTTCCAAGATTTTATCGAACTTATGATGGTAATCTTAAAGTAAAAAGAAGATCATATAAATTATAACTATAAATATTAAAATAAAATTTTTTTTTTTCAACCTTATGTTGACAGTAGGTTTTTCTCTTCAATATTGAGAGTCGCCCCTAAGAATTTTTTGAAGCCATTGTCCGTCCTAACCAACCCTTAAATAACGACTTGCTATAGCCCACTATCTAAAGAACAATAAGTGTTGCTACAAGTAGTGTTAAATCAGGTTAAAAAATTGATTTTTGTTAATTTAATCTGAACGCACCATCAGTAAATACAAATTTTAATTAATCAATTTGAAAACTTAGTAATAAGTTTTTCTCGATGTTACAGTTTTGCAAGGGATTACGGGCATTAATACTCCAAGACGAAGTATATTTCTGCGTTAATAATAATTCTACAACCAAATTGCACAAACCCTTTAAAGTGGCTCAAAAAAAATGTATATAATTATATGCATTTACAACCATATACATAAAGGGATCATAATTATGAATAAAGACATTGATATCCGTATCAGTTTTGTACTATACTATTTATAGTTAGTCATGAAATATGCAATATTAAATTTATATTTTAAATTCATTATAAATAACATTCAAATTGGGTGTGAAACAATTCTATTTGTAAATTATAATATCAATCAACTGGTAACACAGTGAAATCGGTTGTAATAAGCTTCAAGTTCCAGATTGATTTTCTCGTTAATTTAAATATCTTACCTAAACAGTGTAAAATAAAATAGTGTTTTGTGTGAAAAAGACAACAGTAACATAAAAACAAAAAATACAAGATACTTTATTTTTTTAACATTAGTATGTTGTGTCACATTAACGCCCAAAAAAAATTATTCACTTTTCAGAAACATTACAATTTTTAAGAGATAATTTTTTTTTAAATAATACACTTTTCTAATTTGAAAATTATTATTTTAAAAAAATAACAAAGATATATTAACAATTCTTAAGTGCACTATTGGTTAAAATACTTCTAAAAAAAATTAATGATCTATATGCAGCATTTTGCTGCGCTTTTTCATAACTTATGTTAGATTCACCATAAAAAGCTACTGTTATTGGGGTAGAAACCTGAAGAGAAGTTTGAAATTTTTCACTTTTAGATAGTTCTTCAAAATCAATAAATGTAGCAATCAGATTTTGTTCAATCATGAAGTTATCTAAAATTTCTTTAATATTACATGAACTTAAGTTTTCATCAGTCAGTTTCTTTAGTTTATTGTAGTAAAGACCTTCAGTTAAAGGTAAATTTCTATGAATTTCAGGTAATTTGTGAAACTGAGAACTAGATTTTGAATTTTTCAAGCAGCACAAATTAGTAGTTTCTGAACGAACAAAGTCATCCATACAATTATTAGTTTGTAAGTTTTCAGAATGATTTAACTGTAAACTAATTAAACAAATAATTTTAAAAAAAACTTTTAAAACATGCTATAAATAAATCTTACTTTTTTAGTATTATATAAAGATTATTAGCTGCTAATCGTTTGGCAATTTTTTTTGACTTGCCTACACCAGTCTGTTTATACTTAGATACATTACAAGATACAGTAAAAAGTCTTTGATGTGGAAGACCATCTTCACATTCTGTAATATATACTGGTGGAGGCAGGTGAAGAGATGTACAAAGTTCTTGAAGCATCCCTATTGGATTACGTTCATCGTTATCTCCAAAATTCATCACTTCAAAATTTTCAGTTAATGTAGTACAATCGTTATTTAATTCTAATAATGAGCCAGTGCATAATTCAGGATATTCTTTACAAATAATACGTAGTAAACTTTTTGCTGCATTTTGCTTTGCTTCTTTTTTTGATTTTCCTAAATAAAAAAAGGATTATTATTTAACTATTTTAAATAAATTAATTAAATAAGTAACCTTGTCCATAAGCAACAAATCTACCATCTGTCACACGATATTGAAAAGAAGGTGCACTAATGGCACCTTCAATTTGAAGTAATTCATATTGCACAGTACGAACTCTCTGCTTATTTAATACATCTTGTAATAATGTTACTGATGTTTTCTCATTATCAAATTTAATCATTATCTATAGCAATATAGTCTAAAATAATTACTTTTAAGGAACTTTTTACCGTAAAATGCGAATAAAATAATAAATCAATCATAAAATATATTTTACAGTACTTCTATAACCTACTCCCATCAATGGATATTTTCCTCAGAGTGTTTCATAGCAGTAGTAATTGAATAGTAACAATAGATAAGATAAGAGCTAAATTCATTGTTAAGAGAAATTTAAAAATAAACTGGTAAATAAACATAATTATAAGAATACATATTTGATTCTAACTTTGTTTAAAAATTAATTTTTTTATACAAAATAAAATACGAAATACCCTTGTCTTATCCAATCATTTATTCTCTCGTATTTGCACCTGATACATTTATACTAATATTACAGATAAAGTAGAAATTTAAGGTTGGATTATTATTTACCTTATAAAATATTTTAGCTCTGTATATTCTCATTTTACACATTTTTATTAATTTTCCCCCAAGTCAAATAAGCGCTGAACACTATTTAATACTATATCTATATCTAACTAAAATACTCAATGGTAGTACACAGGGGGATCTCGATAACAACTATTGGACCAGTACTTCGGTAGTTATTGACATATTTATGTCTATTAGAGAAAGAGTGCGACTGAGAAATGTCTAATTATAAAAATACCAGCACCCACTCTTCACCTCCTGTTTAAACTGTTAATTACTTCCGAAATACTGGTTCAAAAGTTGTACGTCATCATAAGTAGGCCACAGATTCCGGTAGAAGTACCCGGCTACGCGGCTACGATAAGTGTTCTACAGAAAAAATATTACATCAGAATCAGTGTAACAAAAATATATTAAAAATTTAATTATTAAAATCAGGAAATTTCAAAAAGAGAATATAGTAAAATGTATTGGGTATGAGGTTGACGTTTGTTAATGAGGTATTCCCCTTAGGCGTATTCAGAAATTATTTTAGGAGGGTATTTAATATTTTTTTACTTTTTTAAACATGTTATAGAATTTTTTTGCTATAAATCAAAGTGATGTCCAAAAAAAGGACATTAGGTCATTATATCTTAGAAGTTGTCTAAAAAAATATTGATAGCGCTGGTTGAAGAGGGGCCACATCCCCCTTTAAATACAACCCTGGTATAGACAAAAATGATTAATATTTTAATTATATGTGGGACTATATAAAACATTTAATTTTGATAAAAATATTGGTAACCGTGATTTGACGTTAGTCAGCTTAGTTTTCATATAGTACTATGTGCAAATGCAAAATAGTGTCCTAATAAAAATACATATTACACAAATTAAGGTTCAGAATAAACGTTAGCGCAGAAAATGACTCAATGCCCATATTAAAACCATGTGCTTGGACTTAAAAAAAAAAAAAGTTCGTGAAACGGTGAAAAATGAACGGATTGAATTGATTTTTTTTATCATATCTCAGTAACATCGTTGGGCAGGTCTGGTGAAAATTTCAAACCTTAAGTCGTAAAACGCTGGCGTCAAAAAATCTCGAAAACTGTCGAAATTTTCCCAGAAAAGCTTTTTTTCCTTATTCTATTATATAATAAGATAAATAATTATTTCAACACCAAGAGATGCATAGAAATGCTCACTAAAACTTCTATTTAAATGATTTATTATAATAAAACGTTTTTGTCGATATTTTTAGTTTTCCTTATAAATTTACTGTTAATAGTAATTATATAAGTTACTGATCTCATATCAATCTAAATAATAGAATATTTTATTCCATATAAAATGTTCTATTTAATGATATAAAAAAGCATACATAAAAATATTTTGAGTTGTTCATTTTTTAATAAGTTATGATAATTTTTAGAAAAAAAATGTTAAAATTTACCGATTTTAAAAATCATAATTTTTGAAGGGGATTTCCATCATTTATGGGGTGCGAGGGAATTTTTTTCATTTTTTTAAGGGCAATCGGTCCAGTGAGAGCTGAGAAAAAGTGGTAAAAACACAAAAATAAACACATCATAGTAAAATTAATATCAGCTTCGCATCAAAGCTAAAACTATGATTGAAAAATTGAGAGAAACATTGAAGTAAAAGAAATCAATAAAAAAGTTATAAATATTATTTTTATTTTTCGATTAATTATTAATTATAAGGTAAATCATTCTGTATATATATTTTTTTCATTGTTATTTCTTTTATATATAGTTTTCATTACATAGTTTGATGAAAATTAAGTTTCATAAATGTTCCATTTTTTTTTTTTTAATTTATATTGCGCTTTATTAATTATTACATTAGTGTTAAATATGATTGCGATTTGGTATTATTGTTATTTATTTATCTGATTATTATTATTTATAATTCGTACTGTTTTGATGAGGACACCAATTAGTCAGGATGTGTTGAGTGATAACAACAAATATTAGAATTACAGTAGTAGTATATAGGCGACTCTCGTTTATTACAGTCGATGTTTTTGCGCAAGTCCCAGCGGTCTACTTGCGTATTCGTATTTCCTTATATATAAATCAAATTTAACAGTGTTAAAGCAACTTCTATATTAGTTTATAGCAAGAGTGATTTAATTTAAAAAACAATGTTTTATTGATTTGTCTTCTATATTTTTCTATCAAAAAATTCAAAAACTATATAATTTATAAGTGTATAAATACAAGGACCTAAAAACAACAAAAAGACACGAGACCTCGACGATCTACCGAATCTGCCAGTTCGCGAGACGGCACTGGCAGCACTATTCATAGAAAAACAAATCGTCTTTCTTTATACATCTTTCAAATATGTAAACTAATATAAAATTGATTAATTAAAAAATATTTCATTATTTCAATTATTGCAATTTCCCCTAATAAAGGAAGAAAAATCGATTTTCGAGACTATAGAGTAATGCCTTAAACAGGCAGTTGAGCAATTGCGAGATAGTTAGAACTGAGTAATTAGGACAATTAAATAGAACATGTTATAGTACAATTTAAAACCGTTTCAACTGCGCATTGATGCTAAAATATACAATTGAATTTCATTTTTAAATTCAAAATCATTGCATGTTTTTGGTTTTCGTCCAAAACGATGAAACTGTTAAAATAATCTATTGGCGGGGATCACCTCTTCACAAGATATAGTTGTTAGTCGTTCAGAGCAGAATAAATTCTAGTTAATAACAGGTGTTAGTGCCGTGACCAGGTGGCATGCATAATTTATATGTCATCCAAAAACAATCCATTAAAAAGTTTCACTCGTTGTGTAGTTGTTTTTAAAAGAAATATAGTTGTGTTGAACTCGTTATTTTGTCTAATTATTTTACAGTGGCACTTTTTTTAGTGACTAAATTATATACATATATATATATATATGTATCAATTGAAAATACAAAATTAGTTGTGTGTTTTTTAAATTTAACGAATTTATACAATTGTTATTTAATTTGCATAATATTTGTGTCAATAATGAAATTGTGCAGTTTAAGAAAAGCAATCAATAAAGAAAATTGACAAAAAATCATACGTTTCCTATAAAAATATGTATTCAATAATTTAGAGTGCGTGTACTACAACTAACTATTAAAATAAATAAAATTTTATCCAAACAAGTCATGATAATGAGATTATCGAAATTCAAAATTTTTAACTTGATGATTATAATGATATTAGCAAGTAAGTATTATTTCCAGGAGTGTATTTAGAAATAGTAGGGAGGGTAAAAAATAATGTTCATTAGATAAACTGTCTTGTTTGATGATCATTTTTGTTGATAATTTACTAAATCTGCGAGCTAAAAAAAGAATGGCAAGAGCACATTCCTTGTGTTGATCTCTCTAAATACACTGCTAGATGTTTCAAATATTAATACAATTTTTGAAACACTATACTTTCGATTTCAAGGAAACATAAATGTCAATTCTCAATCAGCTATAACATCAAAATGTTGTCCAGTAAATGAGACTCTTCAAGGGGATGGTGTTGATTTGATCACTAATAAATGTGAGCAAAGAAATGTGACATTTAAACCAACTTTTTGGCCAACTTTTATCAACACTACGGAAAACGTCAACTTAGTAATTGGTAATCCTTGCAAGTACGGAAGGTATGAATAATTAAATTTAACAAATATTAAGGAAATAATCATTTTAGTAGAGAATATTCACCACTTCCACAAAAGAAAATACGTACAGTTCAAAATTCAATGTCCTGGTTGAACTTTGATTTATATTTTTTACATTGTTGTTGCAAAAGCAATACAATTTATTGAATAAGACATTAATTTTGTATAAATATTCATATTAAACATACATTATATAAATAGTTTATCACAAATATTTGTGATCAACATCATTGTAATAGCCGCGGTAGGTTTGGATTCACCTTAAAATTTATAGATTTGTAAATGTGATTTATTGTGGTTAACTAATATATTGACCTACTCTAAAAATGGTTACTACAGTCTAGTTTAGTTTTTGATGAAGTTATGGTGCCACCAATGTTAAGATATACTGACGCAGTGGTGTGTTTAATGTTTCAGTGCCCCAGTATAGTATAAATTGGTGCCTAATTCGTTAGCACTACGCGGGGAAATTTGGGAAGTCCCTCCCTTAATAATAAAAACAAAACTGAGCCCGCGGACGACTCTCGGAAGATGTGAAAACAAAACTATGAGCCTAACAACAAAAATACAAGATTATAAAATTTTTTAGAATTATTTTTAATAAATATGAGTTATATTATGATATAATTATAATATAGCTGTATTACATATAATAGTTATTAAAGTTGACATGATGTCAATTAGCTGGCCAAAATTTCGACAATTGACCAGAGATTTTGACTGGTCATAATTTGGTAAAAAAAAAAAAAAATGAAAAATGTATTAATGTAATATTTTATATTTAAAATTTTTATCATACAATATGGTTTTTTTGTACATTTAGCATTTATTTTATGTTAGTTTTGCTTTACTTTTTTCAACGCTGGACACTAATGCATTAAAAAATAAAAGTTAGTTTAACATTTTAACTTCGATTTTATTTTTTAGTAACTTAAATTAGTGTTGAATAATTGTGGTTATTAGACTTTTTAGTATAATATTTAAATTATATAAAATTTTCTCGAGGAATTTGAAAATTATGAAAAAAAAAAATGAAGCAAAAATGTCTAAATAAAACTTGTTGCATAAAATGTCTTTTCATGTAAAAAATGTACTGAATAAATAAAATTAAAACTATATTAAAAATATTATTAATTTAAAAAACTAAAAAATATTAAACTCAAAGCCACAAAAAATTAATGAAAAGTCGCGGACTTTTTAGTTTTTTAAATTAATAATATTTTTAATATAGTTTTAATTTTATTTAATTAATTAGCCACAAGTGATCAATTTTTGTTTTATAAAATGTACTGAGTTGAATAAAAATATTTCTTGAAAGAAATTTAGTTAAAATTACTTTTAAAAATGCTAAAAAACTAAAGTCAACATTTGAATGAACTGTAAACATTTTTAAAATTGTAGTTCAGTAAAGATTTTACAAATTTGTATTATACTTTTTCACATATTCCACTAATTACATAAGCGTAGGGTATGAGGTTAAGAGGGTTTAGCTTTACATAGATTTTTTGAAAACTATATGCATCGTTATATAAAAATAATTTTTTGGGTAGGAAAAATTAAATTTAGCCCCCAAAAAAAATTGACCAGCCTACACCTATAAATAATTAAAAAAGAAAAACTTAGAATATGCATGAATACAAAAAGTTTACTTTTATAGAAATTTTATAAAAAAATTGAATAGTTTTCATATTAAAACTAAAGAACCGCTTAAACATGTCTTAAACGCTGTAAACGCTTAAATGTCTTATACATTAGTTTAAGTACATAGTAGTGCTAAAGGGGAGAGACAGATAAAGGTGCCTTAGAGTACCATTCAATAAGAATATATTTTTTTTTGCATAAGATGTATTTTGTTCACAACTATACAAGATATTTTATACCTATACTTTAAATAGATACCAACCAAACGTCATTATAATTGTTAATGTTTTTCTAAGATGTGATATTACTTAAAAAAAACTCCGACCCGTTACAAGATTGAGTAGCTGCGGTGGTGTTAGCGACGGACAATGTGACAGTCATGGCTAAAAATAAATTAGAAAAGCAATATATTGTTTACTTTGCTATATTTTTGGTTATACAATAATACATACTTAATTACACGATAATGATAAAATCATCGATAACAAGTCATTTGTACTGTTTTTGAACTTCAGAACTGTTGTTTTCAGTAAATTTTTTTTTTTTTTACATGGTCAAAAATAATCATAAAAAAGACAATTGTAATAATATTAATAATAAATGTCTATTCATGTTAAATAAGGGTGCAAATGACAGTTAGTACAGCATTGCTGATGTATATGAATGCATTTAATTATCATACATAAAAACTAAATAGATTTTAATAAACCATTGTCTGGTACAAGACTGGTGTTACGGCGAGTTATGGTAGTCGCGTTTAACTTCCAACCCAATAAAAGAAACCTGTTTTACACATTTAAGTGGGGAAGTCGTTCGCTGACCGGTGATAGTCGTCGGATTATCTATCAGTTGTAACCGGTGTATGGTCTAGTTGATTAGACATATCGGCACCGCCACGAGTTATCCTCCCATTCTACAGTGGTAGTTTTTCGGATTGGCCGGTTTTCCGTGACAGATTTAAGGCACTGATAACTCAGCGTACGGATTTGTCCAACATTGACCGATTTTATTATTTGTTGAAATGCCTAAAAGGTGAAGCACTTAAAATCATCCGCAACATTATTGTATCCGAGAGTACCTATGAATTAGCCCGGTCGACAGATTTGATAGACTTCGACAGTTAGCCACTTTAATTGTGGGCAAGTTAATATCCATACCGGCCCAGTCTCAGGAGTCTTTAGAGGGTTTAAAAGATTTTTTGGTATTATTTTCGGATCAGATAGAAGTATTGGAATTATTGCAAATTACCTTTAGGTTTGTTTGCTCTTTCTTCCCGATGCTTACCATTATTTACCAGCAAAGGTTTACGAAACGTATGTGAACCCTAAGGGGGTACCTTAAGATAGGTTACCCTACGAAAACTATCACTACCACAAAATNACCTAACCTTGGAGAAATTTTATTGTTTGCTCTTTCTTCCCGATGCTTACCATTATTTACCTGCAAAGGTTTACGAAACGTATGTGAACCCTAAGGGGGTACCTTAAGATAGGTTACCCTACGAAAACTATCACTACCACAAAATAAAAACTAATCAAAACCCTAGTAAAATTCAAGATGGCCCTCGGAGCGTTTGCCCTTTTTTAATACGGGCCTGGTATCAAATATAATTTAAAAGAACTGATTCCTTAGATTTACAATATTAGAATGTTAAAAAACTAAAATTAAAAATATTATTACTTATTAGATATATATTTTTTTGTTATTATGAATAGATATCTTATGGATGAAGTAATTTACAGCGAGTTTTTTTTATTAAGGAATGGAACTTTGTATTTGCCTATTTACAAAGAATTTTTAAACATTGATCAATACTGTTTGGATACTTTATTTATAGAAAATCAAGCAATTATTTTACCAATAATTTGTTTTCCTAAGCCCAAGTTTTCACATACTTTAGAAAAAATTGTTTCTTTAATTTTTCCATATGGTAAAATTTTATATATATATACTTATACATTATAATGTTTAAAACAAATCTTCTAGGGTTTTTACTTTCATCGATGTTATTAACAATTGCTATTATATTAGAAGTACGGTTTTATAAAAAATACAGTTCACAAAATAATTTTCACTCTTACTGGCTGTACTTTCATGTATGTTTAATAATATCATTTACTACCTTATTAACAAGACATTTAATAAGTAAAACAAAAAACAAAATTATTACTGTGCTAGGTAAGTGAAATCATATTTTACTAAGCAAATAGACATATTATTAAGTTAAAAAATCTTTTAAAATAACCTTTGCCTACAGAATTCACACTTCAATATTTATATGTTTCAAGCTTATTTATGTTAAGTATGATGAGTTACGAATTTTTAAAGATATTCAGGTATAGAAAATTACAGCTTTGAATAGTAATAAGTGTAATAGATAACTGTAATAGTTATTTTTTGGTAATACTATAATCAATTGTATTTTTTAGACAATTAAATTTAATTTTTATAGTTTTTGCATAATACTATTACTTTTCTTCACTAGAAATGTAATTTCATTCCATTATGAAATTAGTTTACCAAGAGTGGTAAAATTAAAAAAATTGAACTGAGTTGTTAAATACTTAAATCATAAAATATTATTAATTTATTATTTTCTGCAGTTGTAACAATAAATTTAACAAAAATATTCAAAAATACTTATGCAATATTAACAGTATTAGTATGCCAATATGGATATTTCTTATTCAAGGAGTAATTTCATATATAACTAATTGGTCTTCTGTATTACCTACTATATTTTTGTTGTACAGTAAGGATGCTTACATATTAATATAAAATGATATACAACCATAAATGTTTAAAAATGTAATAGATGAAACAGAATCAGTCACATTGCATTTTTTACGAATTTTCATATATGAAGTATTTTATGGAATACTTTTAATGTTAATTGGAATTTTGACAGTAGTAACAATTAAAAAAAATCAAAATATTTTTGAAGAATATCAAAGTGCCCAAACAACAAATAGTCAATATCAGTAAGATAAAAAGTACAGTTTTTTAATATTAATGTAACATTTAATTGTTAAATATTTTAAACATAATTTTTAGGTACATTAAACAAATTTTAGCAGTCAGTTTAATGGTATTTTATTGGTTATTAGAGATATTTGGTGTTCCATCATCAGAAGGCATCTTGATTACATGGATAATATTTATACTTGCCACTGTAATAATTTACAGTATTAGTTTACCATTTTTAATACTATTTTATTCAAGAAAAGTTATATTTAATAATACACAAACTGAGATGGTTTCTTGAGTTAATGAAACATATATTTTTAATATTAAAGCATAATATTTGATTTGGTAGTTCAGAAGTAATATTTTATCGTCTAGATGCAAAATTTTCATACCTAAAATAAGAAAAAAAAATTTATTTATAAATTTATTAATAAAAATTTCAGTTACAACTTAAAAATAAATTCTTAAAAAAAAATGTATTTAAGAAAGCAATTAAAATATTTAAACATAGTATTAAAGGAAATCTAGTACAAAAGCTTATTTTAATGATTTATAAATTACTTTTATTATAACTACTTATAATAAAAGAAAACTGGGTTTTTATAATCTTACATAGTAAAGGGCCATACAATTTATGATTTAGTCTTTTACTAGTAATAAACAAATGTATTTAATGTAAAATAATTTTTGTATAAAACTATTTTTTTTAAAGTTTATGTTACTTATATTAAACATCTCTCAACATTTACTGCTTGTATTAGATAGGAAAGAATACCTACTTAGCACATTGAAATTAAACCACGTAAATATATATTTACTTAACTTAGCTTTACTAACTGTGCTAGGTAGACTACATAAATTAAGATAGTTGAAACTAAACTAATTATTTTGATAAGACTATTAAATCTAGAATAACTATTGAATTATAGTAGTTCCTGTTTGCTTTCAATTAGTACTAGAGGTCATAGTTTAAATTGTTATATAGCAATAACTAAAGATGGCAGATGGTTTTTTATCTGATTTTGACAGCATATGAAATGTCTAAAATACCATACAATGAACATTGTCAAGAATAATTAGGAATAAAAATCGCATAGTGGAATTATTATTATAAAAGTCATTGAGATAGTATCCACAAATACCCTTAAATTTTAGATATTAAAAAAAGCGCAAATAATTTTTAAAAATAAATTTTCATTTATTGTTCATACTTAAGAATACTTTTAAAAACAAACATTTATAAATTCATACCATAAAACTTGCTCTCCAGTTAAAGAAGGCTTTACAAAATTCAAAGCTTCCATAAAATGTTCTCTTTTCACTGAGGTAAAGTTTGGCCCCTCATTTGTCAAACATACCATACCTGCCTAAATTTAATATTTTTTATTTCATTTAATTTTGATTATGATAAAAAATAATGTACTTCTTTAATTATACTAGCAAGATCAGCTGCAGAAAACCTATCAGTTAAATGTGCAATTTCATCTAGAATGGAGGTATCTGAAATAGGTATTCTAAATAAAAAAATAAAAAATAATTTATTAATAATTAAAGAGTAATTGTTTTTATACTTATAACACAATTATAAGAATTGTATCTAGTATATTCAATACAACTGTATATTTAAATTCATATATATATATATATATATTTAATTTATTGGGCATTATTTTTATCTATTTTTCTATAAAATAACTGAGTAACAATCATTTGAATATGCAGCATTCATCACAACTCCAGTATTGTTTAAATTAAAATGTACATGACAAATTTCAAGTCATCCAGATTATATGGTAACAGAACTTTTGTAAGAAATAAAGTAATTTACAAACAAAATGAAAGGTGTAATAAATCTTACAGAAAGAAATACCTAATGTCTGTTAGACTACTCAATAATTATTTTACAGTATTTTTTTCTAATTAAGTTACAATATATTGTTAATATTTTAAGAGTTTTTGAAGGATTTTTAAAAAACATTAATTTGTTAAAAGACAGCTGCATATAGATTGAAGATGTATCAAATATCTTTAAACAGCAAAGAACAATATAGGCGTATTTTTTTCTGTAGAAATTAATGCACCTTTTATTTTGTTTGTTTAGACTTATAGTAAATGAATCGTAACTAAATAACCAGTATTACAAAATTCTGACCCCTGATTAAATAAATAAATCAACAGCCAATTAGACTTGATTGACAGTTAGCTATTTACTATCTTCAGTTGACTTTACCAAAATGTAAATAGTGAATTATAAGGGTAAAAATAAGAATGGGTTTATACAGCCTTGGAACATTTTTATACCCCAATTGGTATGACTAGCAATTCATAGGTTATAGCATAATTCAAATTAACAAAATACACAATTTACGGTCATTTTGGTTTCAAAGTAACCATGAATTTAGTCTCTTCAGAACCTTGCCACATGTTATTACTACTTTTTAATTGTAAAAATATAGTATAGGTTAGTTAGATTCTCAAGGTAAAAGATTTTAAAACATAACTTTTTTAAATACTCTGGGAATACTTTTTTAAATCATTATATAACCTAAAAAATTATTAATGAATCTATATCATGCAATTTATATTAAAGCATTTTAAACAATGTAAAATTATTCTAAATACCAACATTTTAATTTAAAAATGAATTTTTCAAGTATAAGTTTTAGTGTTTTTGTTATTTATAACATTATTAGGAATATTTTGCAAAAAAAAAAAAAAAATCAACTTTGATTTTATTGAGCTCAAAAATGCATTTTATTTAATAAATAAAATATAAAATATGTTTTAGATTAAATATGATTATTTAAAAAGAGTACAAGTGTTTTTTTATATGCGAGTAATTTTACTCTAGATATCATTGTTATTTGCATATGTAGATTTGCCGTTAGTAAATTTTTATTTGAATTTGGTTAGTTAGGTGTATTAATGGGTATATATTTTAGCTTCGATGCGAAGCTGAGAAGGTATTGGTTTTACTAAGATGTGTTTTTTTTTTTT